ACTTTGCAGTGGAAAGAGTTTTGCAGAAAATGTACAGCAGTGACTGAGTCTAGCTCCCAGATGGAAAAAAGGTTCACCAGTACTGAAATCTGCAGCTGAGACTCATGAAATCCCTAAAGGAATCTGTTAACCAACACAAGCCAGGACACCCTATATCACCCTGGTGGCTTCTGCAGAAGAAAACCCCAAGTCGTATTCAAAACAAAACATGAAGAAGCATTTGGCAGATGTAAATTTTCAATTAAGACATTGCAACTTGTCACAACTTCTGTCATGTCCAATATGTTAGGTATAAAGGGTTGGGTTTCTTTTTGTCATTGAGGAGTGATATAAAAGCTGTACCTTCCTTCTGGGGAAAAGGTACTTCTTTCCAAAACATCTGAGTCTGGTAACTAAAATTACTTTCTTCAGCTGTGAACCCCTTCTCTGTAAGCTAATCTCTTTATCTAAATTGTGAGAGTCACACATGCACCCCACTGTGCAGTGCACTCATTTGATCACATCACCCAGTAAGCTAATAAATAATTCTAAGAAGTCAGCAGCACCCAGAGACCAGCAGCACTCAGAAACTGCTTCTGAAATCTGCATTGATTTTGCTGCAATCTATTCAGCTCACGAGCTGATGACTCAACAACAATTTCAAACGGTGAATCTACAAAAGTAGAAAGTAGCATTAATATCTCCCTTTGTAAGCATCACTCACAGTAAACAAAAGTCTTAATTCTTTCCATATCAGTTAGGAATTATTTAACTTTGGTAAACTAAAGCTTCTTCGAGTTATTTGCTGGAAGAAAACTCTAATTTCCATACTAAATTATTTTCCATGTAATATAAATTCAGACGTTTTTTCCAGAGGTAACTCAACAGAAGGGCAACCAGCCATCTAAAGCAAGTCTGGAAAGTCCCCCAGAGACAGAAGAAATGCTTCCCCTTCTGTTAGTCCTCAGCATCTCTGAAACAAAGGTAGGTTGGCAGAAATCAGTGTTTTGTATGCATCTTGTACAGTTGCTATTCTCAATAATTAAATTGTATTCATCAGACTCACTCTGATTTCTGTCAATTTATCTCAGCACGAATCCTGACTGAAGACCCTCTGTAGCAGAATGTCTGCTTAAGGCAATTACTGCAATGCAAGAAAGTTGTGTCTGCCTCAAGCTGTCCCATAAGGGAGCTGGTCAATAAGGAAGAATGGGGAAGGAATTAAACAATATGCTAATTAAGAACATACACAGTCAGCTTTTGCAAACAGGAATTTTATGATCAAAATCCCATTCTTTACCAGCAGCCTTGGGAAACTGCTTGGCCACACAGTGGTGCTGGAGTTACATCCCAACAGGAGGTTAGAGTATGTGGAGAGTTAAATGAATGCTTCCATTTTATTGCTCCCTTATCCCTGTTTCTCAGCTGCCAAGAAGCCAGCCTTAGCTCATGCTAGCAATTCCTCTGGGGTCAAGAGAGAATGAAATCTGAAGGGTTTCAGAAAACACAAAATGATTTCAAGATCAGGCCCAACACTTTCTTTTTTGTAAGGGAACCACAGGACTGAGGAGGCTATGCCCTGTCCCTAGAAGTGTTCAAGGCCAGATTGGATGGTGCCCTGGGCAGCCTGGTCTAGTATTAAATGTGGAGGTTGGTGGCCCTGCATGTGGAGATTCATGATCCTTGAGGTCCCTTCCAACCCTGGCCATTCTGTGATTTTGTGATTCTGTGAGACTGCATTGTTTTTACCTCTCCTGGTTACTGTACACATTTTCTTTTCACATTCTCACACAGAGCTGTGCATCAGCAATTCTAACCCCGCCTTAGATAACACCAGACAGAGGTGTATGGTCTACAAAGGATAACTGACACTTTAGAAGCTCTCATTTTCTTACACATCAGCACTATTTGTGCAGTTTATCATGCCAGCGATGTTTCACTGAGCTGAAACGATGAGACACTGAGGGACATTACTGATATCTCCACCAAATTCTCTTTATCATAGTTTTAGTATATGCTAATACGCAAAAAATCAAGCAAGTTCCTTGAAACTTACATCAAGGGGACTAGCAGAAAAGCTGAGTACTTTCTAATGGTGGAAACTGAATCTCTGCCCTAGGGAAGAAGAAATATAATACAGAACAATAGCAAAACTCATGTGACTAAGACTGCCTTTCTGTAAATGTAGGTTTTTCCACTGAGCTTACGCCTGAGTACAGCTGTGTGAGGACTCGTAACGTGGCCCAGGCAACATGCTAGCCAATACACGATTCCACAGCTTACCAAATAAACATATTACTTGTCCACAAACCCTCAATCGCTTGTGGGTTTGAAAATACTTACTTAAATCTTTTTTTGGAAATCTAAAACCAAAAATCCTATTTAATAAGAGCCTGACTGTGCAACATACCTAGCCTACCAAAATTACTCAAGGTTAGTTTGGTTCCTGCACTTTTAGCTGAGAAAATCTGTAGAGAATGTTTTCTTTCATCCTCACTGTTTTGCTTCTGAGCTTCAGTTTATGATTACTATCAGATACCTTACGTAGGGTACTACAAATAAATTAAAAGGTAGGTGGAGGTTGTAAAGGTGATTTCTCAATCAGGTTTTTGTAGATGTACCACTACTGGGCCCCAAATTTGCAAAACTACAAAGCATCCGCTTAAATATATTGATTTAACAAAACTGGGATTACATTCCTTTCTGAAACTATAAATACAAATGAAAGTAAGTATCAAGTTACCTATTATTTCATAGCATTTTTAGTTGCAAAACATGAATGTGTGCAAATTTACACTCCTGCCTACTCTTGTTAGAAATGTGTAAAAAGGAAATGGCAGTGGTGGTGATATTTGTTTATTTTTGTTTGCTTGATTGGTTTCTTCTAATTCCAGGCTCAAAAGCAACAGTCCCCAGGCATGTCTAGACGTAACTACTCTCCTTTATAAGCCATGCCCTAAGCTTTGTGTGGACGTGGACTTGCATCAAGATTTTGCATTAGTTTTAAGCCTTAGACTTTGCCTCAGTATCCAGCAGCGTGTATGAAAATACAGCTACTCAAATATAACTGTCTGATTTCAAATTTAGCACCTTTTACATATATATATAAGATACACAAAGTGAGCAAACTACCACCACCCTAGAAAAGAAAACCTGCCTTGTGGGAAGGCATTTTCTATTTTTCTCTTGATTATACTAACTTAATAAAACAAATCTGTTCTCCTCCCACCCAGCTTCTGCTCTTATCCTCAATTTCTGAGTATGCTATTCCTCTTTGCTGCTATATTCCCCATTAACCTCACAGTTCTTGGCCTAGTTACTCACCTTCCTTCAGTTTCAGCTGCTGGATTTCTTTCCTTTGCTCCTGTCTTTCCAGATGTCCACTTTTCAGTTCCTACACTTGTCAGTTCCTATGTAAGCACAGTTACACTATGCTTACTAATATAATAAACATATAGAAAATGCAGCTTATATATTATTAGGCATAAAGGTTTGTCTTAAAACATAAAGCTGTACCTTAAAACCTCAAACTGCTCAAATTACATGACAAAATAGAAAGCATTCTTGAAACTATTTTAAATTATATATATTAAAAGGGGAAAAAAACCACTTGCTTTTACAATATTAGTGGACTACCAGCACAGACTTCCCATGCCAAGTCACAAATTTATAGTTCTCCCAAATGTGTTTTAAACCACTGAAAGTGCATCTGAAAGGAGAAACCATAAAGCCATTCCCATAAATAACCCCTTGTTCTCTAAGATAGCCAGATCATTTTACAGCAGCATTGATGACATGTGAAGGGGAGGAGGAGACATATACAATGTGTTCTGCTCCTAAAAAGGAAATATTAATTTCAGTGCACATTTTTGGAGTGCCATTAGGATGACACACATAAAGTCTCACCCTTACATTTTCCCTGCTCCCAAGCTAATATTTTCCATTTTTTTTTCTTTTATGATAGAGGTTCCAGATGGGTTTCCAAAGGAGAAGCTGCACATTAAAAAGGTCATGATAAACCTTCAAAGACAATAAGTTTAGCTGAAAAAAAATTGTGCAAGGATGCTCCAGGCAGCTACTGCTTTAGTCCTATATTAATTAAAGCTGTACCGCCTTGGCACAGGTACTATAATGAGCAGTCCCATTCTCCCCAAACATTTTGTGACTTTTTCCCATAGGCTTTGTTGCTGTCACTTCCCACACTGACAGTGATTTCCTTCAGTAAGACAGTTTTAAGCAGCACCATTCCCATAATAATATATGCACACACACACTACTAGCTTTCAAAAACTGTGCCCACACCTATCACAGTAAAATGGCTGTGAAGCTACACTGCAAGTGCCAGTGGCTACACTCAGAAGCATCAGGAAGGTTCTAGAAACAGCCTTTGGTCCCATTGCTCTGCACTCCCACACCAGATACAGCTACTGTGACCAAGAAACATCACTAATGTATAGGCAAATAAATGGGCAGAATTTGATTAATTGTGCATTTTGTTTCCCCATTTATGTCTGGCTGTGTTGGGGGATTACTGCAGCACTGTGGCACAGCAACAAGGTCTCTTTGCAGCCATTACATCTCTGGAGGTCAAGCTCATACAGTTCCCAGTGTGACCACCTTACTCTTTCTTCTCTTTCACAGAGTGAAAGGAAAACCCTGTAGCTTTACAGTGAACTGCATGAGACAATACAGTGCATCATTAGTGCGCATCAATTGCTGTGGCCAACAAGTTGAGGGAGGTGATCCTCCCCCTCTAACTGCCCTGATGAGGCCACATTTGGAGTACTGTGTCCAGTTCTGGGATCCCTGATTAAAAAAAAAACAACACAGGGATCTCCTAGAGAGAGTCCAGTGGAAGGCCAGAGAGATGATGAGGGCTTGGAGCATCTTTTGGACGAGGAAAGGCTGAGAGATCTGGGGCTGTTCAGGAGGAGACTGAGAGGAGATCTTATCAATGCTTATAAATACCTAATGGGCAAAAGTCAAGTGGATGAGACCAGGATCCTTTCAGTGGTGTACAGCGAAAGAACAACGGGCAGTGGGCACAAACTGGATCATGGGAAGTTCCATGTGTTGCAAGCCGAAATGGCTTGCAGTTTGTTGTATCGATCTCAGTCCCTCCAAATTAAGACTCAGAAAAGAGTCAAGGTGTTAATCGAGCAGAAGTGTGCCTTTATTTATTAAAAGATAGGAGAGCAAGAGAGGCAAAGGAGAGAGAGAAAGGGAAAAAAAAAGTAAGTCACTGTTGTGAATCTCACGATGTTCAAGCTCAGGGAGGATAGATTTAGGTTAGATATAAGGAAAAAATCTTTTACAGTGAGGATGGTGAGGCATTGGAACAGGTTGCCTAGGGATATGGTTGATGCCCTGCCCCTGGAGACTTTCAAGGTGAGGCTGGATAAGGCCCTGGGCAACCCGGTCTAGCTGTGGTATCCCTGTTAATTGTAGGGAAGTTGAACTAGATGGTCTTAATTCTGTGATTCTATATTCTGAGGGTCTGTCCTTCTTGGCTGATAAAAGCATATGCCTTTTACACTGTATGATGGTCCCTTCTACTTGAGCCAGGATTTGTTGCCAAGCATAGGGTGTCCAGTATCAAGCACTGTGTGCATGCTGCACCAGCCGTGCTTCTCCCTTCACACGGTGGTTGTGGAGGGTTGTGGTTGTGTGAGGGACCTATGACCACCTTAAGCAAGACCACTAATTCCTGACTTGCGCTTGGGCACAGCATATGGTTGTTTGGCACCTTTCACAAGAGTGTCATAGTACAGGTTTTGTTCTGGGGCCTTCATAAGACAGTTACAGTTCTGTTCTGCTGGTCATCTCTCCACCAATCAGAAAGAGAGTAAAAAGTCACAATGTTACAGTTCCCTATGGAGATGTCAGAGTCCAAACAGAGAAGGCAGAACGTTTTTAGTGTGAGAATGGTGGAGTGCTGGAAGGCCGGCTAGGGAGGCTGCAGACTCTCCTCTGAAGGTACTCAAGGCCCATCTTGACGCCTACATGTGTGACCTGCTGTGGGGAGCTGCTGCAGCAGGGGGTTGGACCAGATGATCCCCAGAGGTCCCTTCCAACCCCTACAGTTCTATGAATATGGTATAAAACCAGCAGTGTGCGGCAAACTGCCAGTTCATTGAGCTCATCTGCAACTACAGTGGTTACTTCAAGTACGTGGTGTAAAGAACACACCAGATCAGAGCGCGCTGTGGAACCTCACCGTGTTTCCAAACAACTGTCAAACCAACTGACCTTCAAAAACCCACTTATGCTTTTATCCTGCTCTGTACTCGCTGACAGGGTCACCTGCGCCCTCAGCCACCCCTCGCAGCGGGCTCTCCCGCCGGCAGCGAGCCCCGCTCAACCTTCCCCGCTCCCCCTGACCCCGTAGGGCCCCGGGGACCCACGGCAGTCCCCGCCCTCCTCAAGCCAGAGCGGAAGTGCCGTCAGAGGAAGGCCGGCCGCCCGCCCTCAGCGGAGGAAGGACGGGCTGTAAGATGGCGGCGGCGGAGGAGCGGCTCCTGTCGGAGGGGGAAGGCGGCGCCCCGGGTTCGGCGCGGCTCTCCCCGCCCCCGCTCTCGCAGTCTCCCGAAGCCCCGGCGCCCTTGGAGCAGCCGCCTCAGAGCAACACGCTGATGGGGCTGCCCATCGTGGCCATCGAGAGCATCCTCAGCTTCCTGTCCTACGACGAGACGAGCCAGCTCCGCCTGGTAGGGGCTGGGGAGGGGAGGGAAGGCGGGCGAGGGGCCGTGCCGCGGCCGGCCCGGGAGCCGCCGGAGCGGGAGCAGCGCCGGGGAGGAGGTGGGCAGGCGGTTGGGCCGGGCTGGGGCTTCCCCCTTCTGCCCGCCCCGCGCCTCCCGTGCGGGCGTGCAGGTGTGTGCCGTGCCCGCGTTCCTAGCGGGACCCTGCCGCCTCTGAGCGCCTCTGATCCCATTCGAGCCCGTAAAGCAGCGCGGGGCGCTGGAGACGTAGATCCCCGAGTGTAGGAGGTGGCGAGACCGCTGCTCCGAGGACCTTACCCGGCATCTAGAAAGAAATGTGGGGCAGGAAAGGAAGACTTAAAGCCGTGTCTGCCGACAGTCTGCCCGCTGCTCCCAGCCGTGCTCGCGGATCTAATAAAAGATACGAGCTCCACCTGCAAACTTCATTGTGCCCAAAAAAGCTCGGAGGTCAGCGAGGAGATCAGTATTAGTCTTCAACTGCCTGCCTCAGGAGCCTCGGTGTAAACTGTGCCATAATATGACTGGCTGCGATCTTGCTCAATTTTGTATGAGATCATGTATGGAATAATAGTGAGGGAATTAATACACAGCTTATGTAACCCTCTGTCAACTTGCCTGTGCTGTTTCTAGTTTAAGAACTCATTAGCTTAAACCAGATAGTATTACATGTGTATTTCTGCCGAGAATTGTACTGCGTTTGTCCCAGATCAGCAACCTGATTCTAAACTGAAAGCTCTTTAAGCAGAAGCTCTGGTTTTATTCATACTGCACCAAACAAACTGTAGGTCTTTTAAATCAGAGGGCGGTAAGGCCCTGGCGCTGCCCGTAGAGCTGTGGTGCCCCATCCCTGCAGGTGCTCCAGGCCAGGTAGGATGGGGCCCTGGGCAGCTGAGCTGGGGGGGCAGCCCTGCCCATGGCTGGGGGTTGGACTGGGTGGGCTTCAGAGTCCCCTCCAACCCAGACCATTCTATGATATGGTACTTAATATTTCTAGCATGCTGTCAGTCCTATAATCTCCGAAGACTTGTCTCTTCTGTGAGAGTAGATAGTGGATGTGTGAGGAAAAAAAATAGTATGACTTTTTTTGGATTGCAGCCTCTACAGTTTGGATAAATGGAAGTAGATGTACTGTGTTTGGGTGTGCTTACTATCATATACTCTGTATTGCTGTACTAGGCACTGCTCTTTGCTTCAGTTTTCCTGTTGCATTTTATAAATGGTAGCTGTGGGAACTGTCACTAGGCAGTAGGAGGGTTTTTTCTTCCTCTAAGGCTGTTAGTGTTTATAAACAATGCTTTGTCAGCAGTGGAGTTCAGAATGGTAAAGGTGGTGTAAGGACTTAAATAACTGCTTAACTCTCATGTTTCCTAAGAAGTGAAACACCTTTCTTATGTAACACTAGTCCATTTTTTCAAGAAGACTGTTGCTTTGAGCCATTTCAAGAACAGCAAAAACAAAGTGGATAAATATCAGTAGAGATGCACGTACAAGGAATAACACTAGATGTAAGCGAGGGAAACTACTGATAGAATCATGAAGGCAGGAAAAGACACTTCAGATTATGTCATCTAACCGTTGACCCATCTCCGCCCTGTCTGCAGATGCCACATCTACACGTTTCTTGAATGCCTCCAGGGGCAGTGACTCCACCACCTCCTTGGGCAGCCTGTGCCAATGCTTAACTGTACTTTTGGAATAGTTTTTCCTAATATTCAACCTGAACCTCCCCTGCTGCTCCACACCCTTCACTGGCTTTGTTGCCCCAAGGGTCCCCTTGGATGATGCCAGTGGGGCAGCATGGCACATGGGCACTGGGGAAATTGATCTTTCCCTATTTTCAATTTTTGAGTAGCTGACAGCCAAAAACCTTAATTTTCATTGAATTTCTCATGGTACCCTTAAGCACACAAGGTGAGAAAGTACACGAAAAGTACACTTGTCTTGTTTAACCAGCACTAATGTCAAGAATCACTGCCCTTCTGGTCTGGCCTAGTCAAAACTATGTGTACTCAATCAGCTCGATCTTTTTAATTGCCGTACAAAAGTAAAGGTGTTATTTTGGCAGTTCACTGGAGGCTAAATAGAGGTGAGGAAACTGGACATAACTCCAGACAATATTGATGGAGAATTATGGTAGCATTTCAAAATAACATTGTTTAGGCATGAATTCATAATGGAAATTCATCATTGTCAGGTTTTTAAGGGCACATAACTTTAGGATACACTTGTGTGTTTGTGCATTGCACAAACAGCAAACTTTTTTTTGAGGACTTACTTGAGCTGCTTTTCATAATGCATTTCATAATGAGTAGCATTCTGCTAAGGATATGTTATGGGGACCAAATTAACTGAATGGCAGGGATTAAATTCCTTAGGTCTCATGCTCATTAAAAGTATGCTCCTAAACAGCCTCATTATTCCATGGATAATTCTTAGGGTTAAAGCACCTTGGGGAAGGCAGGACATCAATTGGTCTAAACAAAGCTTATATACACTGTATATACACTGAAAAAAGCGTGGAGTCCCTAAACTGATAGCTTTGAATGCTGGTTTTTCTCTCTAAGTAGCCTTAAATTGTGAATAGGAAAATGGCAAAGCAGGAATGAAAACCTAGAGCCATTTTTCTGGAACAAATCATTTCACTTAATTATGCCTTATTTGTATGATGCCATATTCATTTAAGTGGAGCCTGCACTTTCCTGAATAAAATTGAGTAAAATTGGGTCAATACTTCCTTCTGAAATCACTTTGAATTCTACTGGTAAATGTATATGTATAATGTTCATTAAACATGGTAAGATCCTCGTCTGGAAGAAACAAGTCTTCATTTTGAGATGCAATGATGTGACATTTGGAATGCTGGGTAGTGCTCCTCCTAATGAAGGGTGGTTAGTTTTGAGCATGGCTGCTACATAACAGTTTACAATAGCAGTGTCACAGTTATGAACTTTGGTCAGTTGTCCTAAAACAGTAGGATGGGCTTGTGCTGCTCTAAGTTCTCCTTCCAGATGCAGTCAGCCAAGAGGATGAGAGCTGGACACTTCTGAAGTGGGGTAGTAATGATGTCCTTAGTCTCAGCTTGGAAATACATTTCCATTCGGGCTATTGCTACAGTAAACATGACTGCAAACAAACAGTCCCACAATGAAAAGCAAACAATAAATGCCTTCTGTGAACATTCTGAAGATAAGGTTACCTTGGATTGAGGCACACATCAGAAGTGTCTTAGATTCTGTAGGAACTTTGCACTAGTGTTCTGCAGAGCTCAAATAAGGACAGCTCAGCTTTAATCTTCCCACAATTTCAATAAATCTGTATTTACAGGCATTTCTATTTTAAGGCTTGCTGAAGTCATCAGCATTTTGTCACTTATTCTTTAACTTAGAAAGGCGTTATGAAATAGTGTCTGTGTAGCCTCTATTGATCTTGAAAAAGAACATGCAATGAATCTAAACACTCGGAATACATTTTTACCTCCAGTTTTGATACTGGTCATCTGTTAGTGAAGTTGGGAAGAAATAACACATGCTTGAAGGAAGGGAAGCTGGCAGTCCTCTAGCAGATTGAGTCATTTGTTTATAACGAAGTGGAAAATGAGCTCTTCTGTCAGATCTGTTACTGTATACATGTCACCATGCTAAGCAGCAGCCACCTTTTGCATTTCATGTGGTCTCGGAACAACTTTCTAACACTGAAATTTGAACACAGTGTTCTAGTTGGGCTGGCATTTGAGGGAATGTGGGCTGATATAGCTTTATGGCTAGAGTAAGGAAATATCCACAACGCTTGGCAAAGATGAGCAAGTTTGAACTTCTGGCTTTTTTACAGTCCATTGAGATAGGAAATATCAGAAACTGTCTTGGACCAATGTGAAGATGGTGATAATGCTACTGCTGACAAAGCAGTCTAAGAGAGACATATTATTCTTGTAACTTCAAGTGTCATATTTTTAAATGGTGTCATCAGGAATCAGTTGAGATCGAAGAGGTGACTGATTAAGTAAGCTGCAGACAGACACTATTGGTTTCTAATGGTATCATTTTAGTGTTTGGGTTCATGGACATGGACGATGTCCAGAAACTGGGGCAAATGAGTAAGATTAGAAAATCTTATGTTTAAAAATCCAGTGCAGTTCTTAGCTGTTAAGCCTGACCCCCTTTGGATATGGGAGGTATTTTCTGCCACCAGATGTCAGTATAAACATGATGAAAATTTCCTTTGTGTTTCTCCACTGTTTTTCCCTAACAGTGTTTCTAGGATTTTGGAGTTTTTTACTTGCTTGTTTTTCTCCTGCTGAATAACTGCATTGTTAACACAGCCCTTATGTAAGTGTGACTTTCTGTTTCAGGGGTTTGGTAGCATTAGAGCAGGTATTAATGTCATTACTGCCTACTGCTGTGAAAGAAAACAGCTGTTGGTATCCAACATAGTCAGCAAAGGAATCTATTAAACAGAAAAGACTTTTATATGAAAAGGAATCTCGCTTCTTGTGCGCTGTAGTGCATAATTCTTTAATTTTGTCTGCCTTGCAAAAGATGAACTATAAGCATTGAAGGAAAAACATCATTTCTTGTTTCTGAGGCATCTTTCTGAGATAAGATAATACTGACTTCATAGAATCATAGAACACCAAGGTTGGAAAAGACCTCCAAGACCATCTATCAGAGTGACTCTGGATGACAAGAGGGCTTTTCAACTTCTGTTATCATTAGAAGGAAATTATGTCTGCTTATGTATGAGTGGAATTCAGCCTACTGTCTCTTGTTATGCAGAACCAGGAGACTTGGTTATGAACTGTGTGGAATGTAGCACTCCTTCATGATCAGTATTAGAGATGGCAATGCCTTACGTTGCACTGCAGTTTCTGTGTCTTGAAAGAAAAACTGCTAAGGGAATCTTGTGCTACTCAGCAAGTATGTGTAAGATAATAAATAGTAAAAGTGTCATGTGACATTATTTGATACTGAAGAGATTTGTTTTGTTTTACTTAAATACAGGTTTGTAAACGAATGGACTTGGTTTGTCAACGAATGTTAAATCAGGGATTTCTAAAAGTGGAAAGATACCACAACTTGTGTCAAAAGCAAGTTAAAGCTCAGCTTCCAAGGTATGTACCAGCTAAAACTGTAGTTGAACTTCAGTGTGCTAGATTCTTTTCAGCATTATACTAAAAGGGAGGTTCTTGCTGGCTAATTTGGTTACATATCTTGAAAATTTGAATCTCTTTTGTTTTCTGTTTCTCCCCCCAAAAGCATTATAACCTAAGATCTAACTACAAGATAATGGTATGGATGAATGTACTTTGTATTATACTATACTAGGAGCTGGAATATTGGAAATTGTCTCTGGTGTTCTAAACAGAGTAAAGAAGAATCTTGTGTTCTTCAGCCTTTCTGGCAAATCCAGAAGGGACTCTTAGGAATGAATAAATGCCATTCCTCTTCAAGACAAACTGATGATTTTTCTATGGCTCTGCTTAAAAAAGCAAGGTTCTTCAGTGCCAAGGATTAAATTAGGAAAGGGAGGAGGCTGTGAGCTCTCATTACTGGGAGCTTAAGGTTCTCTCAAAAGCAATATTTTTTCTCCTCTTTCCAGTGTATAAGTGCAGTTGCTGCTGCCGTATCCTATCAGATTTCCCAGTCAAAGTGAAGAAACTAAATGCTTACTGCTGCTTACTGCTAACTTACTGCTGAGATTATTTGCCAAAAGGTTGTACCTCGGCTTGAACTGTGTAGCCAGCAGTAATGCTATATTAAATCTGTGTGTTGCATTGAAATACTAAATGCAGGAATATAGGAGGATAAAAATAACCACCCTGACTCATTGTCTGCTGCTAGTTAGTATTGAAAGCCTGTTTTTAGGCTTTGTATGTCCCAAATGACATACAGAGTTTATGGGTAGCAAAAGATGTAATTATTTAGAGAAAAAAAAATTGTCATCAGAAAGTGTGCTATGCTATTATGAGCTGATATCTAATCTCTGCCATGTTTTGTCCATAGGCAGAACAAATGTAATGGTTATGTTTTCAAACCTTTAAATGGTTTTGAGCATTAACTTGAGTGATAGTTACAGTTTTATCTTGTGGACTCTTTATTAAATTACTGTATGTAAATCACTTAATGGTCTATCTTTTAGACGAGAGTCAGAAAGAAGAAACCATTCGTTAGCTCGTCATGCAGACATCCTTGCTGCTGTAGAAACGAGACTCTCTTTGTTAAATATGACTTTCATGAAGTATGTGGATTCCAATCTCTGTTGCTTCATACCTGGAAAGGTAAAGTGTAGTCTAATTTATGTGAATGTGAATGTTTTTAAAAAACATGATTGTGTAACTTCAAGTACGTTTGTCCCAGCTGCCCCAGATTATGTAATGTATGTGCATACTGAAACTGATTGAGATACTTAGAACTCACAAGGTAATGCTCCTCTGTAACAGGCAGCGTGAAATGAATGAACCAGGCTATATCTAAATACTATTTAAAATTTAATATCTGCTTTACCTTAGGATTTTTACAAGGATTTTTACAACTCTGAATTGTAACTGTATAAAATAGCTGGAGTCCAGGTCATCAGAAGATACAGCAGAAGACTTTAAGTTCTTTTCATATGGTTTTTGATTTTTTTTAGTCATATTTGAATACTTCAAGTTAATTGAAATGAGATGTATATAGTATGTGGAAGCACCTTTCAGTGTTGCTCTGGATGAGGTGTTTCTATAAATTAGGTAGAGTAAACTTTAAATGTAGGTAAACTTTGTTCAATATTATTACTACTAAACAGTTCTGGTATTTCAGACTACTACCCCGGCATAAAGTATAAATTAACACGTGATAGGATTGTCTTATAAGCTGTGAAAACAGAGGTATAGAGGGGAATTGACAAGATCATCGTCTGAGGAAGAAACTCAGAAAAAGTTCAGATTGAAACAAAATCTTTCATTAGCCTAACATTCTGCTATTCATGGGCAGATAACTGGGTTGCTCTGGGATGAATGCAGAAGTTAGCTGTTGGGTTGAGATGAAGCATGGCAAGCATTTCTGCATTCAGTACAGCAGGATAGGCTATCAGCATGAAATAGTTTTTATCTTGAACTGGTAACTTGATTTCCATACGCTTTTATTGCCTTGATACTAAGTTAATCTAAATTACTATAGTTTAATACATTCAGGTTTATTAAGTTTATATTATTTTTATATCTATAATCTAATTTAAAATACAATGTAATATAACAAAGTCAAATATATGTAAGGCTGTGATATTCATATACTGAATAGGATACCTAAAAGAAATGTTGCCTTACTTTTCCTGAGGGGTAGGTGAAAAGGCAATGCTGAAGCTAGACCTGGGGTGTGTAGGAGTTGTGCAGACAAGTTTGGCAGCCATTTTCCTTCTGGGCACTGGGTCATAAAGACATTATTTGTATTCCTATGTAACAGTGAAAAGAGATCTTTTTAACTGTTTACTTGGTATATGGGCTTGATACTGCTGCTGCTCTTTCACCATAGTTATCAGTTCACCAGAAAGTCAGGTTTTGGTCAAGTCTATTCAAAGGCTTAGCGTGTGGTTTTCTTCCACCTGCCCTGTTTCAATGAAGCTGCTGCAGAATTTTCAGGAAATGAATGTGTTAGAATACGTGAATCCTGGTTTGAGGTTCAGCGTATTGCGTTAAGGGTTCTTAACACTTCATAGTGAAGTGCCACTGCAAGATTTTATGTTGAGGATAGCAAAAGAATGCTGTGTGGATGTTGTTACTGACGGGTGTCAATGGTTTACAGGCTGGTTCGGCCCAGTTCTGTGACTAGCGGGGCAGAGGGATTTCACAAAATCCGTGCCTCCGGAAAAAGGGAACAGGGAACCCCACAATAATTAAAAAGCAGCGGCAACGATATGAGGAGAAACAAACTAATTTACTAAATATAGTATCAGAATGCAACATAACACACCATAATACAATATAATTAGAATTGAAACTAATAAATCAAATATAATGAGAGAATATCCAAAAGGTGGATAGGCCTCACCATAACACTAAGGCGAGATGCACAGTCCAGTTGAGCAGCAGGGAGACAAGAGAAGAGCCGACGAAGAAGAGCAGACGAAGAAGAGCACATCAGGTGACCTTGCCAAGGAGTTATATCTCCTCTCTGCGACCACAAAGGCCCCTGGGGAATGTAGTTCTTCTCTTCCGGGCAGGTACCCAGAACTTGAGCATTAACAGTTAAATTCCGAGTGCCCCACATGATGTTATGCTGTGGAATACCGAAAACCAAAAATCACAAAACCATGACAACGGGATGTAATGTGGATAAAATTAGAGAAAGAAACCTTTGGGAGCTTGCTGTGAGATGGGATGCTTTGGTGACATCTAGCTTTTACAGCTTTTTAGCTAAGCTTCCTTTATGAAAACACAAGATGCAGCTCTGTTGATTCTAGGCTCTTAAAGCCCACATCCTTCAGTAGAGTCTTAAGCCATTCTTAATCATGTGCAAAATTCCTGGTTTGGTAGTTTCTGTAGTAAGAAACCAGCACTCCTATCTTGGCCTGCTCAGACTATAATTCATAGATTAGTGAGGCACCTTTCATCTCTGTAGTTCTGCCAAACAAAAGGCTGCTTTTCAAGCCTGTTAAGAGGGTGCTTATGCTCTCTGCCAGTCCTGGATTGGTATTTCATAAAGTAATACATTTTGGGTATAATCCAAATTTGCAATATTTTGAGTAGGAGCAAGCGAATTCATGTAAATATTTAGAGCTCTTCAGACTGACATAACAGTAATTCTTCTTATTCCATTCCTATGTTGTGTATGTCTCATGACTGGCTGTGGGAATGACTGCTTAGCTGAATGGTTTTCATCTTGGTTCTCCAAAAAGAAATGATGATGCTTTACTGAGCATGTAGAATTCCAGTGTGTACACAGTAAAATAATTTCACACAGATGTTATTTCATGAGTTTCAATAGAACTGTGATCCATCAAATTAATGGTTTGTCTGGTATATCGCAAACAGTACTTCATTTCCAAACACCAATAAAGAACTAACACACACAGTGATGTGCAAGAGTAATAGTTCTGTAATGAAAGTCTCTGATGTGCCAATGCTTTTAGAATGATCTGAAATAATCCTGTCTTTATCAGAAAAATCCTAATTCTTCTTAAATGTTTTAGGTAATAGATGAAATTTACCGTGTGCTAAGGTATGTAAACTCTACAAGAGCTCCTCAGAGAGCTCATGAAGTTCTTCAAGAACTAAGGGACATTTCTTCCATGGCTATGGAATATTTTGATGAGAAGATTGTTCCAATACTGAAAAGGAAGCTTCCTGGGTCAGATGTATCAGGACGTCTGATAGGAGCTGCCCCAGGTATTAATTCCAATGTATAGTTAAGTCGTTTTTTTTGTTGGTTTTTTATTATTTTATTTATTAAAACTCAGAGCACTATCTTTTTAAAGCTCCCTCCCTTCAATAAGTGAGCTTTATCACATAAGAATTAACGATACTTGTTTCTTAAGAATGCCAGCCATGAAATTCATTCGCTTTGTAATTTAAGGAGGCTTTGTATTGGCAAAAGAACGGTCACTTGAATGTATGTTACAATTATGCATAGTGTGTATTCATTAAACAAACGCTTTTGTGCCACCAATGAATGAGACTTTATCGTTGCACTTCTTTGAAATTTGGCACATGAGATGACAACTCAAGACGCCTTTTATATTTAGTAAGGATCAGCAAATGAATTGGCCTAAGCTGCTGTAGTACATAGAGAGCTAGAACACACAAGTATGTGCTTTCTTTGTGTTCCCAAAGCAATAAGGTATATGTTAACAATCAGAATGCTTGTGGGTAACACTGAAAAGGCAGCTAAAATAATAGTCTGTAAATAAACAAACTGGTCCTTTGTATAACCTGTCAGGCTTTCTGTAATTGATGTGAACCAAAGTGTTAAGGTAGTTGCTCATAGAATGGCCAGAAGCAAAAAGTTAGTAGAACTGTAGCATTTTCCCATACTGAACTTCTTTCCACACACCACTGGAGAACGTTAGGGATTGCAAAATATGCTCTTTGAAAGGATAACTCTAAAAAAAAAACTACAGCTTAACTAAAAATGATAGGCTGAACTGTAGGAACTGCTTGTGGTTTGTTGCATGTCTCGTCCATCCCTTTAGCCATAAGTCTGTATTCCACCTCTTAATTATATCTAGATAATTATACTTCAATTCCAATGAGTCTGTCAACTAAGGAAGCATTGCCCAAAACCATAGTTGATGTCAATCTGCTCACCAAACCCAAGGCTTAATGTGATGTGAAAGTACCTATCCTGTGTTGAGGGAATAGTATATCTAATGGCAACCCTTTAGTGTCAGATAACTGCATCTTAAAGAAAAAAAGAAGAGGATGACTGTTCAAAGCTGTTCCAGATTGTTCTGTCTTCATAGTGCTTAAAAGTTGCATTTTACTTGCACTGCATTTCTAGAAGAGTAAAACAGTAGAAAAAGTGATGGATACCTTTTTATGTTAGAAAAAGTGAAAGAAATTATACAGTAGCTGTTAGTCTCCTTGATTTGCAGGAATTTTAATAAAAACAACATTCCCAAGCTCAAACTCCAGTATGATTTTAGGACTTAGGAAGAATGAGTATACATCATCATGGAAAATAAATCCCCTTCTTCTAAAAAGTAAGTTAAACTGAGATATCTTGTTAAGCCCTGAATAAAAAACAATTAGAACTGTAGCTGTCTACAACTATGACAGCAGAATAAGAGTGCCCTACTGAAATACATTTCATATAGCTGTTGTGTAATACGTCAAATTTATAGCTGTGCTCCAGGTTTTTGACTTAACATGTGTCACTAACTCAAGCTGACCACATGTTCTCTCTGTAATTGTTGATCTGGCTGAAAGGGGGGAGTGAGGGGGGGGGCTTATATATGGAAAATGAAGAATGAGCTGTTTTCCATGCTACTGGAAATCCAAGTATTTAAAATTGAACTAGCTGTGACCTGAAATGCCATGTGCTTTTGTTAGATACTTAAAATAACAGTAAGTCTGTTTCCATGTTCATGTAACTTATAGCCAGTACTCAGGTTTGTGCTTGGGGGTGGTGTAGGAGAAAGCAAAGTAGGAGAAGTGGGACAGGATTTCTGCTTTTATCCAAACAATGTGGAGCACTAACCAGAGTTTTCTCTGAAGTTCCAGGGCCTTCTGCAGCACTAACAACAATGCAGCTGTTCTCCAAGCAGAATCCTTCAAGACAGGAAGTCACCAAACTCCAGCAGCAAGTAAAAGCAAACGGTGCAGGTGTGACAGTGCTAAAGCGGGAAATCTCAGAGCTTCGCACCAAAGTGCAAGAGCAACAGAAACAACTCCAAGATCAAGATCAGAAACTGCTAGAGCAAACCCAAATCATAGGTGAACAGAACGCCCGATTGGCTGAGCTCGAACGCAAGCTGCGAGAGGTGATGGAGAGCGCAGTAGGAAGTTCTTCAGGTTCTGGTTCAAATGAACAATCTCCTAGAAAACGGAGGAAGGCGGTTGAATCCACAGACTGTCCTAGGAAATCTAAACGCCTTCGAAACAGAAAATAACTTGGGGAGTCACTGACGCCTTCAGGAGGATACACTGCTTTAGTAGCCCAAGCAGGTCTGCTCGTTTGGATACTGTGATTAGCTTCATGGTGTCACGTAGGCTGCTGGCTCTTCAACACACCACTTAGACTTGAACGTGAATTTTCTTTCATTGAGACTTTTCCCCTGCTTTCTGGATGGGTGGGCCTAATGCACAGGATCTTTAAGATTTGCAATAGATACATACTAACCAGACCTGCTCTGTTACATTTTGAAGGGTTAACCTTTTTTTTTTTTCCCCGTGCAAATGTGTTGAAAGTAAACTTATTTGTGTTTATGCGTATGTTCACATAAAATCTTAAATAAATTCAGTCTTAACTGACTAAAAAATTGAGCTTAAAAACAGATGTCCTGTTCACTTGAAGAAAAGACACGCTTTTAAAATCATATTTTAGAGAACTTGACTTTTTTGTTACAAGTGACCTTGTCTGGAATGTCTGAAAAGCAGTGAATACTTTTTTGGGATCTCTGTAACAAGTAAAACAGACTTGTTAAGTTACGCTATTGCCTATATATTTTTGTAAACTTACAAGGAAAGGCTTCTATCCAGTCTTCACATGCACACGCCCTAGTTCTAGGTCTTGGCAGCCATATTCTACATTTGCATGGATAGATGCATGTAGAGCTTAGCCTGCTAAAAGCACTTGTCTGAAGTTGTCCTTCGCTCTGAGTACAGAGACTTATAGAATGATTGCTTCGTTCCTCAGCCGTAGCTCCGCACCTGCATTCAGCACAACTGCTTTCTTACAGCAAGGTGGTCTTGCAGAGCTAGCAGCAGGAGCATTGGGAGCCAGCTACCTGCAGGCTACCTGCTGCTTTCACTGCCTGTAACTTGCAGGTATTGTTGGCCAAAGCAGGAGAACTGAGAAGCTGCCTACACATCACTTGATACGTAGGCAAATATAAGAATCAGACAAACTGTCCCTATGGTAACTAAACTCAGGGGGACACCAACTGAATGAAATGTTGTATTAAGGAATAATTTAAGCTATTTTGTGTATATGCGTTGGGAGTGGGGTGGAGATTTCTCTGTAATACTGAGGCCGATATTCCAGCCTTCTTTGTCCTGACAGGTAAATCACTTCAGACAAAGCTTTAATTTCTTTTGCACTTCTATTTTGAGCTTGTAACTGGAAAAGCATGTCTCGCACTGTTCAATCTCCCTGCTCACTTTAACAACCTCAGAGTTGTATACAGTGATTTTCTTTCCTTATCTGTGTATTTTTGGAACCTTATACAAATACCATTGTCCTTGGTTTTGTTTTAATGTACTAAACTACGTAGCTTTATCATTTGACTTACGTTTTCCTTTTTTGTTGGTTTTTTTTTTTTTTTTTCCTTTCGGCTTAGGTGGTGCCCAGTTCAACTTGGCATGGCACTGAAAATGCAAATGCTGCTTTCAGAACCCTGACACTCTTACCAGAGGTTAAAGTGTGGCTTTCCTGTAGTGCTGACAGCTTAACATGAGGGTTGTACGTGAGTCACCAACAGAACCAGAAATCATCTGGTCAAATGTTCTAAAATTGTAGAGAAAAGATATTTTTCCTGAAACGTAAGGATTTTGCTTCTGGGACATATGAGCTCATATCAGGAGTGACACTGCAAATGCCTAATTTTTGGTAGATGATTTTCAGATATACCTGTTTGATGCTTTTAGGCTTTTCAGAAGGCATTCTGAAGAAGACAGAAGGTTTCTTAAGAAGAGCACTGAACAAGTGGTGCAAAGTTATCTGGGGGAGATGTTAAACCAGTAAAGGCCGATTTGCTATTACTGGTCTTCCACTGCTCATATATTTTTTACTCCTGAAGGTTGGTATTTTGAATCATTCTACATGCCAGCTTGCTAGCTGTATCTTTCAATACAAATTCAGTTGATGATCTTTCAGGTAGACAAAATAACATAACGATCCAATTACCAGATACTTGTGGTTAAATACCTCTGAACAAGCATAAACTTGTTTTTATTGCATTTATTGAGAAGGCTTGTTGGTACATCTCTTAACATCTTTCACTTTAGTTTCTTTGTTCTCTTCCACGAGATGCAAATGACACTCTTCACAGCACACAGGGACAATCGAGTTAATCAGCAGTGCCATTTTTTAATATGCTGGTGAACCTGTAGAGCTATGTGTAAACTGAGATTCAAAGAACAACAGTGTATTGTTACATGAAACATTCTCTGAGAGCGGTGCCAAGTTGGAACCTTCAGCTCAAGGAAGTGTCACATGCTGCAAGTCAGCAGGTGCATCCTGACCCTCGGCGGGCTGCCAAGCACACTGCAATTGAACCAAGCCCACTCAGCTGCACGGGTAGAGGGGAGCAGTACAAGCAAGCTCTGAGAAACGCCACCAAGGACCCAAGAATAGTGCACAGCCTATTTTCCTTTCCACTTCCTGAGAAGGGAGAGTTCAGCACTGGATGGTCCCAAGAGGACTGGAATAAGCATCAGTGGTACAGAATGTAGAAAACAGTGAATTAATAGCTTAGAGACAATAGCTGGACGTTAACTTCTGACTCTGGATAGTACCTTATTAAATAAAAAAGAATGCATTTTGCAATACATGAACAAGTTGATACCTAGGCTGAAGTAAAACTAAATTAATTTTGACTTTATAGATTACTGTGCATGTTTACAAGGCTTAGTGTGTCAACATGGTAAAGTGCAGCGATCATTGCAATCAGTGACCGTATAATCTGTGCAAGGGAGAACCTCAAACCAGTCAGACTAAGGTGTTGTTTATGAAGTAACATGAAAAGCGTTTTATTTGCAGCCAGTTATCAGACTGTAGCTTTATGACCTGCAGCAAGGGCTGGGACTGAGCAACTCAGAGTGGAAGGAAAGCGATAGCACTGGTTTTCCATCGTTCGTTTCTGAAAATTGCTTAACACCAAGGCTGGCTTTCCTTCTTCTTTAGCTTATTTTATAAAACCAGCAGCTTCCTTTTTGTTTCACAGTTGTTTGGTGAGTTTTTTTTTCTAAGTTTGTATATGTAATGAACGTGGTGTGGATGGTCTCAGAAGACTCTTGAAGCTGTACAGTGATATTTTCTGAGGAAGGGGCTGTTAGCAGTTGCATCCTGCTCCCCAAATGGAATAACACGGCATTTTCCAGTGAGTATGGAAGTACAGAACACAAGCATCTTCTGAACAAGGCCTGATGAATGTAATTGATCAAAGCCCTGAAGGAAGGAAGACTGCTTAACAAAGTAGATCGCTCAGATTCAAGAGCTAGTAAATTCTTAATATTCCTAATACCCTTTTCATAATGCATTAATCACAGAGGTGACTGATGTTATGAGGATGTCTTCACATAGTTTCTTCACATAAAAGTTAAGGCTGTTTTGAAAAAGAAACCCAGTGGTTGCTCTTGTTGAGATCTACTAACAGTTAACTATTGAAGTACTAAGGTTGCCAAGGGAATTTTCAGCATCAAGAGCCTCTTATAAATAGGATGGCATAGCATGTAGTTAAATCAGTCTTCAGATAGGACTATCCAATCTCTTGGTATTTCTCCTGGTTTTGAGAACGTAACTGGAAAACTGCAGTGTCAGACCATTCTTATGTTAATCAGTAATTTCACTTTGGAGTATTTTATATTAACATGTCTACTAATTGTCAACTATTCTAAAGCAATCCAGTTCCATGCCTGTGGCACTTTGCACCGTATTTGGAGCAGCCCGCGTGTCCTCTGCTGTGGTGGAGTCGTGCTCACTGCATCACACCTTCCTGGTTGGGCAGGGATGTGCTGCCAGCTTTGGTTTATGTGTAACCAAACACTGCAGGATTTTTGTCCTATCCTCGTGCCATCTGATGACACGCTACGTGCTGCGTCTCTGTCTTCTAAAAAGAAAATGTCAGGTAGGAAACCTGTTAGCTTGCTGAAAACCTAATAAATCTGGATTTGTTCTATGGACTGCTTAAACCAGAAAGACTCAGCAATTAAACAGAAAAAAAAAATAATAATAATAACAACACTTTCTTATTTAATATCTTTCTCAGCTACTTAAGCTCTGTTTGGCTGACATTAGCTGTTTAGTTTATGAATCTTTATGGAATGCTGTATTAATTTTCCCACTGAAACTTGTGGTTTCACAAACCTTCAGCACAAGAACTCTGCCTCTGTGTACTGAGCTCTAGTACTCCTTGAGTGCTCACAGAAACCATCAGAAACCTTTCTTATCAGCAGACCCATTCATTCTTTGGCAGGATCATCCCAACAGATGAGAAGGCCTTTAGTGCCACGATGGATAGCAGTGCTAATATTTGAACTGCAACCCTAAGGGGTAATTTTCAGAAACATTATGTACAGGGCTTAGAGTGCAGGTGAGCAGCACACTTGGGATCTTGGCAATTGTGCAGCCTGCCTCAGCACTGAGAGCACAGAGCACTTCCTGGTTTACTGTTAAGCAGGCACTGAGCAAAGAATAAAACCGAACATCCCCTGCAAGGACAAAATGCCTCAGTGAAATTCAGACATCTGTTTTACTAACCACATTGCACCAATCCTGACAAAGCACAGAATTCAGATTGCGTGACCGAGCAGAGAAAAGCTGTGAATTCACTTATTTGCCATCTCTGCTGCTTTTTTTTTCACTGCACATTTTAACATAGAGATTAAAAATGCATGTAACCAAAGACATTTGCTGTTCTACTTTACAGAGCTTGTGCTTTGTCCATTACTTTACACCATTTTGAAATGGAGTTTGTATTTCCCCTGTGTTTGGTACAGCTGCGGCTGTGTGTACTAACCTTGATGCATTATTATTAATACATTTTAAATGAGTCATCATGAGCCTTGAGATATTCATGTGACATTAATAGATAAGGTCTAGCTTTCTTTGTGATAACGTTTCCTGCTGTTTTTATAGCTGCTATGGATTTTGATTATTTTAATTTCAGTGGGTTTGTGGACAACAAAGATTCCAAGCAAACAGTTGTTTTACTTAAAGTCATCCTGGTAAGCAAACCATTCACAGTATTGTACAAAACAGAGATGCAGGACCAGATTAAATTGAGTTCGTCTCTTAGAGAGAAGTTTGCCAAAATTGTTCCTAAAATAATAGAAAACATGAAGAAATCAGAGACCCTGGTGCAGGCATTTTGAATTGCAGTTAGATACTTTTAGGCACCTTTAGAAACGTGTATTTTGGCCAGATGATGGCAAGTCCTTAGAGCCACACATCCCTTACCTTCGGAACAGAACACGTTTTGTTTAAAGAACTGCTACACTTTCTTATTATGAATTTAATTCTTGTTGTATTATTTTATCATCCTATTTATTTTAACGATATTTTAGTGATCCAAAAATACGTTACTGCTTTATTTATATCCCGAGTACAGCAACCAACAGCTGCTGTAACACACTGTTATTTCCACTCTCGCTGCCTAAGAAAATGAGTCACAGGGGAGTGCATTGTCTGCCCACGTACCTCTGACAGCTTTTGGACGTGTCCAAACAGCCGAAAGGGGCACAGAATCGCCCAGAATCACATTCACAGAATCATAGGGCTTAGAAGGGACCTCTGGAGATCATCATGTCCAACCCCCTGCTACAGCCATTCCTTGCAGTAGGTCGCACAGGAAAGCAGATCTTGAATTTCATCTCCAAGAAGGAGAGTCCACAACCTCGCAGGGAGCCTGTTCCAGTGCTCCGTCACCTTCGAAGTAAAGAAGTTTTTCCTTGCGTCTGTACGGAACCTCCTGCGTTCCACCTCGTACCCCCCTGCCCTTAGTCCAACCTCGCTGTCTGAAGACAGCGCCTCTGAAGGGCAGGCAGGCCGGGACACCGGCACGAGAGCTGTCCCACAGCGCGTGGCACGGCTGTTACCCCTGGACTGCCTCGTGTCCGCAGGGCGGGCCGGGGAGGTGGCTGTGGTGGCAGCCGGGTGCGCGGGGCACGGCGAACTGACCTCCCCACAGGGCGGGCGGTGCTTTCTGCCATTTTGAATTGTGGGATGGGGACAGAGGGACTTTTGGTTTCCGTGACGCTGCGGTGCCAGAGGGCTCTCAGAGGTAAAGCGAGAATTACAAGCCACGGAGTGTCCTTAACTCCTAATTAATTATGCATACAGCATTATTCCAAACTAATAATGCAGACAACGCTATTACCGGTTCGAAACGCCAGCTCCTTCCACGCGTCTTGCTCCGTGCTCCGGCCCCGCGGCGTTACAGACCCTCACGACAGCGGGGCTGAGCTCAGACGAGGCCCAGGGTGGGCAACCGGGCTCCTGCTCCGCCGAGTAGCGAAGGGACGGCTCTCCCCTCACGGCGCGACCGCGACACCGCTACCCTGAGGGCAGGGGCCCGCCCCACCCTGCTCCGCTGAGGCGCCGGCAGCCAGGCGGCCCCTGAGGGAAGAGCGAGGAGCGCGGGAGGCGGGGTCTGACAGCCTGACAGCTCGAGATGTCCAATCAGAAGAGAGAACGATACGAGGGGGCGGGGACTCTCTCAGCCATATAAAAGGACTGTGCCGGGGGGCGCCGGCAGTCAGGCGGCTGAGGAGCGGGGTGAGTGGAGTTGTCGCCATGGGTAACACCGTCGCCAGGGAGGACTTCGAGTGGGTGTACACGGACCAGCCTCACGCCGACCGCCGCAAGGAGATCCTGGGTGAGGGGAGGCAGCGGAGGCGCTCCGTGGCGAGGGGGCTGCCCGCAAAATGGCTGCCGGCCCAGCCGTCGAGGAGCCTTGGAGGCGGCGGAGCGCCGGGGCCGAGCCGCTGGGGCTGCGGGGCTGCGGAGGAGCGCGCGGGGATGGGGCTTTGGGCCGGGCCTCAGGGCGTGGGGGTGGCGGCCGCCGCCTTGAGCGGGGCGGATGGGGCGGAGGGGGGGGGAAGGAGCGGGAAGGAAGGAAGGAAGGAGGGAGGGAGAGAGGGAGGGCGGACAGCGACGGTGTTGGATAGTGACCGGAAAGCTCATAGCTGGGCTTGTGCGCTGTGTGCTCGTTGTCGGCTCCACGCCATTTCCTTCCCAGATAGGTTGAGGTGACATTAGCGCTTGCCACGTTACTGGCAAGCCGCTGAGCGATTGAAAAAATGTGGAAATGGCTGAATTCTGGTATCGTTAAAAGCGTGTTTTTGTTCCTGTGGTAGATGAGTCCTCGCTGAATGGAGGGGGAAGGATGTCTGTGTGTTTCTGTGGCTTTATTAGGCTAGAACTCTGTGAGGAGAGGTTTGTGGTGGTGCCCTGATGGTTGGACACGATGATCTTGAAGGTCTCTTCTGACCTCGGTGGTTCTGTGGTATCTGTATCTTGTGTAACTCTCTCCCCTGTAGCCAAACACCCAGAGATCAAAGCGCTGATGAAGCCGGACTACAACTTGATCTGGGTGGTGGTGCTGATGGTCGCGGCGCAGCTGACTGCCTTCTATCTGGTTAGAGACCTGGACTGGAAGTGGGTGGTCTTCTGGGCGTACGTGTTTGGGAGCTGCATCAGCCACTCCATGACTCTGGCCATTCACGAGATCTCTCACAACAGTGCATTTGGCAACGGCAGAGCGATGTGGAATCGGTGGTTTGGAATATTTGCCAACCTCCCCCTCGGGCTGCCCTATTCGATATCCTTCAAGAGATACCACATGGATCACCATCGATACCTGGGAGGCGATGGAATCGATGTGGACATTCCCACCAACTTTGAAGGCTGGTTTTTCTGCACTCGCTTCAGGAAGTTCATCTGGATTGTTCTTCAGCCATTTTTCTATGCCATTAGACCCCTCTGCATTAATCCCAAACCAATTACTCGACTTGAAATCATCAACTTGCTGGCTCAGCTTTCCTTCGATATTGTGATCTATTATTTGTGGGGAGCCAAATCCCTTTTTTACATGCTTGCTGGCTCAGTACTTGGCCTTGGATTGCACCCGATTTCAGGACACTTCATAGCTGAACATTACATGTTCTTAAAGGGGCACGAGACTTACTCCTATTATGGGCCACTTAATTTGCTCACTTTTAATGTTGGCTATCACAACGAGCACCATGACTTCCCCAATATTCCTGGCAAGAGCCTTCCACTGGTAAGTTTAGTTCTGAGGCAGTTCTTTTTCTTAAGCTGAGCCCTACTCTGATGTGAAAATTGGGAAGAACACAAGCTTTTAGAAGAATGCAAGCTTAAAAAACCCCAGAAGTTAATAGAATATGGAGAATCTATTAAGCTTAAGAGTTGAATGGGGGAGAAATGCTGAACAGATCCTAATTTGCTGTTCCACCATTTCTTAAAGGAGGGGAAAGGCCTGTCCTCATGCTGTCTTGGCTTTGTGTTTTATCTGACTCCTAGGTTTCCGTAATTGCAGCAGGCCTCCAGTGTTCTTTTTCAGTTTGGAAGTATGCAGAAATCTAATTAAGAAGTTAAAGGAACCTCCAAAACTTTGTCAGCTCTGTTTCTGGTATCTTAAGTAAAATAATGTGTATTTATTCTTCAATCTCCTTTACCAATGACATTCTCTGGTAAGGAAAAGATAAGACCGGAGATACTGCTAGTGTGTGTTGTAATTCTACAAATGTTCAATAGCTTTCTGTTCTGAAGCAGTTTCAGTTTTGTCTAGTAAGAACCTTTGAACCCCTTGATAAGTGTCAGCTGTACACTGACAGTTAAGGCTTCAAAGCTAAGACTTAGGCCTGTGGCATCTGCACAAGTGGCAGATGGGTCTTTCACATTGGTTCCCTCCCTCTTCTAGCTCAAGATGCTGGGACTCACTGACTTGCTGTTCGTACCTAGGTTTGTGCTGATGAACCAGATTTTACTTAATGCATATATATGTAAGTTCTAAGTAGGGAATTCGTTTTTGCTGCTACAAAACTGGTAGTCTATGGCTTTAATAAGAAAATGAGGGTTGTTTTTAAAAGAAGTGTAGTTAACTTTGTTGGACTGGAGTTTGCTATTTGGTGAGCTGAAGATAGCTGAAGTAGTGGGGTACTGCTGAGCTGCCCCTGCTTTAGATGACCTATTTCATAGGTGTGATGATAAATCAGAAGTATCCTCAGCTCTGAACCTAGCATGTAAACAACTTGGTTTGTTTGTTGCTTATAGAAATTAACAATAATCCTCTGACACAGGAATTCTGTGGAATTCAGTGAAAACTCAGTTTTGTTGTGTTCAGGCTCTTAAGGCTTCAGATAGTTAACTAGAAGTAAATAATAAGGATACCTGATTGAAACTCCAGCATTTCTAGACCTCTAGCTTACAAAAGCAGTCTGTTCAGCCCCTACATCTAAGAGTAAAATCTTCAGAAGCTGATTATATTCATTCTTAGAAATGAGATGTTCCTGAGAAATAGTGTTCAGAGTGAGGTTTGAAACTCTATATTAAAATGGCTGTTAACTCTTTCAATTTCGCAACATCTTTTTTTTTTTTAGTGAGACTTGTATATACATGAGCCAGCTCTGAACTGAGTCATTTCAGCCAGCAAGCCAACAGCTTTTGTGCTTTCTTGGGGCTGGTGAGCTGCATGGTTCTGTAGGCAGCACAGTAAACAGACCTCAGGGGTAGGCTCAGCTTGTTCTGGTTCTCCTCTCCAGTGTACAACTTTTCAAACTACTGTGTTTCAAGAAATTGCCACATTATGACACTAATAGCTGTTCTTCTAGAGTCTAACATCTAAACTGGTGCTAGTGGAAATAGTAATGTAAATAGTAAATGAATCTTGTGTCTCTCTTTAGGTGAAGAAAATAGCAGCTGAATACTACGACAACCTGCCACAGTATAACTCTTGGATAAAAGTACTTTATGACTTCGTGATGGATGATACAATCAGCCCTTACTCGCGCATGAAAAGGCAATTAAAGGGTGAAGTGAAGCAAGATTAAACTTCTGGCAACCAAAAAAACTTTGTCTGCTTGCTTTGAAGTGACTGGTACAAGGTCTCTTGCTAAAGATGTTAACTAGTGTCCTGAGTTAAGATCCACAGCAACACAGCAATGCATTCTTAAGGTTATTTTGTAGGAGGCTACTACCATCTACAACATTCCTAGCAGTACTCAGATTCACTGGTTAAATGTGTGTGTTTGCCTAAGGATCAGTGTTATACACATAATGCTAAATCTCTTTGTTACAGAATTTACTTTGGCAGGTGTTTAAATCTGTATGAAATGTTTGGCGCTCATATTTTAAAAGTTCTTAATGTAGTACACTGTCCCTACCATGCAGTTTAGGTGATAGTAGTATTAAGATGCTGTACTTATCTGTTAATTCTAAACTAACATGATTTGGTCAACTTAAATCTTCTGTTGAACTTATTTCCTGATTCACAGGTGGAAAAACTAAATATCTGCTCTTGTTGAAGTAGGTAATGTTATCTGAAGCATTATTCAAAAGGAAGTTACCTGCTCTACAGAAAGTACTCTAAAGGAGCATTGTGTCACTTAGAATGAAATAGCCATGTTCTAGATGGCTTACGTGGTGGCCTTGTTAAAAGGTGGGGAATTTTGATGGTATTGCTGTTCTTGAGTGTCCTCTCCTACTCCTTAAGTGACTCGTGCTAGAATATAGCTTGAGCAGCCAGTGCCTGAAGTTGTACCTGCTGTGAGGGAACTTAGCAGAATTGAGGTTTCTCGTACTGCAGAAATCTTGCTATGGTTTGGAATTCTTCTTATCTGCAAAGGAAAATGAGAAGGTAGAACCTGGTTGGTTCTGCTGTTACCATGGATTTAAATACTGGCTCTAATATTTACACCTGCTTGGAAATTTGGCTGGTATGGACAACCAAATTAGTTGAACCAGATACTGTTCTGGCAAACAGTGCTAACTACAGCAACTGGCAACTTGACCTTTTCAGTTATTAGTCCTTTATGTGTGCAGAAAGCTGTTGCTAAATGTTCTTCCTATTTTTTTTTAAACCTTCCCTACATAAACACTGGTCTTAATTACATAATAAAATGTGGTGAGAGCACAGGTGATGCTATTGAATTACTTGAAGCATTTAAAGTGGGAACAAAGAATGGATTTACTGAGCTCTAAAGAACCTTTATATACCTCAATACAGTGTATTTCTTCTGTATCATTTAATGCCTTGCTGATGGTCTTAAGATGTGGAAGATGGATACAAATTGCTCCCAAATATCAAATGCTGATTCTATGATGTGTTCTTATTTAAAAGGTGGAATCTGATAAAGGTGGGAGGCTCAGGCTGCTCTCCATGCTGGTCTGCTATAATTTCATTTTTGGATGACTTTAATGCCTGCATTTTTTTTACCTGAGAAGCATACATCCTTACATCTTAACCCTCACTTGATTGCAGTTGTATTTCTAATAGAGCTTTGCTTTTTTTTTTTATAGAAGCCTGGGCCCTTATCTGTGATTAAGTAACAGAAGTGGTATGAAGGTGTGCCAACCAACTTTTTACAACATGACCTCATTGTGATGCGAATGATGTAATAGTTAGCCAGCATATTGCTCAGGGTACAGTGTAATGTCCAAGTATACCTTATTCAGTATTTTTATGTGTAATTAAAAAGCAAAGATTAAAGTAATATTGGGTGAATTTTTAACTGATCCCCTAACACTGAATATCTAGATCAAGCTAGTATTCAAATGGTTGCTGCAAGAAGGGCTTTCCTACTGAGTGGTGTTGTGGAATGAACTGTTGAGAATTACTGCCTATTCTTTTTACTCCGTAGAAAATTTAGTTTGGAAGATTTGAATGGAGTTAAATTGTAAAACAGTTTATTTTTAAGCCCCTTCTTGTATGTCTGCTCAAGTGAGGAATTGAATAGTGGTATGAAGTATCTTCAGTGTTGATGGCTCACCATAGCAAAATGAAGGATGGGAAGTCCCTCTATAATGTTTTATCGCTAAAAGACTGGATAAATTGATTATCTTTATTTATCTAGGAAAACTGAGATCAGAGGTGAACAACTTCTGTTAGGCTTAGTAGCCTACTTTCAAGTCTAATTATAAACACTTTAAGTGCAGGATGGTGGAGAGATCTGAGGAAGTTATCTATGCTTGCCATAACCTTCCTGAAACCTCTAGCTGTGATTTGAGGAACGCTTGTACTAGGTTAATCTGAGCCAGTAAGACTTAATGTTTGGATCTGAACTCGTTAGATTTTTTGCCAGCATGGGTAACTACCCTTCTAAGGTATCTAACCTCTGCATTGCATAAGAGTTATCTGCATCTAACTTCATTAGCAGGTGTTGTGCTAGAAGCAGGTCATCTCAGAGCTGACCTATATTGCAGCATAGCTTCATTCTTAAAAAGAAAGTTAAGAACCTTCTGAACAACTGAGAAGAAACTAAGATCATTTGGGAGTACTGAATTTGTAGTGTATATATATTCTTAACTATTATTTTTTCAGTCCAAAGGTACAACACAAATAAGAAACATTAACAAACATTAACAAACTTCTTATTCATATGGACAGTGTCCTCATTGTTTAAGGAATTAAATAATCTTCATTAATGCTATTAAAATATATCTGGCAGAAACAGCTTGGTGTAATTGTTGAAGGCATAACCTGAAAGTTGGAGGCAGTATCAACTAGCCAGTGAAGATGAACTCAACCTAACAAGCACTAAGGACCTTGACAGTTATTTTTAATTCTAGTCAGATGGAATTAATGAGCTGTTTGAGTTTATTCTGTCCTGTGTAACTAAAGCATCTTACTAGGTTGTCAGTTAAACTCTTCCTTTATGTGAAATCAGCCTGGAGTTTAACTGTCAAAACACAGCTGACCAAGGGTCAACTGTTAAATGTCATCCAAGTATTGTAGCTGCAGTTAAATAGCACAGAGCTCTGAATGCCCCTCAGGGCTTTCTGAGCAACTCAAAGTTTTCAGAGTAAATTGCTGTTCATGGTTCTCCACACTTCCTTCCCCTGCCCCTGATTATTTGAAGTTGCTTAAGTGGAGTAAGTAATGCATCCTGGAGTCTGATCCAAGGCAGTTTTCCCACAGGACAGGCGTGGATTTATTCCTCTTTCAAAATGCCTTTTGCCTTTGGCATTCTAGTTTTGCTGTAGAACCTGTCTGTTCCAGGACAGTAGCCAAATTATCCCAGGTTAAATAGCTGCACCCTTCTGTCTGCATGACTCCATACTTTCAGATCCAAGCAAGACTTTTTACTTAGAGCCATATGTCAGTCAAAAAGTAGTTATGGTTTCTGGTTCTGTATCTATATTAAAACTTTTCTGTTAAGGCTTTAAATGTAGCTTGTAAGTACACAACACATGCTTTAAATTAAAATCTATAAATGCTGAGAAATGATCTTTAATAGGTTAGCAGGCAGTGTTACATAATGAGCTCAGTGTCTCCACCCCCTTGTCCTTTGTTCTCACACCAGATGAAGTGCAGAGCTGCAGCGGAACTTTCATCTATTTTCCAATATAAAACCAAGTTCCACAATCAGTAAGGTGGCCTTATGCTATTGACTTGTTTGGTCACTGGCACTTCTCCTTTGCTTAAAGTGCCAGTACTATGGATGAATCTGCAGGCTGCCATACCTGTTTTGGTGGATGACAAGTAGAAAAGTTGGTTTCAGATAGGAGGCAAGGGCACTGCGTGGTATTCAAGACACAGCTTTAGGGAAGTGCACTCTTTTGTAACTTGAGTTTCAATTCTTAGGGGAAAACCAAATTCTTTTGTACTTTGCACAAAGCAGGGTATTTCTACCATGTAGATATGCCTTTATAGCAATCTGTAACTGTACACATGCAATTCTCTGATGAATCCTGTATTTCAATCAAGCCTGCAGTAACAGACAAGACTTCTTAAGGACAAAAATGTTCAAAATTTTCCAATTGATCCTACACCAGCAAATTTCGTGTTGAAACTTCTCTGAACCATCTCCACTCCCTATGCATGCTTAAGCTACCACACAATATGCCCTGGTAGAGAGTCATTGTGATTTAGATATGTGGCTAGCCTCAGGAAAAGGGAGGGAAGAATGGCATGATAAACTTTTTCTTGATCTTGTCCCAACAGAAATAAGATGACTAGAGGGAAAACTTCCTCTAGATACATCTGCTATTAAGCAAGCAGCTGCATATGCAGAACAAAGTAGTGGTCTCTGCAGTAAGAACAGGCTTGTTCTTGAAGTGATGTCTATTTCTTATGTATGGGCACAAGCGATCTTGCATTTTCTCTTATCAACAGCTTTTCAGTGATGAATGCTGTAGCCTAGGCAGAACTTCTCACAAGAAAAAGCACTGTGGCTATACTACTTTCTTGTGGGAGCAGTCAAGCAGAGTACAGCTGAATGCTTTCCTGTTCTTCGACAAACAGGTAGCCCAGACATGGTAAGCAACTTCAACTTCAAATTTTCTGGTAATTTCAAATCTTCCTGCACTGAGTTTACTTTTCAAATGTCACACTTCAAGAGGAATGATCATCAAACACCTTGAACGTTACACATACTTCAGCAAGATGAATTATTACTACTATTTAGTATTTCTTGATCTTTTTTCTACCCTGCTTTCTTGTTTCATGTAGTTTCATGTATACACATAGGAATAGTATCATGGTAAGAGAAGAGTAGGAGAGAATTCTTAACGTATATGCCAGGGCTTCAGGATTTGACTCCTTTGTAAGCTTGTTAACTATAGCTATACTTAAGTCTGATAGCAGTATTTTCTTTTATGGATATATGAAGGAAAACATCCACATGGTTATTTTCAGTTGTGAAAGAGTGGCTTGTTTGCCACACCTTTTTCCAGGAAAGGACACCAGGTATTTCTGAATTGTATCACTGAAGTTGCATCACAGATTTTTCTTCTAAATTTTATGTAGTTTATTTCTTGTTAGAAATTGATACATGTTACCAGTGAGTTTAAAAAAAAAAATATGATGGCTAGAATTATCATTCTTAAAAGCAGAACTGCTTGCAGCTTCAGAATTGCTGTTTGATTCAGCACATGCTCTTTAAACACAGATTTCATTGTACACTTTCTGTGAAGTTTGCTAGTAGAAACACTTCCTTTTTTGATGCTTGACTGATAGTTGGACTGTTTTAGGAAGAGTAAGACTGATTATAGGTAGCAACTGGGGTACTTTCGTTGCCTCCTTAAGGAACTTTGTAGATTGATGACAGCAGTAAAAATCAGAAGGCAAGTAGGTGTCAGAAATTAGTTGCCCTGCCAGTAACAGTAACACTTCAGTGTTTTAACTTAGATACTTCCAGTCTACTGATGCTGAATGTTATAGCCATCTTTCCAAGATGAAATTTTCTTGTTACAAAAGATACAACTTTGTATTAAGACCCAGCTGTGAGAACAAATGAAAGTATCTGATCAAGAACATACTGAAAAATGCCATCAAACTGGATTTCCAGCAGCACTTTAAGGTAGCTGGAAGAATGAAATTGAGCAAAATGAGTTCTTTTACATCGTGTAAAAGAATGAGATCTTTCAAGTGTGTTTCTGCTGATTAAGGCTGTTTCTCAGTTGTGAATTAATAATCACTTAAAGTAAAAAATGTAGTTTGAGTTTCTTCCTTGGCTGTTTCTTACAACAGTAATATTTTATAGAGGATATCAGAATGCTGAATTAAGAAATTCAAGTTGGTAAGAATTTTCAGAGTTTTTTAACAATTCTAACAGTTGTTAACACTTAATTTGAAGTACTTCTTAAATAGTTTAATCATAACATCACAGCATTTCTGAGACTTCCAAGATTTCCAGGGTAACTTTTAAGCTATCTCTAGATAGCTCATTTTCATAAGGTGGAAAAAGATTGTCAAACTCTGAGTAGCTGTGCTGGCACAATCAGTGTATCACTATTTCCAAACAGCATGATTAATAGAGTTACACACTGCACTATATCTCCAGTCTCCTTTCACAACTCTCTTCTCCATGTAATTCCTCCAGAATCCTTGTTCTTGAAAACATAAGTGTTTTAATATTTGAAGATACCTCTGAATAGTAGAAATGTGGAAGAAGCCTGTCTGCTTCTGAGGGATTTCTGCATTAATGTTTGGTGTCCTTAATCAGAATGGACTCAGATCTTTAGCACTAAAAGCATTTATTTTTAAACTGTAAATGTGATGAGTAGAAAATGTATATTGCATCTTCTATTCTACAAATAGTTTAAGGACTGTTTACAACAGTAGATTACAATAACCTTTTTTTCAGGTGCATGACAACAAGTTCAGAGAGATGGGGTACAGCTTCTTTCCAACCTGTATCTTGAAATCTGGCACAGGGTTATAAAATTCTCTGCAGAGTAAGTCTTTCCTAGGAGAGAATGTATCACCTGCACAGTGATTGACGCAGTTCTTCATACATTATTTGATCCTGTAAGTGCAAAGACAAGAAGAAAAAAGACTCTAGACAATGGGAAAAATATATGCAGCACTTAAGAGCTACTCTTCTCTCTTGTCAAAATAAAGAACTTACCAGCTATATGAGACACTAGCTCTACTTTTAAAATATTTACCAGAAAGAAAGCTAACTAAGGGCAAACAAGATCCTACTGCCCTTGTAAATGAGGCTTTCAGCAGCAGTTAGTGGTACATAGTTAACAGAGGGCTTTGGCAGAGTTCACATAATTCACATTGCCATGCTAGGCTCAGAACATCACAAGAACACTAGTGCTCTTTTTGCCAGGGAAGCTCCCAAATTGTCACTCCCACCTACTTCTGCCAAAAATAAGCAGATAAGAATATCTTTTACTGATCTTGGTTAATAGTAACTGTTCCTTTATCTTTCCACTAGTCACTCAAAATGATCATCTTGAGGAAGTGAGTACTTTAAAAATGTTAAATCTTACTAAAATTAGCAGCATGCAGTAGGTATCTGGCTTCAAAAATAACTTGTGGTTAGCCTCTGATCAATCAAATACACAGTAAGTCAACTGAGATGTATGTAGGAGAGAAGAGACTCAAATGAATCAGTCAGATTCAGCTGTTTCCCAGTATTGACAGGAGAACATGTAGAATTTGCTTGATTCAATATATCTAGCAGGTAAGAAATAGTATATGGAAATGGGAGATAGTTCAAAATATTTATTTTGATAAATGCTCTTGGCTGTACAGGGAGAGCTATTAACAAGCAATTTCTATATAATCTTCTCAATTATAGTAATTAAGATAATTGAGCAACTTTCATTTCAAAATAACTAGTCATAAGATAACCTTTAAAATGAACTTCCTTGACAAATGCAAGCGATTAAAAACAAAGATGATAGGACATAAAGAAAACTTTATCTCAAAATGATGTATCTTACACCTTAACAGAGATGGCTGAGCACCTGATGGCATATCCATTAGGGGGAGAAATAGTGGAGGCAAAGGGTAATGCCTTGACTTTTGTGCCTGTGGAATATTCATTTAAGAGGTGAGGGTCAGGTGAATAACTAGTCTGGAAACATCAATTAAAAGTTCAAGGTACTACACTAAATGCTAACCTTGGCAGTGTGGTAATCCATTTACCACAAACCATCATCTATCTGCTGATGAAGAGGGAGACGTTTTTCAGAAGTTCAGAAATGAAAATCTTGGTTATTTAATGCAGAAACAGGTAGCGTCAGTAGTTGGTGAAATACATGCAAATACTTTGCAACTTTAAGTACTTCTACCAGTCTCTAACAAAGAAAGAGAATCCTTTTCAGAGGGCTGGTCAGCCTCACACACCTGAAGCTGTTCTTACCTTTTTTGATACTGAAGATTTCACTTTTCTAAAAGCTTCTTCAAAGTGTTTATGGGAAATCTTGATTTCTCCTTTAAAAAAAAAGAAACAAAATATATTATACAAGGAAACTGCAGGTAAGTGACAATCAAGTGATTTTGTTTTTGCTTGTATTATAATGCAGTATTCATGAAACCTAATTCCATGTGCTAATCCTGCTACTTTTATTTCTGGACTTTACTATCTAGATGTGTTCAACATCAAGCTTCCCTATGGAATGCTACTTAAACACCTAGAAACTTAATTAAATATTAATTTATATATTTATATATGTTTACTTAAATACCTAGATTGTTATCCAGATTCTACAACAAGATGCTCAATTCCTAAATAATTCACTTCATGTGATTTTGTTTGACCTCAACCAGAACTGAAAGCTGTCTTTACTTTTTCAGTTGCTGGTTTTTTTTAATGTGTATATAAATCCCCTTTCTGACCCTAAAGCAGCTGCTTGGAGTAATTTTTTCCTAACCATACTTCTGGAACAGGTTTGTGGTTTGGTTTTTTTGGTCTGTTACCAGGTAAGCATACCTCAAATAAATCATGGTTTCCTCTGTTCTCAGAAAGCAAGCTTTCTTTAGCCCAGATGCCACTACCACAGATTCAGTACAGTGCTAACATGCACAGTTATCAAAGGGAGAGGTAAACAAAAGTATGCTTAGAGTTAATTTGGTGCATTTTTCATGCATTTCATTAAGAAACCTTTTGCTTCCAGGGATATGTACTGCCAGTGCCTTTGCAGACATGTCTGTCATGTGATAGGACGTGCAGATGTTACAAAACTTTAAACTTTTCAATATATTTGATGTCAGAGTTCAGAAGAATGTTTTGCTGCATAGCAGGTGGAGATGCCTAAATATGAGAACTTGTTCAAGATGCAGATAAAGTTGAGCAAATTAAACATACAACTTAGCTGCTTCTCATCTTGGTTCTCTGAAGCTTTTATTCAGGATTCCCTCTACAATATGAAGTTATACTAGTAAGAAATAAAAGGTGTAAACTTAACATCTGAATGTAAGTATCCTATTTCCCCAAGACAATACCTACAGTTAGTGAGGAAAGCTCAACTTCACGGAAGTCACATGGCTTCAATAGCAAGTCATCAAAACTCCATTAAATATAAAAAGACAGCACTGAGAATTTTTTGCTTTCACTTCTGTTTAAGTCTGTTTACTTGAATTATTAAACTAGCTGAGACTATATTTAAAGGGAGAATAAAAAGAAAACAGCTGCAGTCATGAGGAAGACAATAAGGACATCACTATCAGAAAAAGTTACGGTGAAATAGTTTGTCATCAAATCTAAGTGTATTAGCTGTGACAAGCATATTCTTATGTACTGCTAGTTTACCTCTCAGCAAGAGTAGGTTGGGGGCTTTGCATTTCTTGTGTGGTAAGAGCAGGCACAGTGCTTGTTAATATCAAGCTAGTGTTAGTAACCTGTACCTTTGCTGCTTGCATTCATATAGCTTGCCTTGCTTTTTTTGACTGCAAAACCATTTAGCCTGGGAAATTAAGTTATGTGTGGTTACTTGTCTTTTAGCAGTTTCTCTTTCCATGTTGCATTCAAATCACAAAATATACGAATGTTTCTTTTTAAGCATTATATTTGAAACTTGAGTTACATATTTAAACAAATAAGATTTTTCTTGTTTATCTAGATGAGTAAAGGATAACTGCTTCCTATGCTATTTTTGAATTCAAAGTATCAAGCAAGGACCAGCTCTGCTTTTCAGATTCAACAGCAGAAATGCAAAGCTTTATCTCAGTTAGTAAATCACCTTTGTTTTTAGCAGCTAAGAACAAGAGTTCTTAGAATTCCATACACTCTTTACTTAACAAGATCAGCTTTATGGATGATTCCAAGCCTCATGTGTGTTCTGTAGTAAGATACTCCCAGACTCTGTATGCACACTGCCCTTCTGAAGACGTAAATGAACAAGGCTTCAAATCAAAGTCTACCTTACAGCCTTCCGTACTAGCTAAGGGTGACATCCTGGAAGTCCAAATCCCACACAAACAGCTGCTATACATGTGGATCAATCTGTGCCTGTTTGATGGACTTCCTCGCTGCTACCTATTAATGCAATCAGGGGTCAGGCTGCAACCTCAGGCTTAAAGTCTGGACTGAAGTGAATAACATCTTTGAATCAAATGTGCTCTGTCTGGAGTAGTTATAAAACCAAACAGGATAAGTTCAAAGATTTCCATCAAGAGCAAGCAAATGAGTAATACCTTCATACAACAATGTGAGTTTTTGTAGTCTCTTCTTTTTCCCCCTCTAAATTGAATTGCTCACTTCCCCTTACAGCAAGGGAATAGGATCAAAAAGAATGATTCAAAACCATTAAAATGCCGGTGTGACTCTCACAAATCAGAAGCATAATGAAAGCTCAGTATATTTTTCAAGGCTGTCTGACACCTTAGCATTATCATTTTGACTTAAGTAAAATAACAGAAGATATTACTGGAAGAAAAAAATAGATGCACACAAAGAACAGTTTGCAATTATATTTTCTTATCTGAATGCACTGAAGAAAGGAAAGAAAAGTGAAGCAGAATTGCAGAGAGATATGGAAAAGGCAGAAATTGCACATGAAACAATTTTAACTCCCTGTTAAAGTCCTGGCACAAGCCAAGGATAAGCTCAACACCTAAAATCAAAAACACTCAGCTTTTCCTAGTGCCGTTACTAGTGAATGCTTGCACTTAATTACACAATACAATTGCGTGCCAAAGGCAGGCTCAGAACTACTGCTGCACTCAAATCTGCAAATAGATCAGTATAATTAGTCTTCGATAATTATGTGAAAATTGGGCAAAGATGTATTCAGTCAGGCATGTAAATCATCTGCTTACACTGCCATTTAATGCTGACTTCTGATTAAGTTCAGAAGAACAAGTGAGCTCCAGGATAATGGTTTTTTCCCTGTTCCTGGCCACTATAACTACTTCATACATTTTCTGAAAACAAATCTGACTTGATTTTTGTTTGGAGCTGTAGTTATCAACCATTTATGACAGCAAACACATCTGTGCTTGTATTAAACACTTCACATTCCATTTATCACTGTTCAGTTAGAGTTTTTGGAAAGCTTTCTTACCTTTCTTGCTTTCAGTATTCGGCAGGGCCATTTCCTGTCTCAGCGCACAAATTGAAGCCTCACGCACTAAAGCAGAAAGGTCTGCACCTCTACATACAAAACCAGAATGAGTTATTTTAGAATGAGTTTAGAGGAGATGGGCAAAAGGGCAAGGGAATTTGCAAAAGTTTCTTAAATACCTACCACATAAATTATTACATTAAAAATATACTCACTAAGTTTCACTTTAAGACCTAGAATACCTTGCAGACTTAGAAATTGAAAGCCATTTAGTTGCAGAGCTAAATGGATCAACAATTAGAATACTGTCAGTGGGCTAAATTTCCTTTTTCTCTCTTGTACATTGTTGCATTCTTCCCTCTACCCAACAGAAAGAGACAGAAAAACTATGGGGTACCTTCAGAAGAAGGAAAGCAAAATATGACAGAGAAGGGTCACTGTACAAACACTGAGAAGAGGTTCAAGGACTATCCAGTGCTGCAAGCTCTATTGTGGAATGAAATCCTCCAGCTTTCAGCCTTGGATTTAGATCAAAAGAATGAGAATCAAGGGAAGAGGCAAAATCCATCCAGCATCATCAAAAATATCCAGGAATTGATCAGTGGGAACGTGATCCTTTTTTTTTTTTTAATTGGTCTTATGAAAGATTCAAATGAAATCAGCCAAAATTACAACACAGAGTCGATTGCCCAAAGCTGGATCTCCAGATATATTAACATGCTCTTAAAATAACATCATCTACAAAATGCGGTCAGAACAGACTTGTGAAATGTTTGTTCCCAGTTTCCAGCTGTTAAACTTTTCACAAGCCTTCAGACTAGTGCAAGCTGCTGAAATAAAATGCTTGCAATTAACACCCCATGCTCCTTTGGTGATGGCAGGACTATTCCTGTATTTAAACACTCCCCACCCCTCTGCCCCAGGCTGGGGAGAGAACACAAGCTCCTCTTTCCTAGATCTAAAACACAGACAAACTATAAACGATTACTGGTGGTAGCCTCCACTTCTAGACTCAAAAGCAATATTGTAACATGCAACATGTCATTATCTCCAGAAAATTATCAACTATTAACACAAATATTAAAATATCTAACAGATTCAAACTTTCTGGAGTTCTGTAAAACACTGACTTTGCAAATTACTCTAACAGAGATGGCTATCAAGATTTCCTAAAAAACATCCATCAGTATTCATAAAGCACAGGTTGGAATAGGCCCTCGCTATTACTGTGTCAAACACATTGCTTTCAGTTGTGTGAGAGAACAAGTTAGTTCTGGTTGTTTAACCTATTTGCTTTCATCATCACTGTATATGGATCAACAACTTTAAACAGTGCTCTTTTATCCTCAGATGATGCAAAAATATAAGGCCAAGCAATGTTAAGATGAAAAAGTAGTCTCTCCTGATCTGTATTTACAAGATGAAGAAAGCTATTCCAGATGACAAAGATTTTAGTATCCATAGACTCCCACCCAGTCCTTGGAAACATGCACAAATGAATGTAAGAAAAACAGCACAAATTATTGTGCATCACTGCATACTAAAATTTAAGTTAAAAAAAGGAAATACTCACGTATAACAATCACATTGTTGACTGTAAGCAATTTCTTCAAGGTTTACGTCTGTACCTAGTGGAGGCCGGGTGCCATCCTAAATAAGTTGTGATAATGAAAGATAAAAATGTAAGTTTTGGTTTTGATTGTTATTATACATATATATATATATATATATATATACACACACACACACTTTTTTTTTTTTTTTTTTTTTTACACATGCTATCTCCTAAGTGATTAGTTTTACCAAATAGGGATATAGGAGTCTGAGAAGCTCTCCGAGATATTCACAAATACCAGCATTGTTTTTATGTCAAACTGACAGGAAGGATCATCAGCCTTAACATCATAAATTATTTCATAATTAAATGCTTTTAATTGTAATTAGATTTTCTATTGTCAAAACGACAGCCAGCTCATCACAGTGTAGTTACACTGACACCAGTCCATACACAGACATGCTTACATCAACAGCACTGTTTATCTGAACTTCCTCCACTTTTATTAGATGTTGAAATCATATAGCTCAGCAATAGGCATGGAGATTTAGTCTTGCCTCATCACCTTTAAAACTTAATTATTGTATACCTGTTATGTTCTAGACAAACATACACTTTCAGACCTGGAAGTTTTTCATTCTAGATTTTTTGAGTTGATACAGAAAGTAGACTTGTTGACACCACACTTGCATCTTAGTGCTGCTTTCTCCACAAAGACCACAGAAGTGGCTTATTTTTATTTTTGCATCTCCAACAACAAAAAATATTTAGCATTATGTTATATTTGCAACCAGCCAACAAAATCATTTCAAATGTTGTAAGCCCATGGATCTTATCACTCTTAGACAACAGTAAAGCAATATCAAGGCAGTATAGACATTCTAGATGTCTGTAGTATGAACTAATACCTGAATTTTGATGTGAAAGGGCATTTTTTGATAGGACTTATTTAGTTCTGCCATGAAATTTAATTCATTTGGCAGGAATACACAAATACTCCTTTTCTGACTTGTTCAGGTGAACTGAAGTACCACATACCTAAAACGCCTTCAAGATAAAGAAATAAAGTGTATATCAACTTGCAAATTTAAAGCCTTGAAAAGGGAACTGACAGTTAAATAATCGACGAGGGAGGGCTAGGTAGTCTAAGGGAGCAATTTCTAATGAACCTGGGGTAGAACACCAACTTGGAAAGGAAGAAAAAGAGACAAGGGAACAGCCTCATGCTGAAACATCTTGAAAGGAGAAGAGACCCTAACATGGGCATGAGGAAGCTCTATACAATTGCATATGGGATACTTTAATAATTGTTGTACAAGACTGCAAGGCAGTGAGACACCTCTACTAACAAGAAACATTTTGCCAGTTATTGTGAGTAGAATATATTGAGCATTTTCTGAGTGGGATGATCTGCCTGCTTCAGAGATGAGCTCAGCACTATGTGCACCAGAGAAGCTGGTGGAGCTTACAGGAATGTCAGTACACTGGGAACTTAGGCATGTGAAGACATGCTTCTCTTCCATAATGAATATGCAATTTGAAAATGACTGACTTGTACAAATTATCTGAAATAAAACTCAAAGCTTCAAACTCCATCTATGCTGTTCCTTTATACCCTATTGCTCTCACAACTCCCCTTCCTATTCCTCCCACTGCCTTTGTAAGCAGATTTTCCTTCAACATTACTGTGCAAGTATTCCTCTAGGATTTTGGGGCATGACTACCATCACCCAGAATCCCCACACATCTGGATAACATTTTTTGTTTTATCTGAGTGCCCACTTAAACATGTGTTCCTGCACAGAGATTTTTCAAGTTTCCTTACTCAGAGTGCAGGGATGAAGTCTGACAGAGAATAATGCATTTCAATTAATTTAAAATATCTACAGGAACCTGGGGACAGAAAAATATCTCCTATATATTTTTCAAGAGAATAACATATTTCCTGTTCTTAACATTAGAAATACTGTTCTTTACCTAACTTTGTAACAACTCTATAAATGCAGTAATAGTAAAGTGAGAACAGCACCATTCTCATCATGGAACAAGCATGGAAGTAAGCAAGAAGATTCACTCACGGAATGAATCTCATTTCTTCTGGCATCTTAAAACCACAGAATCATGGAGTGTCTTGGGTTGGAAGATCACCCAGCCCCAACTCCCAGCCATGGGCAGGGCTGGGCCCCATCCAACCTGGCCTTGAAATCCTCCAGGGATGGGGCACCACAGCTTCTTTGGATATCCTGTACCAGCGCCTCACCACTGAGTAAAGAATCTCTCTCTCTCTCTCTCTCTCTCTCTCTCACCTAACCTAAATTGTCCTTAAAACCTTTAAGCCTTGGTCTATCTCTACACTCCCTATAATGAGTCCCTCCTCACCATTGCTGCAGGCCCTCAGAAAGTACTGAAAGGCAACTTATAAGGTCTCCCCAAAGCCTCCTCTTCTCCAGGCTGAACAATCCTAGAAAAGGTTCTATAGCCATCTAATTATCCTCATGGTCATTTAACTAAATACCAAGAAAAAGAATCAATTAGTGACTTAACATCTACTTCACTATAAAGATTTGTAGCCAAAACATCGACTAATATGAATTAAGTATGTACGGAAATGTTTGGCATTCCAAAAATAACACACATTGATAACTAAAGACAGGAATCAAGCTGGTAAACACTGTGCAATGTGTTGCTTATGATAACAAGGAAGACCATAATCAGATAAGGTCACAGCAGAGATTGCTTGTCAATAGAAAATCTGTGCTCTGATAACAGAATAACAACAAGGTTACTACATCAGATATACCACTTCTCTTGTGTTGTGCAGGCTGTGTCCACAAAGTTATTCAGAAGAAGAGAACAAGGACAATTTGCAGCAACCTCACCAAGATTTATGGCAGCTGAACTAAGAGTCTGAGAATCTAGAAAACAGTTTTCTCTAACAGTTTGCCATTGCTAGTCAAGAGGAAGCCAAGAGATGAAGTGAGGTCAAAATGCTCAAAAGTCCATATCTTTGATGTTGTGACCCTGGCCTTTCCACTTGGATGCGTGCATCTTGGTGTCTACATGTGGCTGTGAGAGTGTGAGCAAGTGATAAGTTTGAGAGTGACAGAAATAAGTATTGTTTAACACCATCTTCTCCTCCCACAGTCTTGAACCAAGATCTGCTGCATCATTTTACTAAAATCACTATTTAGTGGTACACTAACTTGATTTGTAACTAGTGGTTACAAACATCCAGAGATTCTCCAGCAAAAAATAGTGAGAATTAATACCTGTATGTCAAAAAAATAAAAAGAGAGCAAGTATACACTATCCTAATCAGAGAATCCTTCCATTCTGTCTAGAAAGCCTAATGACCGACCACTACCACCCACTTCTTCTAGAAGGAGGTATTTTAAGTCAGAACAATCTTATAAGCCCAATTTTTAAATAAGTTTCAAGGCCTTTGAAATAAATTGCAAAATAAAAAAAAAGTAATTCCTTACAATATGTTTGAAAGATGACTTGTGGATTAAACGCTCATGTTATTGCTCTGTTTTTTAAAAGGCAAGAATCACATTGTATAAAAGTTTCTACTGAGGCATTTTCATAAAACTCAGAAACAATAAAATGCTAATGGCAAATATATACTTCTGTTTTCTTAACGAAGTAATGGAGCAAACATAGGGAAGTAAGACTTTGAATTCTTATTAACAGTTTGATTTTTGAACAACTATTTTGGCATGAAAAGATATGCCTGAATTTGTCCTAACTTCCTGAATTCTCCTACAGCATTAACTATTGCCTATGCCATCACTTTATGCTTATGTAAGTGTGAGAGTTATCTTTTTATAATATTTTTCAATATTTTTCATAACATCAGCACTTTATCTCCTCTATAAGTAATACCTGGTCTCCTTTGCAGCTCAAGAAAAACAGATAGAACGCTTGCCCTTAAAAAAATCAATGCTGATCTACTAGAAAAAGTAGGAGATATCTGAATAATTCATAATGCTTTTTAAGCTCTTCTTCTAAGTCTTTGATTACTGCTTTACTGAGAGAAATCCAAATTTCTCAAGTGGTGGAATGTGCCAGTACAGTAAGGAAGACCCATGAAGACAGGTCTTTTTATTTTAACATTTGTACATCTTTAAAATCTTTATACATTTTAACCATTTTTAGAATTTTAACATTTACTTGGACCTACAGCTTCCTCATCACATGCTTCCCATTACTCCTAAAGAGAATTAAGTATCACAATTAAGTATTGAGTAAATACAGCTGGAGCTATTGAATCATATCACTGAATGTGAGGAAACCTCCTCCCTCCCTCAAAATGCTTACAAAACACTTACAGGCCCTTTTTTCACATAGATAGGAATCTTTTAATTAAATCTCTTTAAATAGTGACTATAAAGGCAGCAGCTTCTATTAACAGGTTAGCGTTGCTCAAGATTTATCATCCCTTAGAGCAAATTTAGCAGCAGATTGTGTATTTTCATGGCTTTGTGTAATATTTAAAAATGCTTCATGAGACAGGATCCTGCAATTCTTTTGTAAGGTTTAATTTGTTTTAAATCATTCCACCAATGTCCGAGGTAAGAATTCATTTCCAAATACTCACCTTGGTGATTGTCTTTAAAATAGCAAGTCGATCTTCAGGAGGTGGCAATCCCACATAGAGTGTTTTATCCAGTCTACCAGGACGCAGGATAGCTGGGTCAATTATATCTTAGGTGGGGGGGAAAAGACAAAATAATCCAGAAATGAAATGAACCCTTAGGAAATGAAAAGTAGTATATGAAGGGAATTGAACAGAGTTTCAAAAGTGTTTATGCCACAATGTGAAGGTCTGAACATTAAGACAGATAACTGAAATAGTTTCATCTCTGTCCAGGAGGAGACATTATTACCCAGTGCAGCTAAGCTACATCTGGCCTAATATGGCTTGTAAATACTGGTTTCATCTGGTCACAAAAAAGGACAACTCTCCTTGAACATACAGCAGAACATTTTTCCTGTCAGACCTAGCAGAGTCAAGTGAGGAATTTCACAACAACGTATAAAAAGGAAAAAGTCTGCTTTTCATTTTATTCTGCTAGAAAAACTCTACCTATATTAACCTTGCAAATCTGCATGAAAGCCACCGTGATAAGTTAATTCACAAGTACATGGCCAATCATAATTACTCACATAGAACTTAATTTTATTTTTTGTTTGCTTTTCTACTACACATTAATTTCAGTAATTTTATGGATGGTAATATAAGATTCCCACAAAAACACAAAATAGACCTTCAAAGTACAGAACTTGTTTCCCAGGAAGTACTACAGATTTTATCATGTCTGAAGAAGAAATCAAAAATTATCACAAAAGTTTTTAGAAAAACACTTAAAGCTTAAAAATAATGGAAATCTCTAGCAAGCTTTCAGCACCACAGGTTTCACTACAGAACCTCTACAAACAGCAGATCAGGATGTAAACACTAAGCACTACTGGTATAACAAGAAACACAAACAGGACGTATAATCTGGGAAAGACCTAAATTCCTGTCATTCCTGTCCACGTTTCAGCACAAATGCTTGGATAATGCTTCTGAATGACTTAGATCCTTGACGCCCCATTTCCTCATCTACAAAAATGATGAAGGTATTACTTGCTCTACTTCTGTGGGATTCTAAAAATCCATATCCTATGTGTGAAGTCCAAAGTGTGAAGACCAAAGTCACAGAAGCACTCACCGAAGATACAGAAAACTGTATTTTTAATATAACAAAGTATGTAAACTCTACAGATGTTTTGGGCAGCTATAGCAAAGAAAAAAAAAAAAAAAAACTAGGCAAACCTATTTTGCAAGAGAAAATAAAAACAACTGCGTGACTCCACTGAGATTCCAGCTACCTGGTCCTATCACAGTGAGATCTTTCTCCCTTTTTGAAAGATGCACACAGTTTTGCTCAAGCTATACTGCCACCTGTGCTTAGAGGGCAAAAAGTGGAATGAATGCATATGTTAAAAATTGCTCCACTACTTTTTTGTTGCCTATTAAGATGAGATTATGAAGTTTACACAACAGATGAATTGTAATAATCAAAACAAAAACTCTCAATAGGGATTGTATTACAGCATCATGCACTTAAATTTTCCATTAAAAAGCTCTTTAACAGTACTGGGATGGAAAATACTGTTTCCATTTTACATGTTGAGATAACAGCACTTGCCACACGTCCAACAATGTGAAGTTAGTAATCCAGGCTAAAGATGTGTTCATCCATTTTTTATGGAAACAAATGCATGGTCTGCATTCAAAGAATTGACGTAAATAACTCCCACTAACTCAAAAGCTGCAGTAATGGAGTTTTACAAAGCAAAGCCCATATGGCAGTTCAACACAGATCTGCACTTCCCATCTTATAAATAAATTCATGTCACACTGTTAGTTCAGAACTGGGCTTTTCCTCAACCTCTGGGACTCAAGTTCTCTATAGAACTTGAAAAATTAAAACCATGTAGCACAGACATTAGTATTTACTCTTTGGTCTAATTCACTAATTAGATGCACTTCATATTTGTTTAAACAAAGGAATGATGCTTCCCTTTTAGGAATTTCAAAGCTTTCTATCACGATAAATCATGATGTTTTCTCTATACTGAAATCTGAAAACCAAATATATTGATCAGGAAAGATTTGAATGACATATTGTAATTTTAAGTACAGAACAAAGGTAATTATTAAATTCAAACACACACACACACACACACACACACACACACACACACACACACACACATATATATAATAACACGTCATTTCCAGAAGTAATGTTTGATTTGTTATGTCTCTCTTGCTTATGGTTTTTGGGTCCTCACCTGGCCTGTTTGTGGCAGCCATAATGAAAACCTGCTGGCGATTCTCCAGCCCATCCATCTCTGTGAGTAACTGGTTCACTACTCGAACACTGGCTCCTGACTTTAGAAGGAGAAATATGCCAAAACAAACAAAACCCAAACAAACAAAAACAGATAACAAAAACAGTGAGAATATAAATATTTTAAAATAAAAGAAACAAAAGATGTACTCATTCTCCACACAGAAATACTATAAGAAAGCTTCTATTTAACATCTTTCATACAGATGCATTCTGAATTTCTTCATATCCTCAGCACAAATTTGGGGTACAAACAAGTTATCCCTATGCTTGCTGTACAAATCACCCTTGGCAAAGCTTTTCTTCCCCATTAAAAAGGAAGGACTCACTTAAATACACCTGGATAATTGTACTAAGTATTCTCCCATCTACCTGAACAAAAACGTCCAGAAGTTCTCATTACTGGGGCTTTGAAAAAGAAAAAGTTTCTGCAGCTGTCCTCACTGGAAAGGAGCGACTCATAGTTTAATATTAACTTCATAGTACTAAGATCCTATAACCAAATTCAATAGATTAATTTGAATTTCATCCTAGAGTTGGGGAGACAAAAAAAAAGCACTGGAGTTGGAGAACAACAGTTTTAGACATGCAGCAAAACTGCTTTGTGGTTGTGAGCAACGCTGTATTACTATTTTAATCATACAAAAATATAAATTTGCCTACAGATAAGTAAAATAGATGATGAAAAGGCATACAGGCTTCAAGAAGACAGTAAAAACACCAAACACTTGTGAATCTCAGTTACAGCTGGCAGAAGACAGCAGTCACCCTGCTCAGACAACACCTCTACTTGTTCAAAGCAGCTGTAAGAGCAGGACAAGGTGGTCTACGCAACCAGTTTTTGCCTGTTGCTGCTACAGAAAGAAAACATAGCAAGGTCAGAGCATACTTATTCCACTCCTTGGCTATCACCACTGCCTACTGTGATAGCTAATACTCAACATCCTCTTTTAAAGCTCTGTGGAAACCACTAGCTCGGGACTTTCAAGGAGTCAAGTCTGAACATTTCAGCTTGGCTATCTTTCAGAGGAAAAAAGTATGCAAATTTGGAAGATAAGGTATGACTCAATTCAAACAGCTGATCAAACCTCCTCTCTCCTACAGATTGGCACTTTAACTTCTGTTAAAGTCATTGATGGCAATATATGAACAGTATTCTACTCGGCTTTTATATTGAAACCAGCATATATCTCTTTCAGCCATCAACACAATGACCCAGTACACCATCATTAAACCAGACACATTTTCCCTGCATAAAAAAAAGAACACCTTTCCATTCAGTATGCAAACAGTTTGCAACAGAAACAACACCTCCCCATCCCCAAAGCACATGTTAATTTTAGGTATATGTAATAACTCCAAAACAAAAATCAAGACAAAATTTGATGAGTGAAATAGCTTTGAAGTCTAATGCATTCCAGACCTGCTCCTGTCTCAAATATACTCAATACTGCATTACAGCTGCATACAAACATCAGAATTTGGCCAGAAAGTAATTATGGTATTAAACTGCACTCCTTCATCTTTTTCCTAGGGCTTTCTCAAGTTGGTAGACAGTCACGTTCTCTAGCTATTATTTTTTAAATACATAGATGCTAACAGAAGTATCAAGCTTTATACAATTTAAAATAAAATGCTTATAAAATATTGCTAGCACATTGCCTCAAAAGGCACAACTGAGAGTTTATTTACGGAAATATTTTCAGACTCACTTCACGGTCAGACCTCCGAGGGCACAAAGCATCAACTTCATCAAAAAATATAACACAAGGAGCTGAATTCCTGGCACGCTGGAATACCTGACGTACAGCACGTTCGCTTTCACCAACATACTAAAATGAGTGACAAAGCACAGTGACACAGTGTAAGCCATAACATTATTGCTTGGAAGAAAAATCAGTCTTAAACACAACACTGGACTAGATTTACATGGGAACTTGTTGTCATTAGCTCACTTTTGACAGTTCCCAGTACTCTAAGAGTTTTAGAGAATTCTTACTTTCTAGGGAATTAATCTAACTTGTTATTTCTCATCATCAGAATGACAGCAAGTACAATCTTCATTAAGGATCCCATTGTTCTTTATCTGTTTATAAACAATGGGAGTAAGAACACAATGAATATTTGAAGTTCATATTAGAATTGCTCAAGGACAAGGACTGGGAGACAGGGAACTGGATATAAGCCAGAATCTCACTTTGAGTCATTATGAGCGGTTTTGCCAAGATGCAAATGGGAACAACTTCTTCTAAACATACATGTTTTGATACAATTAATGTCTCATCACAGTCTCTGAATCACAGCCAAGCACTTTTTCACTCCACAAGGGAATGGGACTCTTCATTAACTTATATTTCTTGGCTGATAGCATTACTTGAAATACACAGTAAAAAGCTTGGAGAAAGAATAAACAAATTCAGTATTTTGGCTTCAGCTTCCAAATTACTGATAAGTACATAACTGTCATTCTTCGAAGACATGTGCTGCAGCCATCTCCTTTCAGATCAACACTCTTAACTCTAAAAAAAATATAATCAGACTACAGTGCCTTTATCCGTTAACATGTAGAAATTACTCTGATCAACTAAAAACCATGGCTTTCCAAGGTTTCAGTTTCTGTTAACAAGATGAAGACACTCCAAACACATTTCCAAACTTGAAAACGGAAAGTTTTGCAAACTACTGACTTGCTGCTACCAATTACCAATTGTTCTTACTGTTGATATGAATTTTTGTTCTTTTTCCTGATCTACATAGCAGCACTAATGCACGTAGTTGGTCATTTAGAAATTCTCTTTCACTCAAGAAGGCTCCATCTGCCCAGTAACACATTAAACTGTAATTTAAACCAAAAAGTATTTAAGCTACCCAGATAACTTCTTCCTTTTCACGAGAAAGACATCACTACTGAACATTTTAAGCAGAGGGTAAACAACACAGCTTCTGTTGCTCCTAACAAAAGCACAATGACCAGTGCATACCATGTTTAGCAGTTCAGGACCTTTCACAGATATGAAGTTCAGCCCAGATTCATTTGCCACAGCCTATCAAAAAGATGTATACAGAGAAAATCATTTTTTCATGTATTCCTTGGTTCTGTCCACAAAACTACAAAAATCTGGAGAAGGAACATAGCTTAGTGGTCACCTACTGAAAACAGCACGAAGTATCACTGTATGCAGTTAAAAGTGTCAGAGGTTGGAGGATTTAGCAAGTTGCTCTCTCTAATGGGACAGTGATACTTCTACTTTAATGGGGATGATGCTTGTGGCAGTATCATCCAAACTCAGTCATTCTCACAAAAATTCTCACCCACTTCACCAAGACTCTCCATTATTTTTAACCATGTTCAGAAAAATATATTACCTTAGCCAATAGTGTTTTGCCACACCCAGGAGGCCCTGCAAGCAGAACACCAGCTGGAGTAGTCAGGCCCAGAGCTTTAAACTGCTCTGGGTTCCGCACAGGTGCCTATGAAATAAGTTATCATGGTTATCTGTGACAAAAAAGCCAGCATTTCAGTTACAGCTGGAAGAAAGTTCATTCGTAAGCAAGTACTTTGTTCTAATGCTTTACAGGTTAAATGAATATACGCAGTCAGTCAACTGGCATCTTATTATATTGCATTGATAAATATCCCCCAAAGTGGGAGAAGCATCATTCAGAGACAAGAGTGGTGAGGCAGTGGCACAGGCTGCCCAGGGAGGTGGTAAAGTCCCTGGAGGTGTTGATGAGCCATGGAGATGTGGCACAGAGGGACACGGGTTAGCAGTCATAGTGGGGACGGACTGACAGTTGGACTAGATGATCCTAGAGTCTTTTCCAGCCTCAATGACTCTATGCTATGACCAGCAACAAGGCTATTAATGTTGTTTTTTTCCCCCCCACATAGCAACTGTCTAACTAAGGTTATTGGTAGAAAACTTCTGGAATACTTAGCACTCAGTAATAATGAAAAATCAAATCTTGAATACAAAAAATGAAGTATTTAATACATGCACTAGACTTGTAACAAATTGGAAAGCAAATTATAAAAGTCTATTTTAAATGATGATGTTGCAATATTTCTAGTTTGCAGCATGCTAGAACTCACGAGCAACACATTATAGCTTAAATAAATACAAACAAACATACATAAATAGTTTTATTTCCTGCATAGGGGGAAATGCAGAAAAAACCCCTTCAAAAGTAACATTAACACATACCAATATTGCCATGGTCAGCTCCTCCCGAACATCCTCCAGGGCTCCAATATCTGCCCATGTCACATCAGGAATTGTGACAAAGCCTTCTCTCTTGGCAGAGGGTTGCACTGATGACAGTGCAACAATAAAATCATTCATCTCAATGCACAGCTTCTGCAGCTGTTCCTCAGGCAAGGGGTCTGGCTTCTTCAGCAAATCTAAAAGGCTCTGTAATTCTTCCTTAGGGTACAGAGAAATGCAGAGAAAACATTGCACAAGTTAAGATGTTTAAAACCTTTTCCAAGGGCTTTTTTAGAGCAATACTTTCTCCAGCTGTAATATTCATTATTTTAAAACAAAGTATCATGCATAGTATAGTATAATGTAACATAGAACATAAAAATAGCATTAAAGACTGACATGAATAAAAATGCTCCAGGAAAGCTCTATGTAAATTCATCTCAGTTAAAGCACTGAGTTGACAGACAACAATCTTGATTTAAATACTACACAAATGGAACTAATACATCTATTTTGTCCTCAATTTTTTTTTCCTGCTGTTTCTCTCACAACTCTGCCAAACTGGACAATTTGTGGAATACCACGTTACATATAAATCTTTAGAACTCTTAACATACAGGCTTAGATCATAAGTGTTTATTTAATGTAATTTGATTTCAAGTCATCAGTTCATTTCCTCAGGCTGATTAGACCTAGTTTTGTAACCAAACTGTGATAAAATTTGGGCAAATAGAAAATAGATACAGCAAAATGCTTTCTGACATTTTCCATCCTGCAGAGCACGGCCTGCCAAGGGCTGGGCAGACAGGTATGTAACAGTTAGTGAAAATCAATTATAGCTTATTGGGGAAGCTATCTGAGAAAACAGCTCATTAAAGAACACTTGTAATACAGAAAGGCCATATGAAAGCAACGTGATACTGCACCTCAAGTAAAACTAGGCTTCTCACTATAAGACAAAAGGAATAAAAGTTGCAGAAGTCCCTTTAGTTTCAACGTTTTTCTCCACAGCAGAATATGGGAAAGTTGTCCCTCTGTATTAGTTGCAACTAAGATAGCCCTGAAACTCACCACAATGTGTGTTTACAGAGCCCAGTATTTTCTATTAAGGTCTCTCTCTTCTTTCTAACAGAAGCATTAAGAGAAACTATGAAATAGTTGAGACCAACAGATTTGTTTATTGAATTGTGCGAATTATTTTAAAAGGGTTTTATATGTTTATTTTTCTATGATAAATATAATACTACTGTTTTAATGACAATACCCTGTATTAGACTATGTCAACCTCCCACCAGCTATCAAAATATGTCTCTGTTATGATTAGACTTCCTTATCCTCAATAATTCCTTTGATCATGGTGCTGTTGATAAAAGCAGTCACTACCTGTCCCTCCCCCTTTTCTTGTAGTTACATCAGGCCCCAGGAAACACTGGGAGGTATGCAGTACAGCCCTATTGCTTTCACACAAAGGCTCTCTGCAGGTTTTTACACTGCTTTTTATTAATCACATTAACAATTTTCTTTGACAGTCCTTCTAAAACCAGAATCTGATGGCAGTGTAGACTTAAAAACACTTCAACTTCTCCAAGATGAATCTTTAGGAATCCTGCATGTAATGCATGCAGCAAGAAGTACACTCAAAATTTTGAGCAACAGGGCCAAAAACCTATAAAGATATTCTGGTTCACTGTCCCCAGCATGTCACACATGCCACAACACTTGTGGCATGGAATACTTCCAGCACTGGAAGCACTATTTCCAGCAACAGAGTTCCAGCTGTACTGCAGGCTAATAGGGCCCTTCTCTGCAGCTAAAGCTGCATTTGCTAATCCAACTTCTCTTCCACAGAGTTTTTAAATGCCTCTTCCTCAAACCTGCTGTAGGTACTACATACTGTGTGGGATTTAATGCACACAATCACACAGCTGGAAGGAAAATGTAAATGGCATAAATACTTTTAGACTTTGGCTAGCTCTAAGTCTACCAGGTTAGGGAAGACGGTCAGGCATCATGACAGATGTTTCAATGAGGACAAGGCAAATGACCTGGTAAAAACTCAGTGCAAGTTTGAGATTCTTACAATTCTCTTACAATCAGTATAACACTACAGCACAAACAACAACAACAAATTACAAAACCCCACCTTTTGTTAAATATTAGCATGATTTATAGAAGGTCTGGTTTTTGAGAGCCTGTAGTTCAGTCCCATTATACAGATCGTTATGAGCTAAGCTTCTGGCTTCCAAACTGATGTGCCTAAATCTAAATTTAACACTACACTGGCCACAGATGTTTAAGGATTTATGAGCAAAGGCTTTCACAGTTGTAAAATAGCTCAGCATTAAGACAACAGACACAGACACTTAGAAGAACAAATACCTTAGAAGGAAGCTGTTTGGTGTTCTCTCTCACCAGGCTCTCTGTTTCTATTCCCACGCTTTCTTCAGCTGTGTTTTCTCCAGCCTGTGCATATTTCCTTTGCTGCTTCTCAGATTTTATCAGGACCCTGTTCACTGTGCACATAGCTGCCTCACGACAAAGTGCCATCAGGTCAGCACCCACATAACCTGGAGTCAGATGTGCTAAATGAAGAAAGTCAAAGGACTCAGGAAGCTTAAGTTTTCGACACAGTGTCTGAAGAATTCTGATCAACAAGGAAAAAAAGAACAGCAAAATAAAGATGAAAGTGGACTTTTAAAAATTTTCATATGAAAAAATTAGCAACAATTTAAGGTCTCTTTCAGCCCACATGAACTGAAGCAGTACAGTGCGTACAATTTACACACAGCTAGAAAGTAACTAAGCTGAAAGCCACAAAGTAATGCCCTATATTTCCTTTCAGAGCGTAAGTGAAAACCAACACTATCAATCAGGTAATATCATCCAGTGGGTAAAAGCTAGTGACTGAAAAAAGATACAATCTGACTGTACAAGGCTTAGTTAGTTGGGAAAACAAGCTAAAAGGAGTTTCTGTCAAGTTGCTACTTCAATCTTATGCCAAGAGCTAAAATTACTCAAGCCCATGCAGTTTCACCATCAATACAGAACAGCTCCATGTAACTGACAGCTAAGTGCTGTGTTTCCTTATACCTTTTCTTTGTTTCTAAATGATCCTTTACCTTAATGCAGGGAACAAAATCTCTCCCCAGAAAACACCCCAAGACAAAAGAGAAAATGAGGAAAGAAGTAGTTCCTATAAGGGTAGGAATAAGTAGTTCCTGAAGGAACGTGAATACAAACAATTGTACAAAACAAAAAAATGTGAGAATGCAACTACTTGTGCACAATCTCTATTACTCACACACAACAGCTTATCTATTCGCAACTCACACCCTCTGAGATAATGTTGTCTCTGGGGATATCATATTTTTAACACAAGCACTAGAAATACCACCGAATCAGAATTCTCATGAATCAGTTTCAACCTCTAACCACTTGCATGCTTTCCCACAACCAAGGAGAGGAACGCAGATATTACAGAGCTATAAATCTGCAGTGAGGTGGGATGAAAAGAGGGAAGAATGGCAATAGTGCTGACAATAGCAAATGACAATCTCAATGCTACATGCAAAATGGTTTGCTTTTTCAACCCAGAAATAAGGTTATTTGAGCTAGAGTAACTTATCCTTTAATTTTACTTTCCTTCCCCTGACAACAAAATGTTCTTTTATAGTTCTCTTCATGAGTTTTCTGCTGTTGTGGAAATCAGTAGCAAAAAAACATGAAAGACAAACATATGTTTTAAAATCTAATCTAAGGGTCACAGATTTTTTGAGTAAAAAATGCTGGTAACACAGCAGGATGATTGCAGCCTGGCTTAATGCCTGGATTGCTGTATTTCCACAAGAACTAGAACAGAAGGATCTAGGCCTTCTTAAAATGTGCTCAAGAGGACTAAAGGAAGTGCTATACTTAGTTAATGTCCCTAATTCAATAGTTACGTAGGGAGATACATAACCCAATAATATAATGCTAAAATGAGATTTGCATGTAAGAAAGGAAATCACTCCATGTGTACAGCTACCAAGTCACAGACTAGATGCACACTTAAATCTCTTCTGTGCTTTTCAGTTTGTGCTGATATGTACGTGCATGCAGGCACAAAAAGAACTAAGCATAATAAAAGTACTTTTCCTTAATTTGTTTGTAAAAAAACAAAAAAAAAAAAAACAAAAACAAAAACACAAAGAAGCTTTATCACACATACTTTTCTCTTGCTGCTTCATCAGGTATCCCTAAACAAATTTCTCTATCGAATCTCCCAGCTCGCCTCAATGCAGGGTCCAGTGAGTCAGGTCTGTTAGTTGCTCCAATAACAAGAACCTGGGCAGTGGCAGCCACGTTATTCAAGTCTAAAGGAAGGAAGGAAAGTTAGTACTCATAACCACCTTCCCAACTTTATTCTGATATATATGTTACTCTGTTTCTGCCACAGGCAGTAATACTTAGAACAGTACAAAGTAACCAACAATCACACTAAGATGCTGTATATCCTTATTTCAACTGTCCAGAACAGGTGTTTTGCACAGTTAAGCAGAAATACGCATTTCAAATAATATTTGACAGATTCTCCCATCGAGTCTTTTTACATAACGGAGAGGATGTGAAAAATAATGCAGTAACATCCCCTCAGACTTATTAGAAGTTTCCCACCCCCCTCACACACAGGTAAAACAGTGCCAAAACATGAAAAACGATTACCACCATCTCCACTAAAGTAACCACAAGTCATTAATGAAGAAAAGCTAATTAGACTGACTGATAATTAGAAAGATCTTAGCTCAGTACAGAGGTTTTGAAACTGACCATCCAAACAAGTTAGGAGCTGGGCCACAATTCTCCGCTCCATGTCCTTTGAAGCAACTTCTCTTTTTGGGGTGATTGCATCAATCTCATCAATGAAAAGGACACATGGTGCATTGAGCTAGGTACAAGAATTATTAATCATCACAAAATTACACAGCTGTATTCTAACATTTCAAGCACTTTGCATTCATAAAAAGCCAACACTAACATAAAACAATAACAATAGCATTTAGTTGTAATAGTTGATAATATAAGATTATATTATCAAAAAGCACTCATGGTGCAAAGGAGGACTTATGGAAAATACTTGAATATCATCTAAAAAAAGTCTGAATTCCCAGTCAGAAAACTAATGTTTGAAGCCCCAAGCATTCAGCGTTATCAGGCACCAACTGCGCCATCTAGCTGTCATTCACCTTTTCTTCCCTTTGACAGAAGACAAAGAAGTGAGCTATAAAGATTCCACAGTACATGCACAACATGCAGTGCAATGGCCCTTTCCCTACAAGAGTACAAAAACCAAGTGGAAAATCCACTTATACGAATACAGTAGGAAAAGCAACAAATTTTAAACCTATTTTCTACAATGTATTTCATCTATTAAAAATAACTTTTATAGCAACCTTTTATGAACTAATACATATACAAAAGGTATTGAATTTTAAATACTCTGTGTTCACTTATTTTTGTTCCAAACAACATCTTAATAAGGCTTTCTGAAAATTAAAATGTAGTAGAAACCTGAAACATCATAATCTAACAGCTTGAAAATTAAGCACTTTGCCCTATTTATCACTGTTTTATACATACTCTAAACATTTGCATGCAGTTATGGGGAAAGATAGAATAAAGGAGTAGTTAGAAAACAAGAATATTCTCAGAGATCAGAAACAGAAAACTGTCCCCATTCTTTTGTTTAATTAGCCATATTAACAAACAGAAAATCTTTCAATCAAATTAAAATTATTTCATCCTGGTTCTCTTTGTTTCTCACCATGTCTGAAAGTTGCATCTTTATCACAAGAGTGTTTCATCATTACAAATCTGGATGTCTGATACATAGCAGCTCAGTTCTCTTGTGTGCTTAATATTCATATTAAGGCAGAGCAAGACTTTAAATGCAACTTCACTTCTGCTCTTTGATATTTGTCCCAAACTTCATGCCTAAAGGCCCAAAGCCTTAACTCAAATTCAAAGCCAGACAAAAACAACAATAAAAACTTGTAACAAAAAAAGCACAGTAAACAGCTTGTATAGTTTTTTTAATTTTTAGAAATCATTCCAAGTAGCTCCAAATAAGTAAATAATTTACATTGCTTCCATTATATTGATACTATGAACTATCTTCTGTCAAGACTTTAGAACAGCAACCTTTGTGGTCTCTGACCACATGACAGTACAATGGAATTCTGGTCACGGAAATGGAGACACTGTAGCTTGTGTGCAGCAGCATAAAGATTATCACTAATAATTCACTCAAATTCAAACCACAGCAACAAAGTGTGAATCTCTACGAAGAAAAGTGCAAACAACTCGATGTTATTTCCAATGGGTGCCTTACCATGGCCTGATCAAATAATTCTCTCAGTTTCTGCTCAGATTCTCCCGACACTCCAGACACCATCTCTGTTGCTGCCACTTTCAGCATTGGGAGCTCAAGTTCCTGAAAGAAACGAGGAACACTGTACAGTATTACCAGAGGGAAGGAATGTTGGTGGTCCTAAAAGATAAGTATTTTCCAATACAACATCTTTTACACCTGAAGATTTTGTATTCGAAAATAAATCTGAAAGTGCCCTTTAAAAAGATAATAACCTCAATTTAAAAACAGTTTTAAGATATTTTGCTGTATGAATAGAACTGGATATGAAAGCCAAGTTTCCTATAGTAATTTTCATCAAAAGTGCCTTCCATGTATAGCCTTCCCATTTCCCATGCCTATACTGCAATCCTGGGAATGCCTCAGGACAATTAATTCAGTTACATCCCCTCTTCATAGGAGGTCCCATAAAGTGCAAATGCAAATGGAATTTAAACTAAGGAAGTGAAAATGAATGTAGTTTGGACTAAGAGAACAAGCAGAGAAAAGAGATAACAAAGAGGAAAAGACGTACTCTATGATGAAAGAGTTATTTCTTCTCTTTCTAAACATAAGGAAAAAGCTAAGTTTATCTTTAGCTTTAGCTTACTCCAGCAATTGCCTGTGCAAGTAGTGTCTTTCCACATCCTGGTGGTCCATGTAGAAGAAAACCACGAGGTGGAACCACACCCAAGTGGAGATAGACTTCAGGATGACGAACATGAATCAGCATTTTGCATATTTCCTATTAAGAACAAGAGAGAAATCTCCATTTAAATAATAAAAAAAAAAAGTATTAAAATTGAAAAAAAAAAAATTATAAATTGCCAATATTATACACAGACCAAAACAAAAAGAACTTTGGTTTATTAATACAGTGTTAGTGACAGCTTTCAGAAAAATTGATCAAAGGAAAAAAAGAATAGCAACTCTGTTGCTGTTGATATAAGCAACTATTCTTAGTGCCAGATGAATTCTGACAGACATCTCATTTGTCATTTTTCACACGATGTTTTAATCAACACTTAAACTAACCTTCAAAGTTTCATCGTTGCCTCCAACATCCTCAAACTTCACTGATGGGTGGTAAAGCTCTGGTCCCTTACTTTTACCTGTTCAGGAGAAAATAAGCCATGCAAATTTAGACAAAGCATAATCAAAGCTACTAATATAAAACAAAAAAGATCTCAGCCTCAACAGTTAGCTAAGTACATGGAGCAGTATTATTTTTGGTAGTACATACACACCTGGAATATGTTTTAGTGCCTATTAAAAACACACTTGAGGTCACTTCTCTGTACCTCAGAAAAGTAACAGTTCTCTATAATGGATTCCATGGTCACCCACCATCATCTCTCTGTTAGAGCAGCATGCCAAAAACAACTTCTCACCTTTCCCTTTAAGTAAGATGGATTCAATTTCTTTATCTACATCTGGAAATTCTTCTTTTTTCCTTTTTGCTCTTTTACCCTTTGTCTTCTTTTTTTCACTTTCCAAGACAGAAAATTCTGTTGATTTCTAATGTATAAAAACAGAATAATATAGACAGTCAGTGAATTCCTGCAAATACTTCAAAGAACAAAACATCACAGTGCTTAACAGACATTATTTAGATTTAGATTTTGCCTTGTTTTTTTTTTTAATTATTATTTTAGGAGCTAATTATATCAGCCACATTTTTGCTAGGAGTACATACTCATAACCAAACTACAACTAAAAAAACCCCACAATCTAATCTAATCAAGGGATAATTTGTCAAATCTCCCTATTCAATAAGCACTTTGTGTATTCAAAAGGTAGCTGTAAATGCAGTTATTCCTTCATTAAAATAAAATACACAATAAAATTAAATGTTGTTTCCCACAAATAAATAGAGCTTCCAATAGCTAAACAAAGGTGTTTTTTGTTTTTTGGGTTTTTTTTGAAAAAAATTAATGAAAAAAAAAAGCACATGGAGAAAAGTCACAAAGTGAGCAGTAGGTTTGGATAGGAATACCTTCTATTTTTAACTGCATTATACATCAATACGTTTCCAAGCCTTTCAACTTCCCCAATCTTCATCCATCCAAACAATCTCTCTGGGATCACTGAAACTAGCCACTGACTAGGGGAGATCACATGCTATGGCTACAGCAAAGAATATGCTTGGTGACTAGTAACGTTGGTCGCTGGCAAATGGAATAAATCATAATTAAGTTCCACTTACCTTTCCCTCAGTAGGGGCACTAATTTGGGTCTCCCTACTACTAAGAACTACATCTTTCCTCAAAATTATACAAGAAAGTCTTCTTAACTTTTGGACTGAAATTTGCCAGAATGTTCAAAAATCACTTCTGACATAACAGAACAAAGTCCTAAGCCTCATCTTCTTTAGAAACCAGGCTAAAAATCTGTACTCTACTAGGCTCAAGCCAGTCTTCCCTTCTATTTAAGATTTCTGCTGCATTTAATAAAGCATGTATGTTTGTAATAAAAGTAATTTTAAACATCCACAAAGACATACAGTCCTTTTGGTCTTAGTATCTGTCTTTAGAAGCCAGTTAAATTACATAGGAATTTATAGCCATACTTGCTACCTAAAACACATTGGGTTAGTATAATACAATACCTCAGAAATCACTTTCTTCTCATCTCCTTCTCCATCTTCAGAAAGATCAATGAAAAATTCTTTCCCACTTGGAGTCTTATCGATGAACCAGCCACCTTTAGAGATGCGTGTTTCAACCTGAGATGCTGGTGAAAGGGTGCTTGTTTGAGGTGCTGTTTGCACAGGAGTGGAGGTTTCCATTGATTCATTTTTTGGAGTGGCTGGAACAGAATCAGGATTTCCTTTCTTGTATAAGGTCATCAGGGAACTGTTCATATGATTTGTAGACTGCAAATTTATGTATTTAAAAGAAAAACAGAAAATAAAGGTTATAGTTTGGGTTACATATATTAAGAAGCCAATGAAAAGTATTCTATAAACATCAGTCATGATTAACCTCACTGGAAAAAGTAATCGTTTATCTTCTATCACACTCCATTCAAGGTCAAATGACCACAGACAAAACTACATCTGCTGGTTGAACAGGCAACAGCCTTTACAATTTACCCTGAAACAACCCATTAATTAGCTAATAGTTATCATTTCAGTAATAATCAGAAGTGCCAATTCCTTCAACCACTTCAATCATTTGATGGCCAACACTTCTGGCCCTCCAGCATGCTTTCTTCAAAAGTGATTCCTCACCACAGCTTCTTCCTTTATTGCCAGAAATTAGCCACCTTTTCACTGCAATTTTTAAACTTTTACTGCAATTTTACTAAACACAATCATGCGTTACATAAATACAAGAAATCATAATTTAATATAACTTACTAAATCTTCTGGATAATCATCATCTTCAGAGTCCTCTGTGGAACTTCCTGTAGTCCTTTACATGGTAAGAAGACAAAAACATGATGTATCAGAGAAAAACTGAAAGAGAGACACACGCACAAAACAGAACAAATGCAATTTTCACAACATTGTTCCCCGCAATTAAGAAACACAGGGTAAGAGTGAAAACGAACTGTGTTCTAAATTTACTACTGTGAAGAGTCTAAAACTGCATTCTTTCCATGGCTGCAATGGGTTGGATTAATGTGGTATCCTGGCTGAAAGACAGTCAGGGTAGGGATGTGGCACCAATGTGATTCAGCTCACCATGAAACCAAGGCTAGCAAAAGGGAAGCTACAGTAAATCACTGCTGAATTATAGTAGTCCTTCTGATTACAGTGTCTTAATTGCTCTTGAGATCCTTGATATTTATCACAGGTTAGAAAACACAATCTTGCATAGATTTAGGAGTCAGGAATCTTAATGCCAACCTCCCTGCTAGCAGTGATTTACTCAGAATAGCTTCTCCTGTAGCCTTCTCCTCCAGATTTAGATAATATCTATGACACACATCAAAGATTAAAAACAAAACAAAGGAACTTAAACATACAGAAAACTATCAGGAAGTCAGAAGGATATCCAGTAATTCAGGGCCATACATTTCTCACAGCAGAGAAACTATGATCCACTCTTTAACATATGCTTGGAAGAAAAACCTACAGGAAATTAAGGACTGGCCTATAACCTTCAAACTACTAAAACTTAATAATACAGAAAGAGAAAGCTGTAAAGAAAAGCTAAATATTACGGGCAATATTAAAGTTATCAAATGGTAAAAATTCCTCTTACTCATTTCTCTTGTGTTCATGCCTTGCTCTTTTTGCCAAATGTTCAGCTTCTAAAGCTGTTAAATCTTCTTTTTTTTTTTCATTGCTGATTATTCCAAACACTGAAGAAAAAGTTTAAACACATTAGCAGAACAACCGAAGTATAACCAAAATCCTGGAACTGTGGACACAATATTGACAGAACTACCTTTTGCAACTTGTATTCTAAAAGCATTTCGTTTTCTTCGTCCATATTCAGTACTGAAAAAAAAAGAAAACCAACAAAATGTCATGCATTGTAAGTTGGTAGCCAAAGTTTTGCACAAATTCTTATTAAGAACCAGCCTGATTGCATGACCATTTTTTTCTTAAGGCCAGAATAAGTCAATCACCAGGATGAAGACAACATCAGAATACCTCAGTCTCTAAAGGGATGTTTAGTAAAAATTATGTAAGCCTTCTTTAGCTATGGAGAGACAGAACGTACAGATGAGACCAATGGATTCTATTTCCCAACAACACTACTGGTTTTCTTATTTTAATTTAGACAAGAACATGTGGACACAGGACTACATCCTGGAAAGGACAGTCCAGTTAGAACAATTGGAATATAAAATAACATGTCAGTGAAAGAAAACCCGATCCAATGAGCATCCTTAACTACAAATAAATTATCATTAACATTTTACTTTCACTTCAGGAGACCATTTTGTTTGGTTTTATATAATAGCTGACACAAGAAAAACAAAATGCCAAGACCCATAAAAATCCAAGTCAAGGGTTTCACAAAATCACAGTATCTTTAGAGTTAGAAGGAACCTTTAAGGGCCATCTGGTCCAACTCCCCTGCAATGAACAGGGACACCTGCAGCAGAACAGGTGCTCAGAGCCCTGTCCATCCTGATCTTTCAAGGCCATCAACCACATCTCTATGCAACTGGTTCCAGTGCCTTACTACCCTCAGTGTAAAAAACTTTCTCCTTATAGCCAGCTTAAGCTTACCCTATTTAAACATGAAGCCATTTCCCCTCGTTCTATCACACTTTCTCTAACAAGACATTAAAAAATAGATTGTGCAAACGTGAATGAATATCCTTCTCTACTTCCCTTTACTCCCACATCCATCCACGACCTGCTGAAACACAACCCTTCGCCCCACAAAGAAAAAAGCTGACAAATAATTTGGCAGGGCTGACTGTTCCACTGTGCAAGAGTCAGGGTCCTGCAGCCACCTCATCTGCCTGCATCCAGGTATTATTTTCTTCTATGTTTCCAGCTCTCTAGGGTAAAGATCAACTGCTGTTATGCATCTGTAGTTCTTCAATAAGAGTTGAATCATGAAGCTAACATAATGATATAATGTAAGCTAGTTGATATACCAGCAGAGGAAAAGACTGGACCAGAAACAATCTTACTGTTTCAATTAACCTCAACAACTGGCAAAGAAGGTAACATAAGATTAGAATTTTAACAGCACACAAATACGAAATGATACGTTTTATATCTCGACTATGGAATATAAAGACACTGATCCTACACTCACCTGTAGGTTTTCTGCAGATCAGAGGCCAGGATCCCGATGTCCACATAATCGCCGCACTTGCTGCTTGATAGGTACTGAAATGAGACACAGAATCACAGAATGGCCAAGGTTAGAAGGGACCTCAAGGACCATGAATCTCCAACCCCCCTGCCACATACAGGGCCAACAACCTCCTCGTTTAATGCTAGATCAGGCTGCCCAGGGCCCCATCCAACCCGGCCTTGAACACTTCCAGGGACGGGGCATCCACAGCCTCTCTGGGCAGCTGTTCCAGCACCTCACCACTCTCTCTGTAAAGAACTTAGACACGTTTGGAGGCGAATCAGACCCACTCGCTCACTTCACCAGAGCAGCCGCACGCAAGCTGCCTGCTCGAGGCTCGGCAGCCACAAGGAGGACGGCACAGCTCCGAGCCGGCCCGCCCGCGAGCGAAGCTTCCACAGACCCGGGGGGAGCGGCGCGGTCCGCCCCTCATCAATGGGCTGTGGAGGAAACCGCGCCTTTTCTCCTCTCCTCCGCTCGCTCGGCTCCATCCTAAGGCCAGAGCGGCGGCAGGAAGCACGACGACGGGACGAGGCCTCTCCCCCGCGCCCTCCGCCCGCGGCGCGGCGCGGCGCGGCGCGGCGCGGCCCGTCCCGCCCCCCGGGGCTGAGGGAAGAGGCGAGGCACGGACCTGCTTCACGCGCTGCTTCAGCCGCAGGTCCACGAAGGAGCCCGGCCGGCTCCGCATCGCCGCCGCCGCGCGTGCCCGCCCCGCGGCCGGCTGGACTCCCGTTCCCGGCGTGCCCGGCGGCGGGGCGGGTCCTGCGGGACCCGGGCGGGGCGTACGGCGGCCGGGAGGTCGGCGGGATGGAGTCGGTGGTCTTCATCTTCTCGCTTATCGACTGCTGCGCTCTCATCTTCCTCTCCGTCTACTTCGTATCCTTCTGCGGTCGGGTCGGGGCCGCGCCCGGCGGAGGCCGGGCTCTGTGGCGGCTGCGAGGGGCTGCGGGCGGAGCGGGCCCGGCCTCGCGGCGGGGAGAGACCTCGGGACGGCGTCTGGGGGGTCCTGAGCTACTGCGAGCCGCGCGGGGCTCGGCGGCTGCGGCGGTGCGCGGTTGGGAAGGGCGCCCGGCGGGCGGGGTGCGATCCTCGTTCTGCCCCTCGTGCTCACAGCTCTTAATGCTTGCGGCTCGGAAGGCAAATGGGATCCTGGGCTCCATCAAAAGAGGGGTGGCCAGCAGGGACAGGGAGCTGATTGTCCCCCTGTACTCTGCTCTTGTGAGGCCCCATCTGGAGTACTGCGTCCAAGTGTGGAGCCCCCAGTACAAGAAAGACAGAGAGCTGTTGGAGAGGGTTCAGAGGAGGGCCACAAAGATGATCAGGGGACTGGAGCACCTCCCCTGCAAAGACAGGGAGCTGGGTTTGTTCAGCCTGGAGAAAAGAAGGCTGCGGGGTGACCTCATTGCAGCCTTTCAGTACCTAAAGGGAGCCTACAGAGGGGAGCGGAATCAACTCTTTGAAAGGGTAGATAACTGCAGGACGAGGGGAAATGGTTTGAAGTTGAGGGAGGGGAGATTTAGGTTGGATGTCAGGGTGAAGTTCTTTACAGAGAGAGTGGTGAGGTACTGGAACAGGCTGCCCAGAGAGGTTGTGGATGCCCCATCCCTGGAAGTGTTCAAGGCCAGATTGGATGGGGCCCTGGGCAGCCTGGTCTGGTATCGAATGTGGAGGTTGTTGGCCCTGCATGTGGCAGGGGGGTTGGAGGTTCATGATCCTTGAGGTCCCTTCCAACCCTGGCCATTCTGTGGTTCTGTGAAATCGTCAAGTGTGCCTCCCTGCTCTGCTTTCGGCATCAAGCTGAACTTTGTTCCAATAGTTGCCGGTGGGGAAGTGCCATAAAGTCATTGAGGCTGATAGTGAAGTGCGGCCTAACCCTGTGCCACAGGGAGGGCTGAGCTGGGCTGATGGAAATGTGCCTGTGGCAGGTGTGCTGTGGAATGGCAATCTGTGCCCAGGGCACAGCGCTCTCCTCAGCTTCCTGCATGCAAATGTAGAATCGTAGAAGATCCCAAGCTAAAAAGGCCTCATAAGGATCAATGATTCCAGGTGCTGGCTCCACCCAAAATCCCAACCCTGTGTCTGAGAGCAGTGCCCAAACGCCCTTTGAAGTCCAGCTCTGGGGCTGTGCCCACCGCCCTGGGCAGCCTGTTCTGTGCCCACCACCCTCTGGCAGAACCCTGTGCTGATATCCAACTTGAACCTCTCCTTTGAGTGCCTGAGTATTCTGACTTAGGGCACAGTTGTTCCTTATCGCTACTTTCAGATAATTACGCTATCAGATTTGGAATGTGACTACATCAACGCGAGGTCTTGCTGTTCAAAACTCAATAAAGTAAATGATTATTCTTTGCATTTAGTGGGGTTTAAAAAAGCAATCTGGTATCTCTGCATCACAAATAACAAATGCTAATGTATATCTGAAGAGCCTGGATTGGCGATACTTTTTCAAAGTGTTTCTCCTTTATTTCAGTCTGCCTGTCTTTGTGAGGTCCCTGTCTGTCAGTAAGTTAGTCCCTAGAGGCTGTTCTGCTGGCTGTCAGAGCTCAGAGGTGGGCTGCTATTCTGAATTCATGGCACTTGAGCTTTACTCATCACAGAGCTTTTCAGCTTTCCTCTGTGTGCGTGTGCCATCAGGTAGCAATGTCTGCTTGTGGCTGAATTCAGGGATCCTTAAAGCAGCTGTCTTTGACACTTGTGTATAGTTCCAAACCTCCTCAGCAGCAGAGAGTTTTGCTGGGATTAAAAAAAAAAAAAAAAGTACAATTTTAATCAAATCCACTTGAAACTGTTTTGCTAAATCAGTATGACATTCACATATATCTGTTCGCTCTGATTCAAAGGTATTTTCTAAACCTTCTAAACACAAGAACACTACAGGATACTCTCAAGCCAAAAATGTGTTCTTGCTAGGGGCTGACCCAGTTTACCCATGTCTGTTTTCATATTGGTCCATATTCTTATTTATACCACGCCTGAAGGTGTTTGTATGTCCTGTATCTGCAGATTTTAGTTATCTGCTTCTTTCATTCCTACATCAAGCATTCTGTGCAGTGATTTCAGAGGAGCTCTGCATACTTTCTTATTTTCTTTAACATTTGTGTAATATAGCTGTGATTGAACGGCTGCTGTGTTTCATTCTAGAAATCACTGTGTTAAATATAGAACCTCTGTTTTAGTACCTTAGGGCATGATTTTTGGCTTACTCATGTGGAATCTGATTGAAGTATTAATTTCCCCACATTGTGATGAAATCACGTCTCCATGAGTTTTCTCAGTTTGATATGGTTAGAACCAGATGATGATGCAGGTTTTTATTTCAGAAAGTAATTTACGTTTGTTTATGTAACTTTATTTTCCATCTTTTAAAAATATTATTATTATTATTTTTACAGTGGGTTGTCCCTGAGGTGATTGGCCATGCTGTTGTCACTGTATTAATGCTTATTTCATTGCACTGGTTCATCTTCCTCCTTAATTTGCCAATAGCTACATGGAATATATATCGGTAAGTGCAAATGATTTTGTGTGCTTTTCATTCACTGTTAGTAGTTCAGCTTTAAGGCTAGCATGAATATGTCTTAATGAAATGTTTCAGTTTCTTGAGCTCTTAAGTCTCCACAGATCTAACTAACAAGGCTCTCCTCTCTTTGCAGTTAATATTAGAAGAAACACAGCAGAGTAAAGCATATAAAGCTTTTGGCCTTTGTTTGCAATTCTTTCTAATGAACAGATTCCAAATCAAGATTGACAAATCTTGATATATATGAACAGTTCCTAAGCTTGAAGGAAGTAAGAAGTAACAGCATGTTAGTTGGGGTTAGGAAGTACTGCTGCAGGCACAGTTGCTACTGTCCTTCATTCTTTACCTATGTGTCTGAGAGTGATACCAGCACAAAAGTACATAGCCTGGCTGCTGGCTATAAAATCATCCGCCTTGTTATCCCCAGCACCCACCTTTGTGTATAGTTCAGTTTCTTCCCCTCACTTGCTTTATCTAATAGAATTTTGGGGTCCACCATTTGGAGAGGTTTCCATATTAGTCTCTTTATGACAGCTGTCCGTGGTACAGGTCTTCACACACTGAGCTGTCTGCAGCTTTGGAATGATTTGCTTCCTAGTAGAGCTTTGCATGTGGCAACATTGGGGTGGTCGGTTCAAACGTGTTCTATTTTGTATCATTTTGAAATGTGTGATATCACTTGATGTGCAGAGAATTGAGTCCTAAGGGGTGTTTATGCTGATGAAACTGAATATGGGTTTTTGGCAAATCATTCCCTGTACTACAGGCAGTTAACAGACCAAAAGTGTAAGGCTTAAAAAGTTAGCTGTAATTCTTGTTTCCACACACCTGCTGGGATTGACTGTTTGCTGGGACAGTTTGGGTTGTTGGTTAAATAAAAAAGGGTTTTGTAGCTCTCATGAAAGAGAAGATGTCTTTCCTATTATCCTGATTGTTCTGTGGAACTGTAATTCCGTAATTATGTCTTTTCTGCAAAAGGCTTCTAGCAAAGATTTCAAACGTTTCTTGGTTGAAGAAACATGAGGCGCTTTGTGGTTAATTGCTGAGCGTTGCCTAAAGGCCCACATGGGGATAGTTTTGTTTGGCCACCTGTGTGTACAGCTGTATGCTTGTGCAATGCTGTTGCATCAAATGACTGATGTTCCCTTTGGTATCTGCTGCTGAGAGTAGTATTACTATGTTTCTTTTAGGGTAGCTTGTTTCTACAGAGGCACTAGAGTATGAATGTGTTTTCTTTGAATTTGAGAAGATTTCTTACACCAGTTTCCCCTTTGCTACTTCCTTTTGTTTATGTTAATGTGTAAAGTAGCCTCTTGTTTTCTCATCCAGACCTGTCAGAAGGAATTCTGCAAGCTAATGATGCAGAGATCACTATTTCCACACTTCAGGCAGAAAGCTTTGAATGTTGTCTTTTTTAATTGACAGCTCTCATATTTGTCATTCACAATACACTAAAATCTAGGTTCATTTCCTCAATTCTAGATGTGCAGTACACTTATTAAATGAATATGACAATGTGATACTTTGCCTATCCTGACAGAGGATGTCAAAATGTTAGTTAGGGCTCTACTGTTAATCCTACCTCCTTTCTGAGGATCCAGGGCTTTCACCCACACTGACAGCCTGGACAATCTCATCCATACTGAAGGTGATACAGCTTGATAAAAACAAGTGTGTTTAGTGTTAGAGAGGGGATCTGATGATTTGGGGTAAAACTTAAGTTTGCCCCAGTTGTTTAAAGGACAGATGGTACAGTAGTCAGAAAAATCTTGGATTGTAAAATAGTTTGAGCACAGTAAAGAGAGGGGGTGTCAGTGACTAAGCTAGGATCAAGTAGGAACAGATTAAGTCTAAACCTGTTACTGTGAGCTGCAAACTTCCAGCACCAGGTGGGTGTGTTTGAATCTTCTCTTTATGTTACTGTATTTCAAGAAGTAACTTCTGGAGTAAATGTTGCTGCACATGAATTTAGAGAGGCTTTAATTATTTTACTCCAGAATGAGGACACCAATCCAAACAACAGTGTTGATGCTGAAGAAGTCTGTGCTTTGTAGTGTCTCTAAGTGCCTCCTATTATTTAAGTGATTGTTGTAATATGTGGGAGAGTGTTCTTTGGAGGTTCTTTTGTTGTCATTCTTAATCATATAAAGAAAATCTGAAAGTGTGCTGTTCACAGACCTTGCTTTTGCTCCATATCCAAGACCAGAAGTTAAATTGGAGTGTAGAAAGAGTGTTTTCCTAGAAAGATAAAACCTTTGTGAGATATAGGTGAAATGATGGCAATACTGTTCTAGATTGGGCTCAGCTGGAGTGAAAATTTCACAATGCTTGCATTTGTTCTCTTGAGAAATGCTTATGACAAGTAAACATGCTGTTTCTTGAATTTCAACAGGACACAAATGTTTATTTTGCTGCTTTATTCTTCCTATAGATTACATCCAACTTTGTTTCACTCAGCTTGTGCTCTTATGTGGATTCAGGCAGTAGTACTGAAGCTCTCCAGTTCTGCTCAGTCTTTCAAGCTGTAGGCCACAGGAAAGCTGTGTCTTTGCTGAGATAATGTAGCACAGTTGTACAAAGACAGAAATAATATGCAGATCCTTTGTCTTATCTTGTTTTGACCATTGAAATTTGTGATAACATAGATCTTGATTTTTTTTTTTTTTTTTTTTTTTGGTAACTAAGTCATTTAATTCTTTTTTTTTTTTTTTTTTCCAGTCTCTTTCATTTAATACATCTGTCCACCACAGATAGATGTTTTCTTCCTAACACTGAGTAATCACAAACAGCAATGAAAATGCACTGGCATTGGATATAACTGGGAACTCTCCCACTTTGCACAGAAAGCTGGGCTAATCCTGCAATTCTTCGTGGATTGCAATGGCAGAGTTATATGCAATATCCTGAGACCAAAATAGAATTGAAAAAGTGCTCTCTTTTGTTTAACTGCAGAACAACTCTTTGGATGAAAGTCCCTTCTTTGCAAAGTCTTCCTGTCTCATTCCCTGATACTCCCTGTGCTCTAACAACTCTACTTTTCTGTTCTTGGTGTTTTTTTTCCTTTCAGGTTTATTATGGTGCCAAGTGGAAACATGGGGGTATTTGATCCCACAGAGATCCATAACCGAGGACAACTGAAGTCACACATGAAGGAAGCTATGATCAAGCTAGGCTTTCATCTGCTCTGTTTCTTCATGTACCTTTACAGGTTAGTTTCAAAAATTGCTCTCAGAGAACAAAGGAATTGTCTGCCATCTATTTTTATCTCCTCTATTCTGCTCATGTAATTGCTGATGTTCATAATTGTCTTATCTTCTTGCATCCTGCTAAGCTTCAGTGATGTATTTTGACTGCCAGCTGCAAGTGTATCCTATGCCTTTATTCTTTCTGATCAAACATTGCTTGGGAAGTCAGGCTAGTTCTTAATTTCAAAACAATGATAAATACAACATAAAGATTTACATGATTTTAGCACTTAAAGTAAGTGGCCTATTTAGAAATTTATTAATTAAGGTTTATTTTACAAGTTCTATTTGAGAAAATAAAGTTCATCAGGTTAAGTTAAAACCTGATGAGTTCTGTGATGGGGCTACCTACAACCAGAGAGAACAACTGCTGTTTTCTACTGCAGTCCCTCATAAATAAATCAAGTACTGTAGCTGCCTTGACTTTCTATTACAGAATCAAGTGATGTTCCTACCTGCATGTGCTTCAGTAATACACTGGTCTCGTGTTTTCTGTTTTATCACAGTATGATTCTGGCTTTGATAAATGATTGAGAAGTTGAAAAAGAACCATTAGCTGCCAAATTGGGTCATCACTCCAGTGACTGGTTATGGAGCCACAGCCACCTACCGAACATACCTAGACCAGTGGCATCATGCAGTATATTTTTCTTCTTTGAACAAGAAATATTTTCCTGTATTTTTAACATAAAATATTTTCAAAAGACATTGGATTTGTGTAGCAGTTTTTGTTCCTTTTTCTTTTTTAATAACTCAAAGTGCTGTAGCCGTTGCTATTGTAAGGTGAAATCCTTGCTTATAAAACTTATAGGAATAAAATGGTGAAATGGGAGCACAGTTGAACAGCTCAGGTGGACAGTAGTACCAGCTCTAGAACAAATTTAAGTGCAGTTCTGATGTCTGCTGCTTACAGAAAGGTGGCAGGACATGCCTGTGGCTGTCAAGCTGTCTGAGTAGGGCATAGGTTGAATCATCCCTTGGTATACATATTTCAAAGTGGAGCACTAGCACATCTTTGTGTCACTTTGTTTTGTTCCGTTACCTTTTAGCTGGAAAAAGAAGTTGTGCTTTTCTCACTTCTCATCCCTCTCCTCCCACCCCCCAACTGTACAAAGTGTTTTGTTTGGAGGGATTAAGGTTGCTTTGTGACACTTGTGTGTAAGAGCGAAGAACTTGTATTGCTACAGATAAATGTAACACCTGTAAAACAAGTAACACTTGATTTTCAACTGTTTTTTTGTCATTGAAATACATCATGGCCTTCTGCATCAAGTAAACAGTAGAACACAAGGCAATCCAGAGGCCATAGCTGCTCTGTAAACCTGCTGTAGCCATATCCAGGAGGTGAATCACAAACAATTCTACCTAGAGGAGGTGGTCTGGTAAACCATAACTCAGATCTCCTCACAATTCTGTTGTGATTCTGCTACAAAGACAGGAAGTTTAAATTCTTTTTGTGCAGTTCTTACATCAGTGCTATGTACATAAAATGGAGTCTGTACCCTCACTACCAACAACTTGGGTCTTTGGTCTTTTTATATATGCATAAAAAGATTTTCTGGAAACATACATGTCAAATGTAGTATTTAAAAAATGTGGGTGTGTAATTTAGAATTCATGAGTGCTAAGTACTTGTCATTCTTTCTTGTACAGCTGCAGTTAGAGTGCATTGGCCTTAATCTGTGTGCAACAGCTTGGTTTGGTTTTGGTGTTTTTTTTGGTCAGGCAGCAAAAAGACAACGCTGAAGCCCAATTTCTGTAGCTAACTTACATTCAGGGTTTGTTCTGGGATCGCAGAAACAGAATCACAGAATGGCCAGGGTTGGAAGGGACCTCAAGGATCATGAATCTCCAACCCCCCTGCCACATGCAGGGCCAACAACCTCCTCATTTAATGCTAGACCAGGCTGCCCAGGGCCCCATCCAATCTGGCCTTGAACACCTCCAGGGACGGGGCATCCACAACCTCTCTGGGCAGCCTGTTCCAGCACCTCACCACTCTCTCTGTAAAGAATTTCCCCCTGACATCCAACCTAAATCTCCCCTCCCTCAACTTCAAACCATCTTGCAGTTATCTACCCTTTCAAAGAGTTGATTCCGCTCCCCTCTGTAGGCTCCCTTTAGGTACTGAAAGGCTGCAATGAGGTCACCCCGCAGCCTTCTTTTCTCCAGGCTGAACAAGCCCAGCTCCCTCAGCCTGTCTTTGCAGGGGAGGTGCTCCAGTCCCCTGATCATCTTTGTGGCCCTCCTCTGGACCCTCTCCAACAGCTCCCTGTCTTTCTTGTACTGGGGGCTCCACACTTGGACGCAGTACTCCAGATGGGGCCTCACAAGAGCAGAGTAGAGGGGAACAATCACCTCCCTGTCCCTGCTGGCCACCCCTCTTTTGATGGAGCCCAGGATACCATTTGCCTTCCGAGCCACAAGGGCACACTGCTGGCTCATGTTAAGTTTTTCATCTATCAAGACCCCCAGGTCCTTCTCCACAGGGCTGCTCTCGAGGACCGCTCCTTCCAGTCTGTAGGGATGCCTGGGATTCCTCCGGCCTGAGTGCAAAACTCTGCACTCTGTCATGCTGAACCTCATCAGGTTGACTCAGGCCCACCTTTCCAGCCTCTCGAGGTTCCTTTAATAGCATCCTTTCCTTCAACCGTGTCGACCGCACCACTCAGCTTGGTGTCGGGATAATTTTGGCCCTCAGTTTATGATAGATGGAACCCAAGTAAACTGTTGCAAATATCAGGAACTATGCATGCTCATTAGAAAACAACTAGGGAAATAGCTACCACAGCTGCATGTCAGTTCTGCTTGACACCATGCAAAACCAAACTCCAGAAAATATTGCCGTGTAAAACTGAACCTGAGAGAGGATGTTGGTCTGTAAAAAGGAGAGAAATAGCACTTCAAAAGAGAAAGTCAGTCATTTTTTTAGTAACTTAATTGCCTACTATTTAAGTTAGCTTACTTATACGCAAGGACAATTCAAGGTATTTAACTTACAGCCTCTTATATTCCCGTGGAAAAATAAAAGCAGATCTACGCTTACATTGGTTTTAATCTATTAGAAGGTCAACATAAGCTGCAATGTATCATGTAAACTGGACACCACTCGCCTTGAAAAGCTTCTGTTCTCCTCTATCTAGTGAAGTGTTTCTTCCGAGGGGGGAGCAGGAAAGGAAGGGTAAGGGAAAAGATTAATATCTATTAAAGAAAATGGGGGTAGGATGTGCCTCAATTCGTGAGGAATGTAACAGTGCATTCTTCACCACCTCCCTCCTCAAAAATGAATTACTAACCACAACAGACCAACAAGAACAGTTATGGATGTTGTCAAATATGAAATGATACACTTTTTATGAATGCAAACTTTTTTCTAATAAATCTTCTGATCATTCCTCTATAATGACTTATAAGAGTTGTGAAAGCCTCAGTAGCAGAGTCTAAAAACCACAGTTTTAAGCACTTTAGCATTTGAAGAAGGCTGTTAAGCTCTTTTCCTTACCCACAGTCTATAATATAATTAGTTAGCTTTGATACTATGTTAGTACTCAACTGTTTAGTGAAAATATAGTTCATTTAAGTGAAAGGGATTAATTAAAAGTAAGATAATACATTTCCTGCTAATTCATTGATTATTTTGTTTGTTCTGTTCATGAATGTTTTATTCTAAAGCAGTTCTGTATTATGGTAACAGTAGAGTAACCAATGGAAGTAAGAGGATGTGTGGAAGCCCTAGTAACCATTCTAATAACCCCCATATGGGGGTTAACAATTGACCTGAAACTCTGATTACCCTATAAAAGCATATATCTACCTTTTTTAAAATTTAGTATTGGTACAGCTTTATTCTAATTCTTCTTTGCATCACAAGAAACACCAGAGCATTTTTTACAAATGCTAAGACTTTTTTTTTTTTGCCTATGACAATATTATAGTAATGATATTAGAGGTGGTGGCAGAACAACTAGATGTGTACTATTTTTGGTGGTTAATCTTTGGAACATTCTATATATGTATTATATATACAGGGTTTTTCTTTTAAGATGAAGCAGGAACTGAGACTGCCATCTTTCTGTAAGGAGCAGAGAGCTTAAGCATGTGCAACACATGGCAAGGTAGCAGAGGACTGCATCAAGAAACATGGGAAGCATAGGTGCTAAAGTGTGAAGCACAGAAGTACCCTATCTTGGAGTTTGGATTTAAGCTAATTATGAAGTGGCCACTTAATAGTAAGTTCTTTACATGAATTCTCTTACATAATCAAATCTAACAAGTTAAAAAAAAAATCACAATTCATTTTACATCTTACTTATGTCACAGTTTTTGGAAATCACGTACCTGTTTCTCTTTTACTCTTCTCACCAGCCAGAGGCAGATGTAGGCAGATGTAGGTGCAACAGTGTGTGTGTGTGTGGGTAGTAGGGGGAACGGTTAAAGAAACTAAATTTCCTTCATCTGCCCTAGGGATAATTTATGGCTGAATTGGGTCTGCAATCTAGCAACTCTTGTATAAACACTCGTACCCCAGGCAAGCAGCAAAAACAAGTGCCTGGAAAGGGATAAGACATGCCCATTCTGTTTGCAGCTGCATTTAAGGCATGGTTATATATACACAGCTTAACATCTAAGCAAGGGAGTAAATATTAATTAAAAAGTACTACTATGAGATGGCATAAAGACCTTTTTTCTAATCCAAATAGAAGCTGAAAGGATTAAAAAAACTGAATGCAATTTGCCAGATTAAAAAAACTGAATGCAATTTGCCAAAGTGTTCAAAGTTGGAAAACTTACAGGAAGTAGAAGGCAAATTTAGGTACAGTTTTTACTTATCAGAACGCTAGCTACAGCTGAACAACTCTGTCTGTGGTACCAGTGCATACAAAATACAATTGCACCTCAACTTTATCCTGCAAAGTAGGAGGAGAAACAAGAATGCAGAGGTAGGTGGAAGGAAAAAAAAGCAACAGGTAAGGAGTGGGTTAAAGAGCCACAAAAGCTGCTCAAGTCAACTTCAGATAAGATGTCCCTGATGTGCAGCTGGTAAGAGAAGCCTAAGCAAGAAACAGAAGTACTTTTAAGAGCACCTTCTTAATGTGGGAAAGAACTGTAGGTATAGATGGGTTATGGTCAGCAACCTGCTTACGATACCTGAGTGAGCTCCAGCATTAAGAAGGCTCTCATCCAGCCTCAAAGAGCAGGTGTTCAGTAACATAAATAAGCACAGAATGGGATGCAGGTGAGCAGTATGTTGAACTGCTTCAATGTACAGTTGAAAAGCAGGGGGAGATCAGAGCCAAATATCAAAAACTGGAGAGCTGCACAGCAGTAAGAGAATTCTTCTTCAGCTGAGCTGTCACAAGTGATTTCTCCTGTCAAGAAATAAAATGCTACAAACGTGGAAGAACTTTACAATTAATGATCAAGAAATGAACATCCCAGTGATAATCACATAAGTGAAATTTAGGAAACTAAGAACTATTCGTTCCAGTTATTTATTCTGTTTATTGAATTGAAAGAAAGGGAATACAAACATTTCTGTTAAGTGCTGTGCACCAACATGGAAAAAGTGTATTGTTTTTTTTTAAAAATCCTAATAAAAACAAATCAGAAGTTAATGTAGTTCCAATTGAACAATTTGTAAAGATATGTTTAAAATACTACACATTTATAAAATAAAAAAGTTAAAACGGTGTTCTGTAAATAATTAGTAAAATGAGTGAAAATAAATACGAGACCCAAAGTTCTTATGTTTTTAATGTAATATAGCAAAGAAATTTTAACTACTTAATATAATCCGAGGAGAGTAACAAAAATCCAGAAAGTTTAAGAACGCAATCCTTTGAAACATTTAATATCAGTCCATAGCAAATAGTCATTACATACCAAAAGCTCTAAGTGTTAACTAGTTCCACCACAACTCCATATAAATCTTGACAACTTAGAAATCTTGAGATCAACAATAAAGTTCTTTTCTTGATCTCTACAGCTTGGTTTGTAAGTACATACATGCTTTGAGGATCCATTTTGTCCCATATGTTTTCAAGGAGCCAATAACTTTTTCCATCTGTGCCTAAAAATGTTAAGATTCAAATCTAGCACATAGACCCTAACAATGAAAGATGTTTAAGAAAAAGATGGGGCACGATGAATTTCCAATTTATAAAAATATACTGATATTAACCAAAACCTTCAGGTCGGAGGACACTTCACATACGCACGACTCAAAGTATGCAATAAAACATGACAAGTACCTAGAACATTTGGTTCTATGTCTGTTTGTGGAACACACGCACACACACATTCATACCAGATGGGAGGAACACTCTCACGGACTTCTTGTTGAACCCAGATAACCTGGATCGACAAACAAAAAAACTTGTCTACAGTTCATTTCAACAACTAGAGGCAGCTACCGCAGCAGCAGTTCAACACTGCACACTTCAATTAAATCCACCCTGTTTAAAAAAGTGTCAGAGTTAAGGAGTTCTTTCAAAATATCTTTAAAAGTAGCAGTTTTTGAAATTAAGTATGGCAGCTGAAAATGGTCTTCAGCCAACGTGGAAAAGACAGGAGGAGGTAAAAAGGGTAGCTATTTATGGGAAGGATGTTCCTCAATTGTCCCAAAGAAAACAACAAAAAGAAAACCGTTTAGTAAATACAGGTGTGTTTTGTAGCTAAAAAAATATGGACAAACTATTGAAAGTGCATTTCTCCTCCTCCCCCTTGAGTTACAGTAGTTTGTCAGTAAATCCAGCTTTTTATCTTCATTCCTCTTTCTCTACCTCCCCATGTGGGTCTACATTTCCCCTTCAAACTACAGCTACTTGTACAAGTCCTTGTTTCCTTCTAAGGAAGCCTTCATAACTGGTTCTGGATGGGAGCGCTGCTTATCAGTGTAAGGAGATACAACTAGACACATACTCCCAAGCATAAGTTTTATTCAACATTACCTGTTTGAAGCCAAGATGAGAAGTAACTGGCAAGATCAGGAGAGCTTTCTAGCTTGCACCTTTGCTCTAATCATAAAAATGAAGTCAGCTTTAAAGTTGGAGAACTTGAGAAAATACGGAGAATTTGAAACGAAGGTGTCATGTCCCCATACTACCCCACCCACCCAAACAAGGACAAATCTAGCATCACTGCTTGTTTTCCCTTTTGTGCTCCATTGTGCCTTGAAAATTACTTACCTGAACAGCTAATGAGCATTCAGATAACAAAATGCTTCAGCTTTCTTTTTTTAAAAGATCTGCCTTGACAATTACCCGCAGCTACTGCAAAAGTTTTAAGCTAAGAGCTTACCAAAGAAAATTAGGAAAGAGTAGTACACTCTTACAGTATTTTCCTCTCTAAAACTTTTCACCAGAAACACAGTGTTTATCGCAGGTGTGTGGTTGTTCCAGCCTGATTCCAGCCTACAAACATTTTTAAGCACATGGAAATCAATGTGTTGCAAATGAGCAAGCTTGTTCCCCCCCCCTCCCACCACCCATAGTCTCATTTTATCATCTGTGCACAAAAAGTATTGGTACTTTTCAGTTGACACATTGTGAATACGTGACATGTTAGAAACAGCCTGGGTTACACTGGTAACAGCCACGTTAGATTGGTTCTCACTACCACTGGATCTGTAGCATAACTTCACTATGGGACCAAGTACTGTGATAAAACAAAGATTACTCTATCCTTTCCCTCATCTCTGCACACCACATGGCATAAGCAGACATCTATGCAATACAGTGGGATTGACATTGAAAAGAATGCCATCTATACGATAAAGGAGCATAGTTGCATAGTTGCACCACAAAACTGAATTAAAGCAGAGATATCAGAACACGTTTCTAACTAACTTGCTTCTAAATACCTGAAGTGTTCTTTAGAGGTACATACCTATTCCAGAAGAGGTCAGATTTTGGAAGAAGCACTAGGTTCCAATTTTTATTTACAATGCATTGCAGCAGAAAGTAGAAATCAGCTCATACGTACCCACACATAGCTTGTACCAGGTAAGGAGTCTCACTTTGGTTTAGGTACTGCTAACCACATGAAAAATGCCTTTTGAAATGCATGTGAGACTTTCAGTCTAAACTCAAGACTTTGATCCTTCAACACCTGCCTGAGCTCCCACTGAAGTCCAATGAGTATGAGGTAAGCAAGTAGTGCCAGACTGTTGTATGAGACATGCAAACCAGAACTGCTCTCCCTCCCCTTTACTCTCCTTAAGTAACACTTCATTTAAAAATCAGAGCTTCAGAGTATGACAAAACAGGGGTAACCTCTAAAGATTCACATGCTACCATTGCTTCTGAATTATATCATGTTTTGCAGATATAAAACACTGTTTTTGGTGTGGTTTTTTTGTTTGTTTGTTTGTTTTTAAACTAGAAGTTAGGTTTACTAAAAACTGACCTTAGGAAAATTTTCTGTTTCCCTGCAATACCAGTGCCACAGGAGAAAGACTGACTAATCTTATGCTGTCCAACTAGCAACAGAAACAGCTCCTCTAAAATGAGAGAATGGGAGAGGAACTGATATGTAGTCTTCAGTTTACATACATACTTCCCAGAATTTATGGGAATGGTGATTACTATCCCAGCAATTCACCTTAAGACAAATGAACTAAAGATAAGAATGTTAAGTTCCTACTTCATTTTGGAGGTACTGAACGTGAGTATGTCAGATTCAGAGCTGGTTTCAATGAGATGATCAGAATCTTAAGTCATCTGGCAGATTACACACAGGGCAAGGAAAAAAACAACGAACAAGCCAACCCACCCAATTACTGGAATCTTAAAAAGAAAAATCTGACCTGCTGAACTGCACTTCATTTTTCTTGGGAAGAAAAAAAAAAAAGGACTATTTATGTTAAGCACCACATTCCCATTCATCAAAGTGGCTACATGCTCTTCCCAGGAACTCAGGCAAACCTTCCCTCACCCTTCTTCCATACATGACTAATGTCACTAGATTATTGTGGATCTTCTAAGTTCACACTTCCATTCACATTGTCCTTGGTGGCATGCCCTCTCCTGCTCCCTCATTACTTCAGAGCACTAACAACACTACCTTTCTACCCAAGGTGGGAAAGGAAATCCAGTGCCATCCCACAAGGAATTTGTGTGTAGTGCAGAAGCACAGAGATGCCAGGCCATCTGTTTATTTAAAAAAAAAAAAAAAAGCTTCAATTATAAATGTCTCTTTTTGCTAAACATGGCATATTAGTGGAACTGTTCCAAAAAGCGTTAACGTGTTCACAGCACCAGCTTGCAACAAGGTCCAGGAGAGACTTTTAAGCCTGCAAACTTAGAATTATATTCTCAAAGTCTAAACATCTTTGTTTACCAAATAATAAAGAAAGTTTTCCATTGCAAAACAAGTTATCTATGATTTGAATGTTAATTACTTCCACAAAATGTTGACTTTGCAAATAAAGGATTCAGCACATTCTTCTGTTGAGGTTTACCTTTTATCAGTATCGTTGCATATATTTATAAACTAAAAAAAAGACCTTGTCTTGTTTAAGCTCTTAATCTCCTGGTGTACTCTGAACACTTCTTTGTTTCCCTAAATAATACAATTTATCTTTTCATATGGATAGTGAGTTTCTCCTTCTGAAACAAGCTTCGCTGCCTATGTAAAGCTCCTTGCAGCCACTGCTTTTGATTGGGTGTCAAGACACTCTGGAAGAGCATCAGTGATACCACATTCCACATTTCTTCTTGCATTGGTTTAATTCCAAATGTATACAAATGAAGTCATTTTAATCCTATAAATAATTTATTTTTAAAAAATTGTGCTGTTAACCCCTTTGCAGGGCAACGAGCTATGTGAAAAGTACAAAACTTTTTGTCAAATGTGATACTGAGAGTGCTTTTGACATAGTTCATTGGTTTATCTCAATTTATATATACTGCGCAACGGGCAAGGCTAGAATCCATGAACCAAGCTGCAAAGATCTCAAGCTAAGTAAGGCGGAGAGATTTGAGAAACAAGAGAAGGAAATACTTTCCTATCCAATGTATACTCTTCAGACTAAAGCACTCTTTCTATCAAGCCTTCTAAACTCTTAAATAAAGTGTTCCAAACAAGCATTTAAACTTCATTACACAGAAGAGCAACAAGAACAGTAGCCTGCCAGACAAAAAGGCAGGAGGGAAAAATATATACTGAGTTCAATGGTTAGCCTGAATGTAGCACAGTTCTTCACAACCGATGGGGGGTAATTTCAACACGGTGTCCAACAACGTTCTAACGACGTGCTTCATCTTGACTGGTTACTATGAAGCAAGGTGGTAAATGTTTGGCCCCAACCGGGCTTCAGAAATGGTTCTTTTTCATGACGAGCATGTCTGTCCAGCTATCAATCATGTTTGTTTGCACCAAATCCCAAGCCATTTAAAATACGACTAATTAAGTTAAACTGAAGTCGTCTGCTCCAAATTCGCCATCAACTATCCATGCTACTGCATTCCTCTGAGCAAAAACAAAAACACAAGAGAAAAAAAATCAAACCTTGAAAATCTTATCAACAGTTAGCATTTCTATAATTACATTACATAAATACACTGTGTTAAGTTTACTAAGCATGCATAGTAATACTGGAACTTATAATGCAACTAAATCCCACAGTAAAAATTAGCAGTTTTAGATATCATTACTCATAACATCTAAACTTAGCATGTTAGCTGTTGGTACATGAAAATCGCCTCTTGCAAGAGACCATAGAATAGAATCACTAATGTTGGAAAAGACCTTTAAGATCATCCAGACCAACCATGCAGCTATCATCGATGTTTCCCACTAGCCCACGTCCCTCAGTACAACATCTAAACGTTTCTTGAACACCTCCAGGGATGGTGACTCTACCACCTCCTTGGGCAGCCTGTTCAATGAAGTACATAAATTTGCATTTGAGTTCCAGGGGACTGTGCTAATCACAAAGCTGTCTGTCACCCACTTAAAGTTCCCAAATTGCCAAAGATATGTTCTGTGCACCTACATTTCTTGTAGCGCTATGAGAAATCCAGTTTTTACATTTCTGTTTTTAATAGACTTTAATAAATCATTTTGTGGAGAAACTAAGAAAGTAAGTAGGTGGGTAACTGGGAGAAAACAAGAATCCAAATACAAATAAAGTAAAGCTGGAGCATAGGCTCCAAGTCCCTGAGTGTTATGTTCAAGATGTTACAAATGAGACTGGCAATGCTGGTCCACCTAGTCCAGTACTAGAAATAGTCAGAAAGCATAGAACAGGGAAAGGAGATGATCCTTAGTCTTAATGTCCTTCCAACTTCCAGCCATTTTCACCTGAGGGACATTCTGAATTAGAAGTGTTTACTTATCTGCTCACACTTAATGGATTTCTCTTTGATTACTTTTTTGGATCCCCTTGAAGTAACATCCACACTCAGTACCCACTACAAGACAACTTAAAAGACAGAAGTCTACAAGCTGCACAACAATCTCCTAGTTTTCATCTTGCCAATAATTCTGAGGAGTAGGTAAGAAGGGCTGGGAGAACATGCTTCTGACAGTGAAAAAAGTTATACTTATTTAACATGTGGCTCTCTCCAAGACACAGATAATGTCTGATGATCAGGAATGAATCAATCATGTACAGCTTGTAGGGTGCAAAAAATGTCACTCTCCAGATTAGGAGAATACTTATGTAAACACCATAATAGCATGATATTTGCTCAGAATGCATTATTTAAATGTTAATGACATTGCATGCACTTCAAGCACTAGGGGCAATGCTTAAGAAGTCCATATAAGTTAGTTAATGTAAGAGTGAGGTCTCAGTGACGCCGCAGTTTTCTATACAGTCACGTGAGAAATGTGAGTAGCATTTTGGAAATGCTACTTCACAGCACAGAAAACCCACTGGGACAGTTCATAGCAATTACAAAACAGGCACACACACACACACACACACACACTCACCTTCAATATCCTGGTTGTCTACAAAAGGTGCTGGTCCCCATATTCTAACAGTGCCATCATCAGAGGCGCTGGCCATCATGGATGGAATCTGCGGGTTCCAGCTCACACAGTTAACAGTACGTGTGTGCCCTGTCAGCTCCGCAATTGGCAGCTCGCTACGCTTGTGCCAAATATATACTTTGTGATCTAAAGAAAACGTGCATTAAAGAAAAACATGAGAAACATTGCTCTACACAGATCAATTTGTTATGTCAAGTATTTCCACGCAAGCTCTCAGCAATTACAAAGATATGAGCATTCTTATAAAACCTGCATCTGTTAAATGGGCAACAGCACTAAATTTTTTTCTTCTGAAAGCGATCAAAAGAGTATGGGCAAAGATCTTCCACTGAGGGGCATGCTGCTTTCTTTTAAGTCTCCCAGGAAAAACGTGACTACAATGCAAATAAGCCAATACATAGATAAAAAACAAGCTGAGCTACTTACTCTTAAGAATACGTAGTTGTAATCTTATTCAAAGGGAACACTTACATTACTACTTTTTTTTTTTTTTTTAAACAATCATATTTTCAGATTAGTACATGATTATAAATCACAAATACTAGAATATTTACAACCACCACATATTACTATACACTAGATAAGATCACAGCATTGCAGTTAATGGAATAAATTTTGCTACTAGAGACCTAGCAATATTCCACTTAATGTCTCAAATTACAAGCTATTTCTGCTTTTCACAACAATTCATTCCTGAGTTGTATTCAAGTACAAGTAGATGCAATAAGTAATCCCACAGATCCTATTTTGTGAAAAGAAGCTTTTAATTCTTTGTTGCAACATAGAACAAGAAATGAAAAAGTGAAATGGTCAAACACTCCACTGCAATTTTTTTAATGTTTTGTTTTATAACCAACCATACTTAGGACTAAGCAATTTTTTTCCTCTAGCAGTAGATTTGCAGCCTTTAACAAATGTGTGGGTTGATCTTGCTAGGTAAGCCTTTGGAATATTCCAAACAGGGCTATTTAATCTGAACAAGCGTGCATTATTGGCATTACAAAATCATTAAGTACTAACACATTGACTTGAGGTATTTTAATCTGTTTGAAAGGTTTTAATGCATAAGTCATTCTGAAGACTTAGCAAACAAAACATTCCTTCTCTACTCCTCTTCCCAATCCCCTACAAAACAAACTTGCTTTCTGACCTACCTGCTAGAACAGCATCACGGAATCATGTGATAACTCAATTGTCTTCTGCTGAACCAGCTCATTTGAGTACAACACCTTTACACACACTTGCATTAATACAAATGTTCTGGTTGATTTCAGGAGACTACACATTCATGCTATTCATCAAATAACGCAATTTACTCTCTGCTTAAATACTGGACACACAAGCCTCTGCTGTCTGGAAGAATGAAAGCCTAAACACAAACCAGTATTTTGGTGCTTGCCAGAATGCCTATATTTTGTTTTAGAAAGAACACGTTAGCTGGAGTAAGGCAGCAGTCAATTTCCCTCTCAGAAAGAGACCTTCGTTTTCTTCCTACTGATTAAAGTGTAAGGAAAAAAGTCTACCTAGCTGACAGGGCAACCTCCTAAGCATAAGAGGTTATGACAATGTAATCCATTATGTTTTTGTTTCATTGTTTTGGTTTGTTTGTTTAAATAGAGAGTTTTTGTCAGTAGCCACATTTGCAACAGTTACAAATTGTGCAGAGGCAGCAGCCTCAGGTAGACCAAACCTAAATAAGGTGCCATAAGCTTCTACCAGTGCTGAGTAGTTTACAGACAATGAAAACAGGGAACTTGTTGATCTATAAAGAGGTTCACACTGGATTGGAGATGCTGACCTTCAGTCAGTATCATTCTTTGACAAGGCTTGCTGGTAGATAAGATTTTAGATGTATCTGCTGTTTTCTAAAAGAGGATATTAGTAATGTCCTGGTCCTATTTCCTAACATACATGAGTTACACAGTGATTATATTTCAAGTGTAATCCTTAGCCTGCACATAACCTCTGTGGGAGGTGATGGCATTACATCAGTGACAGAACTGAATCAATTCAAGACACAAGCCATTAATAATTTCTTTCCTTACCACAGAAAAGTTGAATAAAAACACATCACACAAAGCCTTTGATTGCCAAGGAGCCCTTTTAGAATATGTCAACAACTGCTTAATTTGAGACTACTCCTTTGTAATAAAGCTGGCAACTCTGACTGAAATTCAGATCACCTCACCACACCTGTACCTTCAACAGGCAAATGAGGCTGTTACTCTGTGGTAGTATTTCTGATTCAGGCCATAAGTGCATCATACCACAGAAAGAAAAAACCCTCAAGAACACCCCACCCACTTTTAATTAAAACTATTCAGATGCTTTAGAGGACAACACAATAAATTCATTGGTGCTTTCTCCTAGCACCATTCTCTCAAAAGATTCTTTCTGCTAGCACACAGTTATTTCTTGAAGTATGCTGTAGCCTTGGTGCTCCTCAGACTTATTTAATGAACCAACTGCTTGTTTTTAGAGATTACAGATGCTAACATTATAAAAGTAAGGTATAGGAAGGATACAGCGTTCCAGTTTTCTGTACAAAAGGGATGATGTTACCTTCGCTGCCACTTGCAATGAAGTCTTCATTATGACCCCCAAAACATGAGTGAATTGTGTAAAATCCTTGTGTAACTCCTTGATATTTCCTCACTAAAACTCTGTCTTGTAAGTCCCATAAGTGAACTCCCTGTGAATTAGAAGTACAGAAGATTTTTTGTTTTAAACCATTGGACATTACCCATTGTGTTCTTCTGAAACTTTATAAAAAGTTTAAATATGATGAAAGTGCACTACCTTCAGACAACTTTGGTAGTGTTACTAGATCAAGAGAGTAAAGATATTCTAAATTGCTAGCTTCAACCTTCCATTTTGAAAACTATACTTAATCAAGGTCCCCAAACCAGAAATACATATATTTTAATTTAATCCCAACACCTCCTTCACTCACTCCCACATACGTCAACCTGCCACAATTCTTGCATTTTCTGGTTTCTCTGTGTTACTGCCAGATAATTACATTTAATAATACAATTTTCATTGTATTAAAGACTTGATTATAAATCAATTCAAAAACTCAGTCTCAAGGATAAGATTACCTTCTTGTCAGAGAATATTCATAAACGCAGTGTGACATTAAGGTCTTCATATTAAACTAAATGCAACTAGTTAATATCAAATATTCCATTTTCCATCAAGATACTTAAAAGCAGTTAGTAGCTGCAAACAGATTATTTGCAATTCCATTTGTTGTCACAAACTCACCTGAGTTGCTACATTTAACAAAGCTAAGCGGCCATTTTTTGAAATAGTAAACGACATTATAGGGTGATCCTCTTGTACTCTGAAATTGAAAGATATCACAGTTAAGAGTATGCTTAACCAAATAATAATGCAACACCATGACAAAGAGTACGTCCCATCTCTGCATTTCTATCAGCACAGAAAGACAGTGCTGAATTTGAATTTCTATTTGATATTTAGTATGTCTCTATGTCAATGCTAGCCAGGCCTGCAACAGTTTGTTAGTTTTCTTATGATAAATTCCAAGACTAAATGGACCTGAAGCCTCAAATGCAGCTCGTAACTTCAAAGCAGGATATATTCATATATGGATACACTATATATGTGAGGCAAGCACAACACAACAACAGAATTGTCAAAACATTGACAAGAAAACTCCAGTGCTTATGGAATTATTTCTAATACTTGACCTAATGCATCTAGCTGCAGTTGGAAATCACAAATTTTTATCCCATGTTATTCTCTATTTAATACAGAGAGCATTCCAAGAAGTTGTTTCTCATCCTGTCCCACACTTTCTCAGTCTTCTTCTCACAAGGCCAGGAATTCAAAACCTGATACTTACATGTTCCTGTCTGTAAGATCCTCAAAGTTATAACCCCGAATTCGCTGGTGTGTGTCCGACGCTAAAACAGTTTTTCCATCACTCAAGCACCAAAGGCATTGTACTCTGACCCCTTCCCAGGAGTCAAGGAGATTACCATCTAAGTCCTGATCAGAATGAATAAATAGATAGATAAACAAGCTTTTAGGTTCAGATTTCTGGAGGAGTTATGCGACAAACATCTTTTCCACCTTCTGTTCACACAGCAGCTACAAAAAGCAATCTTACCATTTAATGAAGAGGACTTAATGATTTAGGACTTGGATTGGATTAACTGAAGACTTTTGTAACTATCTGTCCTGGAGAGGTGTGAATCCCCTTCTTTGCACATACCAAACCAGAAAAGAAGCAAGTACTTCATGTCAGGGAGCAATCTGCAAGCTCACTTGTGCAGTGAGTGAGGTCTGCATACAGCAGCATCATTCCGGACACCAAGTCAGATGACAAATAAGAGTATGGGTGAGACTGCAGAAGGCTATCTAAAAATTAACACTAAGTATGAAATGAGGGCTTCAAATTTCTGTTTACACTAAGCAATGACAGCATGCAAAAACTAGAAGACAACATATAAAATTCTGAGGAATAAACAAAATATATGGGCAAAGGCACTGCTTTTTAATGGTCTGTTTTCAACAGAAGCTATGACAAAAATTTCCAGCCCACAGATCCTCCCTTATGCAAGGTAATTGCTATGTGAATGTGTTTGAGCCCTTCTAACTACTACATATAGATACAGAAATGCTGCTGAAATAGTAGCATCTGTGTATTGTACATACAGATTTCAGAGTACTTGAAGGGTTTTTTTTTTATATATAAAAGCTTATCTCTGAAGATTCACTTTTAATATATACACAAAAGAAAATTAAAAAAAAACCATCAAAACTCACATTGGACTGCGACAAAATGTTTCTTTCTAGCTTTGTTTTCAGTGTGACAGATACAGAGAACTTACACACTGATAGAACTGTCCACGCTGACCTCCTGTTACAAAACGTTTCCCATCAGGATTCCAGGCCACACTTGTTAAACTGTCTTCGTGAGATTGGCTCATCTTTGTCCTCAGCTCCCCAGTCTGGAAAATAAATACAGTAATGCCTGATACCAGCCAGGAGCACCCTCTCCCAAAATGATACTAATAACTTCATCTGATTTGCAGTAGCTGGCAGTACATAAATTTCAACACTTAATTTAAAAAAACAAAACAAAAGAAGCAAGCAGACGAACAAAAAAACCTTATGAATAATGCAATAAAAAGAGAGAGTTACCACAGCATCTCCAGCATTTCCTCAGACTTGACTTGAAGGAATTTATCATTTTGTCCCTCAAATCAAGAGGGGTGAAATAGTGGGTACATCAGACAACTGTGAGATTGCAGTTTAAAGAGGGGAACTCAACACAGAAGAAAGTGTAAGAGCAAGATACGCAAATATAAAATGAAACAAAACATGGGGAGTGAGAAGGCTACAGTAGAACAAAAGAAAACAGATGACAAGCCTGTGTTTAGTAAAAATATACATATATATATACATTCAAAACGTTTTCCACACTAAGCTGAAGATCTTCACATCAAACTTCAGCTTTCATGCCTAGCTCATAACACTGCTGTTTCACAGGACAGAGAGCCAATGAATGGCTTACCATTGCCAAAACAGTAAGGGTTTCTCTCTACTCCCTCGTGCCAGCTCTAATGCTCTTCACTGAGCCAATTTACTTCACTGAGTCAATTAAATAAATTGAAACAGAACAAAAGTATTTCAAGGGTGGAAAAAAAAAAAACTTTTTTTTTTTTGGTTCCGAGGGAACTAAATTAGTTCAGAGTCTAAACAGTACAATAAAGACTATACAGCCTACAGCTGAAGCCAGGGAAGCTTTTGTATCAACTCAGCTGCCCATAAAAATCAACAGCAGAAAGGGGTTTTCAAAGTCCTGGAGAAAATAGCCAAATTCTGTCTTTCAGTCAGAAAATAGGGAAGTTTGAGTCTCTGTGAACCTTTCATTAGAACCACTGGGAGGGTGACACAAAACAACAAGAGACAAATTAAAAGATGCACACTACTTCTAAAATCTTCTGCAAATTATTTCTTTCCTTAGATTGTATTTCTGTCCTGTTTCTTTTGATTTCTGCTGTTCTTCTCTTCAGTAGCTCTCTATGGTCTTGTGGAATTGTGCAATCCCTTCTTAGAAATGAAGAGTCAGTCATCAGATACATCAGAATTGCTACACAGTCTCAGGCATTCAGACTTGAACTCTATTTTCAGTTCTGTACAAAATGAGTACAGAACTTGTTGGCTGTTTCCCAAATTAGGGAAAAAAAAAAGTTCAGTCTGTTTTCTTTATGCTCCACTTCTGTGCAGAAAGTTTGAAAAACTGATATCCTTCATGTTTAATAGATTTATATATATCTACACTAACATATCTTCTTTTAAAAAAGCTGCAAGCTGACCACAGTTTTATTTTTTATACTCTGAGTCACCACTTACTTGTACATTCCAGAGCCAAAGCTCAGAACAATCATCTGGGCCACAGGCAACAAGATAGTTGTCATCTGGACTCCAAGCAATATAAGAGACTCCATATGCATGACCTTCTAATGTCTTAAGTAGTTTTAGCTGGTGAGTATCCTGAAACAAGAGAGATTCTTTTAGGCAATACAAATGAGCTCCTACCAGATTTCATATATACAACATGTTCAAATACAGCATGGACACTTTGCTTTATGCAACTTGGCACAGGCATTTTATAAGTTCACTGTTCAAGTCATGTGAACAAGTTCTTACTAGAAAAGCAGTTGCTAATTTATAGAGTATGAACATCAGGCAAAAGCTTGTGCAAAAACAAAAGCCAAAAATGAAAAACAAGAACTCGTAGGTATTTGTTTCTAATCTTCCATGATTCTTCTGAATGTGGAATTCACAAAATGTCACATTCAAAGTTTTATGTTACACAACACTCAATACTACAGAAACCTCACATACCAAAACAAGTCCCTACCTCTACTGGAATACAGAAGTACAGTTATCCATATTTTATGGAATTACGTTACTTTCTTAAAAGCACAAACATGTTGGAAAACTGTTATATTTAAGCAGAATTAATAACCAAAACCCACATCGTTAAGTGTTTTTTGTTTGATTTTTTTTGTGTTTTTTTTTTTTAATAACCTGAGTATATTTGTGCATTGCTCAAAAAAAGATTTCACAGAAATATATGTCTTTAAAAGCTCACAAGTGAGGATTTTCTTTTTCTCAGAAGTGCTGCCTACAACAAGATCTGCATCCTTTCCACCAGACTGTGAATGAAGCATACTTGTACACTCAGAGTTATCTTACATGAGCTTTATCTTACAACTGCTCTAATGCTGACTTGTCAAAGGAACTTGACTTTCAAACATCTTATGAGGATAAGTAGTACAATTAGACACTGTGAAAAAAAATCATACATTAACTTCCGAATTACAGTAACATGCTGCATAGAATAGGTCTTGCTGAATTGCTTACAACAATTTTTGTGAAAGTTTCTTTGTTTGTCTGCTTTTTTCTGCTTTTGTTTGATTGGGGAGGGGGTTGTTTTTGCCTCGTACTTCTCTTCAAAATAAATCTGACTCGTTTGAAGGTGTTTGACTTCTCAAACTGTCCCATTTTCACTTGTTTTAGCATTAGGCAGCAGAGCATCTCTTGACTTGGAATTCCAGAGAAAGAACATTATCAACAGAGAAAGAACCTGACATGGTCTGTTTTCTGGGATCAGCTGTGAGGGATTCAGCAACTCCATCAGCCTGAAGCTTTCGTCATTCTGCTGGCTAGAAAATGCCTCAAAAGAAAATGGGCTAAGAAGAATCTTCAAAGAACAGAAATAGCAGAAGCAAACGCACAGACTTTCTTAAAGCCTCTCCTATTTCATTCTGATCATTATTCCTGGTCTGCATTAGACACTGCCAGGTCTGTATCTGAACCGATCTGTAAAGGAACTGAGTCACATCTGACACCTCTCATCCTGGAGCTTGTCTGCAACTGCTGCAATTTTTTAATTTTAATTTTTATTTTTAACTAATCCCGTGGAAGGGTAGCCTGCCACTTCTACAGCATCTCATTTGAGAGGCAAGAGGAACAGAATGCGTATCATTTTTCCCTTATAATGATAGGAATTGTGGTTGTCGCTCTCCTACTGCTCTCATCCTTCTCTACAAATACAATAGGACTGCTATAATTTGTCTTGCTCTCACTATAACAGCAGGTATTTCAGGTAAATGTTCCCAAATTTACTCAGTTTGCTTTGCATCTGTCACTGAAACAAATCTTAGCAATTCTACCGCTTACATATAACTTCCCAAATTTTTTGTTATGAAGAAGAAAAGACTATTCACCTATTAAGTTTGTAATGATTAAGTTCCTTGGCTGAGAAGTCAAACATCTGCCAATAGTTTTTTAAGAAAGTGCATTAAAAAACAAGTTGCAGTAAGAAACAAGTTAAAGGCAAGCTCTGCCAGAGAAGATGCATTCAAGATGATGTGTAATGCTAGTGTTCTAGGTATTCTGCCACACTTTGCAATAGTCAAATAATGTATTCCACACTCAAATCTAGTTTACTCAAGGTATTATTTAATGCCGCTGAAAGAACACTGAAATGAGCAAATAAAAACAGAAGCATGGATTAAGACAGTTTAGATGATAAATAGATGGGTCTTAAAAGGAAGTTTAATACATTAGTACGGAAAAGAAACACATTTAGAACAGCGTGCCCCCATCACTGGCCCAGAATTGGACAGATTAGAATAATTTTATTTACAGGCAGATTAGAATAGTTTTATTTACGGCTTGAGAATCTGATTAAATTTATTACTCAAAAGACACTGTCAGCTGCTACAGGAAATGTGAAAAGTATGCTCTGGCAAATTTGAAATCAGAGTTATGTGGCTTCATGTTATTTAGAAGTCTACCTCCTTGAAAGGTTTTAAGAGGTTTTTTTTCGCCACTTGTACTCAAATACAGAAAGCAGAACTCTACACAGCTTTTCTACTCTTTACTGAAGATTTTGTTCCCATAACAACCCACAAATCAAAGTGTTCAGATAACCTAAAACACAATGTGTTTATTTGGTTAGGTAGCAATTCACTATGAAATGCATCATCAGAATGTTGTGAATTAAAAGCTGTCAAGTAACAAATCAACAGCAAAGCCATTTGATCCTCAATTTAATTGGAATTGCTGTTGATTTTTTTTTTAAATTCAAAATCACATTAAGCACAGAAGTCAGATTATGTTACTATATATCTCAGCTCAGAGCACATTGGATCCAGTAACATGACTAAAACAAAAGTTCTACACCTGAAAATTTGCTAATTTATAAGATGTATATAATTAGACCCAATCAAAAGGTTGTAAGTTCTCCCATTATCTGAACATCAAAAAGGACTAAAAATATATAGCTTCTTAACTCAATGTGAGATTATAGAAAAAGATCAAATTCAGCTCTCAAATCCTACTGAAGTTTGTATGGGACCATAAAAACCTCTGATCTTCTGCTGAGCTTAACAGCCTGCAGACATGTTGTTAAGACCTGTAGGAATCTTATTTCTGATAGTGTTTTACAAGCATTAACAACTCCAGCTACTTGTGTGCATATATTAAAGTTTATTGACAGCCTTCAATTGTTATGAAAGATAGGAACATACTTTCATCCTATTTCTAAAAGACAGTAGTCTTGGATTCACTTAAACTTTTTATTTAGGTAAGAATAGATACAGGTAGGAAATACAAATCTTGTATCTGTTGGATATTTGATATAAGAAGGGTGGATCACATTTGATACAAACTAATAACGTGGCCTGTAAGGTAATGGCTGGGTACAGTTTCCCACATGAGTGGATTCTGCCAAGTGTTTAAATTGTCAGTTCAAACCAAGACAAAACAGAAACTAATGTGAAGTGATATAATAATGCAACTTTAAACATACACCATTTTATTACTCAGAAGTAATATGAGATGGACAGACTTAAACTCAAATGCAGCCACGGGTCAATTTAAGAGATTTAATCACATATATTAACGAGTCACTGAGAAGAAAGTGACTATCAACGCTGCCATGCTCCTTCCACTTTCACCCAATGCTTCTCAAAGCTTTCAAGCTAAGAAGCACCCTTGGAGGGCACTAGCAGGCTCTACTCAGCCGTGCTGGTTAAGGGGCACAGGGAGTTCCCATTCTAGCAGCCAACACTTCAGGCCCTACAGGCATTGGGTATTCAGGTGCCTTTACTAACTTAAACTGACTGTGATCTTCAGTTTTTTTACATCCTAGACAAATACCCTCCTCAGTGGGCTACAGTACATGCTAGTCTGTCTTAGAAAAAAAATCAAACCATTCTGGCAAAAAGTGGATATATAGGGGAAAAAAAATAAAAAATCACATACATATTTTAACGTATGTTGCACACTTACTGGATCAACCTGCCATATAATAACAGTTGTATCCTTGGATCCTGTTGCTAGTTTAGTGCCATCATTGGAAAATTTACAGAACCACACTTCATTACAGTGCTCCGTTAGTATCTGCTGTGTATAGCAAGGGAACTGTTTCCTAGGGAAAAAAAAAAGGGATGCATTAAGAAAAAAACAAAAAAAGAAAGCAGTAAAATATATATAAACAACAAGACAAAATCCAACCAGTCTTATAAAAATTAAGAATGTATTTAAGTGCCAGACCAGGTAAGTTAGACTAGTCTGAAAAAACTCAGAGTATCAAGTAATCATAACTAATTGTAGAGATAGTCTTATTACCCTCACATAATTCATTATGCTCCATATAACCTGGAATAAACCTAACCTCATTAGGACAGGAACAGCTTTTTTTACTGTACACTTCTGTGATATATAGATAACACTAGAGTCAGTCTCATTGAATCATGCATGAAGAATTTTATTAACATGCAAAATCTTTTAATGTATTTAATAGCCAGACCATGCAAGATACTTAAAAATAATTCTTAGAAGTTGAACACAAGAATAGTCTTTCTTGAACATGAGCTTGCAGTAAGTTGTGGGGTTTTCTTCATTGCATAGTATGTTTTTCATTTGTTTGTTTTACATTTTCCTTCTAGAGCACCACGTATAACTTTAAGCATAACATAACAGAATCACAGAATGGCTTGGTTTGAGAAGAACTCTGAAGTTCATCCACTTCCAATCCCCTGCCATGGGTAGGGTTGCAGACCAAGCTGTCCAAAGTCCCATCTAACCTGGCTTTGAATGCCAACAGCTTCTCTAGGCAGCCTGTACTAGGGCCTCACCATCCTCATTATGTTAATAACGCTTTAAGTGTTCAACCCAAACAGGTTTCCCCTGACCAAAGCCACACTATTTCATAATGCATTAAATGCTTATCAAACTAAATATTATATGATAAACTACAGAAAGAATCAAGCGTTTCCTTAAAGCTAATATTTAATCTTCTAGTTACATTCTGAGGAGAGGCTAACAGTCAAAATATTAAGATCAGGACACACACTGTTTCACTTCTTGCCCATTACATGAGAAATTGGGAGCTAGTCTAAAGTAAACACAGGCTTTTAGAGCAGATGACTGCTTATGTAAGTAATAATGCAGTTATGAAGTTCAGTGTTCAGATGCACTAAAAGTTAACACCTAACCATTAACACTTATTCCTGAACTACAGGTATCCTGGAGAGCATTAATCTTTCAGTGAGTTTTTATGGTGCCCAGCACAACAGGGCAACACAGCTCTAAAGGGATATGAAGTTACTACTCTAAAAACAATATCCTATGTGAATGCACAGCTGCACTCACTGCAAGAAAAAGCCAGCCTAAGAAGGGTCACTTCCTTACAATTGTATTTTTATATACAGTTGGTGGTAGCCAGGCTAGCAACACCCTGAAAAACTATTTTTTAAACCAGAATTTTCTGATTAATATAATGACTGCATACTCCCCGTTCATTTCCTCCTATTAGAAGATGCATACTAATCTGTGTTTAAAGACCATTGAGCAACACTTAACCACCACGCATCCCCTCATTTCCTGTTTTATGACAGCGGATAACCACATTGTATATACATATACCTGTATCCATCTACCTTTGGTATGCCTAGTCACTTCTAATAGACTAACACAAGTCTATTCTGTATTGTTCTACCTTAAGCTGACCAAGAGCTGTCTAATTGCCACTGGAACAGCCCTGAGTCCAAGGTTAAAAGCTCCATCCATGGAAGATGACTCTGTCTTACTGAAGCTTAAAGGTCCTTACACAGACACCTGCACCAACAGCAAGAGCTAGGTTTCATTATTTAGCCATGTTGTAGTAAGTTAATATTTCTCCTCAGAGCAGCAGTTCCTTCTTGAAAATTAAAGATTCTTTATCCAGAATTCATACAAAGTAAAAAGAGTACTGCATCCCAGGACATCCATTTCAGCATATGCCACTAAAAGAAACACTACTAAAATACAAGCACTGTTTTTACAAAATTAAAACTCTGTGTGCTTTTCTTAAAGACACGAAGAAGCAGCAGCATAGTGCTGGAGTAGACCATTTCCACAGAAAGGAAGCCTTGTGGTTACTAAAAAAGAAAGACTGAAAGCACAGACAATATCACTGCTGCAGACACATCCAATGTTGAAGGATGCTATCCACAATTCAGTTAGATCCAAGCTCTCTCAGAAGTCCCACCAAATGAAACAGAACCCAGCAAGATTTACTTCACAGACAAGCAATACATTAAATAATGCTGCAGTTATTCAATAGTTTCTTGTCTACATAATGAGATGCTATTTTAACTCAAACTGTTTTGCTTTTTGTTTCCTTACAAGTTGTTCTGTTCAGCACAACATACTTCAGTCATGTTGTTCACATATTGAAATAAAGTTATCCACTGTTGCATGTACAGAATCCTAAAGTTAACTACTACTAGCAGCTACTTTTCACATGTAGAATGAAAGATTTATTCTTCAGCTTCTACAAGAGTTCTTTTTCAAAAAAGCTGCATTAGCCTAGTAAAAGCATGCAGAAATGCAACAGCATTCATTTTTCTTGGGTTTTACTGTGAATTCAGACTTAAATGTATTAACATGAAACCTAGAAAATTCCAGGGGAAAACGAAAACCACCTAAAGGCTTTCCAGGTAAATATAAGTAAATATTCATACACATAAACACAAGGGATGCTCCAAAAGTAATGCCTCCTATTTTATTACGTTGGCTCATGACATCAGAGACAGGTGGTGGTGGTGGTATGGCAGTAGAGGGGGAACCTTCCCACCCATATTCCATTACATTTTGTTGCTGTGCAACAGATGGCAGCAGAGGGACACTCTGACACAATGGCATCTGACATGGAAGGGCATATGGAGCAAAGGAGTGTGACCAATTTCCTCCATGCAGAAAAAAAACTGAGGCCACTGACATTTATCAATGCTTGCTGAACATTTATGGAGACCAAACAGTGAATAACAGCACAGTGAGGTGGTGCACGGTGCATTTCAGCAGTCGTAACAGCAAGGTGAAAGACAAGCCACATTTTAGACAGCCAGACTTTAATGAGTGCAGCATGCAGGCTCTTGTTCAACACTGGCAAAAATGCATAACTCATGGAGGTGACTGTGCTGACAAATAGCATTTTGTAGCTGGGAATTTGCTGCATCAAATAGTGTTACTGTGCTCTTTGTGTCTGTTGTAAATAAAAGAAGGCATTACTTCCAGAGTGACCCACGTACGGAAGTTATCATCCACCTCCAAGAGCATCTATTATCAAAATAGAATGCACAGTAAGACTCCACGTATCACCTTCACTCCCAGCAGTTTCCTCTCTTACCACTTGCTCTCGTGAAGTTATTAAGATTTAGTCGAACATTCTACCCATTAGTGCACTTTTAAGCATGCTTACTTAAAGTATTGCCAGAAGTCCAAAACATTAGTTCCAACTAAAAAAGGAAAGTTGTCAGTGTTTCATTATTTAGCTATTACAGTACTTAAGTTGTCTAAACTATTAGACTACTGTTGCATCTGTCAGTTTAATCAAATTTTGGCTTCCACTGTCTTTAACTCACCTCATTATGCCCAAGCATTGCAGCATGTACAGCGTATCACATACTGATCTCAGACCCCTGCAATAGGTAGTTACAACAGGTTGAGTTGAGGACAGAATGGAAGCCTTTATTTTGAAGAGCTTTTGTTGCTTTTTTCTTTTTCTTTTTTTTTTTTTTAATAAATATTATTTTGGACAAACTTTCATGTCAGCAAGTAGATTCAGATCAGTGGAATTGGAGTCCACATTTGTCACATGGTACCTAGTGCTATCTAGTCCACCTTCACGTTCTTTATAGTTGACTTTAAGGCTTGATTAAACACACTGAACTCTTCTACAGAAGATCTACTGCTATTTATGGGCTTGTGAAAAGACTAAACCACTCTGCTAGTTTGTTTTTAAGACTCACTTCTGAAGTAGGGAAAGCCACAATTCCTTTATCTGATCATTTCCGATAGCTCTTAAAATGACAACAGTCAAAAGTCCATGCACATGAGAAACTACTAAAACAATGTGATGCAGCAGACAGAAAGTGTAACAACAGTCTAAAAACACTTACTTGAAGAAAGTACAGTTATATTAATTTTAAAACCTTAAGATGGTTACAAGCAAGTACTATGAAAGTCTGTATCTTTCAAAACAGATTCTAAGCATTCAAAGCAGCTGAGTTCATAAAATCTCTAAAAGCAAGTTCATCAGATAGTACTTAACTTTTCAGATGAACTAACCTTGACACAAAGAAAGTCTCACGTAAGCCCAAATTTTAGCCCACTACATGAAAGAAAAGAAATGAAAAAAGAAAAACATAGAAGGGTACCGTCTATAGGCTGCATTTTGCAGGTGTTCTAGCCCTCATTCCTGTATTACAGCAGTTTTCTAAAAAAACTACACTGAATTTTTAGATCCTTGGCCAAGTCTTCAGTACATAAAGAAAGCCAGTCAAATTAGACATTTGTTAAAATAAATTAAAATACACCACACCAAGATCCTCTTGCTTCTGTCTAGAGTACGGCATTTTAAAGATTCAGAAGCAGCACCAATATGCACATAGAAGAGATTCTCAGTTTTACCACTTTATTAAGAATTATTTTCCCAAACTTTTTTTTATTCATATTAGATATTAAACAAGTGTATACTGCATATTTCAGCTCCCTTACCTGTAAGTCTTAGAAGCACCTTATCGCTCACCATTAAAAGCTAAAAGTTGACTTTATTTAGTGTGCTTCAGTAGGCTTTCTGCATCCCAGTAAGCTTGAAGACAGAGTCTAATTAATGTACTAGTGATAGCCTACTTAAAACATGGCAGTCATGTATTGACTAATAAACAGAATGGCTGCCCAAAGTTATGAAGCAACAAGTAGCTAAGGCTTAGCATAACAATATATCCTACTCATATCTACCCAAATACAATTTAAAAGTTTCAGTATGGTTCCATTGCCTCATATCCAGCTACCAAAGCCTTCCATACATGCAACGAACGTATCCAGTTCCACCTCCTACCATTCAATTTATAAAACCTGTCTTTTCCCAGAAGCATTAAACACATTAGAATCATTTTCACAATCCTGAAAACAGTAGGCACAATTAAGTTACTTTAAGAAACACAGAGAAGATATTGCCATCCATCTTACAAGCAGAAAGGGCTTCTTACCTACTACAAACGTGATCTATAAGCAGCGAGACAGAATCTAGATTACTATCTAGTTTGGTATTATGATATAGGCACCGGTCCCGTTGTAGTTCCACAGCCTGACGCAGCAGGTTCTGTAAACGCCTTGGAGGAAGCATCACTGATGGGGGTAGGTATGCTATTAAAAAAAATTGTTGAAAAATACATATGTCAGAACCAAGTTAAAAGTAAAAGCATTTGTTGATTTGGGTGGTTTTGGAAGAAACTTCAGTGAATAAAGCATAAAGCTGCAGAAAAAGAGTGCATACAGCTTGTAACTCCAGATGTATACCTGTAAACATGGCAAGCACGAGTCTCCGGAAAGCAGAGCTGCATGCAAGATATTTACAGCTATAGTATATGCTGTCTTGGCAAGCAAACATCATTTACACAAGCTCACTCACAACCCAGTACTTAACAAAATGTCAGATTATAATGCAGCATCAGGTGGGCTCATCTGAGAAATTCTCAATTAAGACTACCAAAATGAAGAATACAATGTATCAGAAGTGCAAAAATCCATGGTGTTACAAAAGCCTCAAGAAACCAGAAGAGAAACTGAAATCCACAGGACAGTTTAAACCTCTCACTATAGCTGGCATTTACAAATCAAACTTCCCCCTGATGCAGTGGAGGAACTCATCCCTAAATTACATTATTAATGCATGCAATAGAACTAAGTAATGAGAGCTAAAGATTAGCTATAAAAGATCAAAACCTAGAGGCACATAAAGAACTACAAGAAAACCAACAATTGGTAAATGCAGTTAGAATGAATTTCCTGGGATATATGGCTACGTAATATGCATTTGATCTACAGAGGTGGAAATAAACTCTAAACATTCAAACATCTTACTCTGGAGTTTGTCCAAAAGTTTAGATCTGGAAGCTGTTCCTTTCCCTTCCCACTCTGCTTTTGCACGCAGGTCTTCTGCATGGCTACACATCAGATACCTGTTTAAAAACAAACAAAAAACAAACAAACAAAACACACACACCAACAGACCTCTTTCTGGAATCATTCTTCCCACTTTTAAGCATGATATATAACATTCTTAATTTCAGAATATACGGTCTGGAAGCAAGTTACTTAAGCTTAGACTGGTAGGAACAAAGGCAAAGAATACAGACATATTTCAGAACAGACACCTACAAATTGTCAATAGATAAGAAAACAAAAAAGAGCCCCAAGAGGGTTGTTTTCAGAAAGGTAAAAATACCTTATTTTCATCTAAGAACAATCTAGACTAAATTCACCAACTTGGGCATTTTTTTTTTTTAGTTACAAGATAAGAGACCAATAATTCTCAAGATCAAATGAACATACATGCATATGTATTTGCTTGGGTTCCAGTACAAAAATCGTATCAAGTTACTTGCATGTATCTAAAAATATAACATTATCTACTGAATGCTTTTTCTTCACTCACCGCTTTAGATAGTACATCTCACTACAGATTATTTATCAAAAGGATAATAGCTTCAATGCAGTTTGAGCTTACAAAGTCAGTACAATCTACCATAAAAGCTACAGCATTTCTTCAAAAAGTCCTTTCAAAGTCCAAGCACTTACCCACTGAGGACATGAATGCGTTCTGTATTATATTTCAGAGGCGTCAGTTCACAGCGTAGAACTTGAAGTGCCTCCAGGACCTTGCCATCCTCCAGGTACTCCAGGTACTTCTGCTGCAGCAGCAAAAACTTCATCCTCTGACATGACAGAAAGCAGCAGTCAGGGGAAAAAGGTTGACTGAAGTTTCAGAAAACGTTTGAGCCTAAACAGAACAGTAGAAACCATTCTACTATACCCTTCAGAAACACAGCTATATCTAATGTTTCACCACTCAATTTCTTTTTGCTGGATTTTCAACAACACTGTTGCAATTAAGTTATTGATGTAGGCATCTTCCTACCTCCTTTCTCAGATCCCCCCTTCAACTTGCCTCCATTTCATATTCACATTCTTTTCAGTCACAGTTCTTCCAACCCTGAATTAGAGAGGCTTCCCAATCTTAAAAGCCCAAGAAAAAAGAAAAGCTCAAGAAAAAAGCCTAAAAGCAACTAATCACATACTACAGACCACATGACAGCACAGAACACAAGAAGCCAACTTGAAAAGTTCTCATACTGCTTACAAAGGAGCTGACATGGATTGTTTGCATAGCTGCGTAACATATGGCAATAAAAAAAACTGACACTGCCTGAGGTCTTGTTTTGTAGTACCACATTCAGTTGTTTTCCTTGGGTGTTTGATCAATTTTCAAGAGTACAGGACAAAAATAAATAACAGTTTCCTAAATTTAGGAATCACTTTTTAATTCTTGTTCTTTCATCATTTTCCTTTCACCTTCTCCAGGTTTTTTTTTTTTGCTGTTTTGTTTTTAAGTAAACAATCAACCCTACTACTCTAACAAGTAATGTATGTGGAGTTAAAAAACAGTAGGCATTTCTTTAGAAACTTACAGTTATACCAAATTCTTAGACAGTTTGACCAATCCTGGACAAAACTATTCAATGTTTGCACATCTTTATTACTGCCAGCACTTATCAGAGGGATAAGAGGTCTCCAGTCATCAGGTTAAAGAGGAAAACTTACATTCCTACACATCAGTGAAAAACAAAATAAAAATCACGCGTAGCAAGTCTTATTTGCTTTTCTAAGGAATACACCACAAATTTAACCACCAGCTTCCTTTGCTTTGTCAGATCTCAAGCACCACCTCACTATTTTCATGCACATATTTGGTCAATGTTTACTTGTTAGTTTCAGACGGACTGCTGGCCTCCTTAAGGAAAGGGATAATTGGGAAGTTTAAGATATCTCTATCCTATTAAAGCTTATGCAGAAGTTTAAGGTTTCAAATCTCTAAAGTCTTAGCTAGAAAACAAAGCAGTTTTAACTTCCAGAGACTTTCAGTTCTGCAAAAGAATAACATTTCCATATACAGTGCTATATCATTATCATAAAGCTTTGTGAAGCCTCAACTGTCTATTGTCTTGTATGCGAAGGGCATGCCTGTATTACATCCCCTAAGAGCTCTTCAGTTTGTTTGGATTTGGAATCATTGGAACAAAATATGAAAATAGAGCATTGCTGTACAGTTGTCTTTTTCCTCCAGGTACAACAGTTCCTTTCTGTGTTTGGGTGATATGTAGAGAATCAACCAACAAAAACAATAGCCAAAACCCAAACCCAACCTCAGTGGTTGCTCCCATACACTAGGCCAGCAGGCCTCATGCTGTTTGCTTACTCAGCAGCAGCAGGGGGGTTAGGAGTTTCCTCTCCCAGCTGTGCACATGCTCAGATGGAGGCATGAAGGAGCTTGGCTAGTAGTCACAAACCATTTTTTTCACTCCTCTTCGTCACCTCACACTGATGATCAGTAACAGGTAAAAATAGTCTGATGTTTCCAGTTTATAACAAAAACTATAATTCCTTCAACTCTTCCTCTCTAGGTCACTGCATATAGTATTTATTCATTTCTTGTTATCTCTCTCTTAAATGGAATAAGGGTATCTGTATTTAATTACTCTTTTCTTCTCTACTTTTAGAGAGTAACGTGTTAATTTCATTTCTTCAGAGGAGAGAAAACATTTTATACAGACAGACACACAAAATCCCTAAAACCATTTTTTGCAGTGCCAATTTCAACAACGCCATGAAACTGTTACAGGAACATTACCATGCAGAATACTGTTGCCAAGTCATCCACAGAAGTGTAATTTCAGTTTTGGTTTAGAAAATACAATTCCCAAGTAGGATCATCAGTGCCAGTCGCACATTTGGAGTATTGGGAATACAAAACATTCAGAACAATGTAGTGTAGTGTAGACTTCTGCTATTGCTAAAATAATGGAGAATCAGAATAAAAGACAAACGGCTTCACATTGCTAAAATACTGACAGCAGAAAGGCAGAGACTGAAGTGTTAATAGAAAACTATTATATCTAAGCTAATAAACGCTCCAGAACTTACCCTACTGCATACACAAACAATACCATGAATATAGCCTCCTCAAGGCAGAAGGATTCCAGTGACATCATCCTTTCAGGTATCTTTTTTTTTGTGTGTGTGTGCTTGTATCAAAACACTCCTTCCCACTATTTATTTTTGTGCAACTCCTGGCTCTTGCCTGACAAACATTTCACTGAATAACTTAGTTTTGTCTTCCCTTTCTCTCAGCTACTTTCATATGCCCTACAAGAGCTAATTACTTCCAATACAATCTTCTCAGGGTAGATAAGACCACTTTGAGCATAACAGCTTTTCTAGAGCCTAAACAATCACTTCTGTGAAGAAAAGAGAACTGTTTGGAACATAGACAACTGTAGCTCAAAGGCAGAAATCCCACCATTTAACTCAATGAATCTAAAACTGATCAGATGCAGTGCACTCACAAGTACAACTTACTCATTTTCCATATTCTTTAGCTGCCTTATGAAAAATGGAAATGAAAATTACTATAATTTGAGTTATACCGCATAGAATATAACGGAAGCGCCTGGAATTTGTTGCTACCATTTCAGTGTTTGTAATGGAAATTCAACATCATTACATTTTTTACTGTTGAAGAATTTCAATCCGCACACTACCACCACTTAAGATTATAGCAAATGACAGAAAAGTTTCTTCAGTCTACAAAAAACATCGAAGAGTCTCAATACAACAGTTTTATCATAGCAGCTGACTGTTCTCATTCATTTAGCACCCTCTCACCCTGTTTTTCAACTCCACAGTCAGGATGAAGATGAAGTATATTACTTCTGTTTCTAGAGGTTATTATTTAAGTACAGGCTGGGCCTCTGGTCATCCTGAGGGAAAACACAGACGTTCAATAGGACTAGAGTTGCTGGTTTTGTTTGTTTTGTTTGAAGAAAGCAAAACCAGAGTATGTACACTCAAACTACAGCCTTTATTTACTAACATTCATGTTTAGCAGAAAAGCCCGTTGCAGAATCTAAAATTCTAGGAAGCCTGACATGCAGCATGATTCACCAGCACAAACTAAAGGTTAAAACAACTGAAGATGACACAACAAGTATCCTGCTGTAGTCGAGAAAATAAGATTTTTCTGATCACTGGTTACAGTAGTAAATCTTCAGTAGTTTAAAGACCAGGATGCATAAGAACATAATTTTAAAGTTTTGCTATTATTTTTGACCTGCATATCTTAACAAGTCTACTGTACTAAGAGCCTATGGTTCAAAATACTGAAAGAACTCTTCTTTGAAATGAAAAAAGGTAACCAGAAGACATGTTGAAGTGATCACCTGATGTTTCAACACACATTCTCAACACAGTAGCTATCTACTTACAGGCCTGCAGCACTAAGCCCCTGGTTTCCATGACTTTTATCTTTAGCACTCGGACAATCTTGTGAAACCACAACGCTAATAAATAAAAACAGTTAACAACATCCAAAACTTGAACGTAAGACCTGATAATGTAAAGATCTGAATATTTTCTGCCCTACAGAATTGAACTAGGATTTGAACTGTATCAAATCATGTCACTTAAATAGAGCTCACCTCTCAATGCAAGAGAGCTGCCACACAAGCAGGTGGAGCACTTCACTGACACAAGTCAGTAACTTTCTATGCTGTATTTCTAGGCTGTATACTTTCAGAACTTGGAGAAAACTCAAGTAAATGGCAAAAAAGTAAAGTGCACAACTGTGAAGTATATTCTAGATTAAAACTATAGACACAGGATATCTAGATTCTCTCCCACATTCAGATTGTTCCCCAAGATAGATGTTAAAATATGCCTGAATAGCTCAAAACTAAGCAAAATGTTGGGCTAACTAGGAACTGATATTTTTTAAGTGCTACCCAAGGAAAAAAATAAATTATTATGCCTGAGTCAAGTCTGAAGTTTGTCTCAAGACAGCTGTATCGTACATGCTGGAAAAGTAAACATGGCTAATCGCATGCTATACTCTAATATACAGCACTCAGTTGTGTTGATGCAAACAGAAATAAATAGCAGACTGTCTTCTCCTCATCCACATCCTCCCCATTCAACATCCACAAGTAGCTTTTAAAAACACATCTGAAGTTTACAAATGAAGATCAGCCATTTCATCTTCAGCGTTTTCAACTGTAGAATCTACAGCACTTTAAAGAAATCAGCAATTAAAACAGGAATAGAGTTTTCAAAGTACATCATAACCCCTTTACTGAACAGACATTTCAAAAGCAGTTACATATCCCCATTATTTTGACAAGGTCATATTGAGAGACAAGAAAAAAAAACAAGGAAAAAACAAAGAAAACACACACACACAAAATATGCATCCTAATTTTTTATATACTGTGTCATCTAAACTTTAGGTCCTCATTCTTCTTGTATGCATGCATTGAGTCACACTGTATGAGTAACAGATCAGAATTCAAACCTAAAAAATCTCATTTTCTGTTTTTGAATAGTTACCTGCAGCATCATCTTGTTTGCACTCTCCTTAATCAAGACATCTATCATTTCTATTAGCCCTCACTTCGCTGCAGTCTGGAACAGCTACGGAGCCAAAGCATCTCTCCTTACCTGTAACGGCCTTCTACTAGGTTTCCAGTTGCTGGCAGCACTAACTCCTACCCAGCCTCTCACCCACATAAAAATAAAAAATGGGGAAAGAAGGGCATGAAGATGGAGAGAATTGTACTTATCCTTGCAAACTATCATTGTCTTATGAAGAAAGACATCTAATATTTAGAAGTTATCTGTTTTAAATTAGATGAAATTTAGACACAGGAGAACAACTTATTTCTTTTTTTTTTTTTTTTTTGGGTAACAGTCTACATCAGTTATTTGTATTGTAACCAGTTTTACTGAAGCAGTTAAACATAAACATTAAAGAACAGAGGCATGCTTTCAAAGATTATCAAAATAGCAGAAGACAAGCTTCCCTTTTCCCTCTCTCAAATTAATTTTGCCTGAGAAGTACAGTAATGACAGACACTTAAAACCTCTCAACTCCCAGAGATGAGAAACACTTTAATAGTATGAAGAAACTTTATAATTTCTGAAGGGAGAAACAAGAAAATTTGCTTCAAATGATCACATTCACATTCTCATGCAGCAGTTTCAAACTTTCAGCGCTTACAGACAATCAAAAACTGCATGCAATGCTCTCAAGTATTTGAAGAATAGAGCTGCATTTTCTCAAGTCTGAAAAGGGAGAAACTGAACAACTGGTCTAACTAAGAACTGTCACGTTTTGGCCAGATCAATAGAGCAGAATGTCAACTTCTCTTAAAAATTCTCCTATGTTTTGCTAAACATCTGTTTTTCCTACTTCACTTCCTGTTCTCTTTCTTTCCCTCCCCCACTGGGCAGGAAATTGTCTTGACAACAAATGAATCAGCTAGAAGTAGAGCTAAGCAGCCATCAGCTGATTCTTCACTGTTTACAGTCACAGGCACTTCAAAAAGCACTGCCACTTTTCTTCTCCCTAAGTGACTCTGGTTGTCCTAACTTCATTTCATTAGAATAAACATTTAAGCGCAACAGAACAGGCAGTCATTTTTGATCTCAAAATAGAAAAAGAGAGCCAAGAAACTCTTTCCTCAAAGTAACTGAAATCATAACAACAGACATTGTAATTGTCAAGTCAGAGGATCTGCAAACATCTATTTCTAGGTTCATCTTTGAAAAAAGCCAGCCAAAGAGAAAAAGCTCCAAATAAAATCCCAAACAGCAATACAAATACATTTGCTCTTTAGAAGCCATCTGGAAAAGCAACAGTATTGTTCATGTTCTATAGCAGCCTCTATATTCCCGGGATGTGCTATGACAATGCCAACTCTACATTTGCGTTACTGCATCTTTACTTCCAAATTTTTCTTTCCTTAAGAGGAACCTAACTCCAATAAATACAATTGTGAGAAGGATTCCAAGTTTGAAATCAGTATTCAACACAGGCAATTTCCATGGAAACAGACCTATTTTAGGCCTGTTAAAGGATCTATATTTCATCAGTTAAATATACTTAACAACATTTAAATATTCACTAAAACAAATACTAGGCTTAATATTTGGTGTTTCCCATCTCATATTCTAGAAAAGAGTGAAAAGATTAGTACATTTTGAGATAGCATGCAAGCTGCTTAAATGACAAAGAAAATAAGAACTATGGACAACTAACTCCATAGTGAAAGATCATTCTATTTAACTAGCCCAATCATACAGCTCTGAAAGAGTTCAAGTGTGCCTCTTACCACAATTGCATGCGGAGAATGCACTAAGGCCTTAAGTTCATTCAGGTCGTTCTCTGCCTGCAGAAATCGGCATAAGAAAAAAAACAAACAAACAAAAAAAGAAGTATATAAGGAGGGTGGATTTTGAATTCTCTCATAGATACTATAAATTTAAACAGTGGTTAATACAGTCCTAGAAGCCCTACGTTACCTTATCCCATTCTCCTTCCATGACATGATTGCGGAATTTGGTAGCAGAAGGATGTTCTAAACGACATCCTGACTCTTGCATGAGAAGATCAACAGTCTGGCTGCAGGAGAGATACAGTGTAAAAAAACCTGACCAGTTTCACCCTCACAAATATACCGCCTGCTACGATAACAGTTAACCACATTTAAAAGTAACTTTATTAAAGTAAGAAGACTACCACCAGATTCAGAGGCTTGTCCAAAAGGTTATCTCAGTTGCCTGAGACGTGTAAACAGCTGCCTATGTCTAAAACAAGCAGTCAATTAGCTTGAGAGCTTCACTGAAGTACCATGAAGGATGTGACTTACCAGCCACCAAACAGCCAGCCCTGCATAGGAGATAGCCTTCATGAAGGAAGAGACAGACTACAGCTGTTAGCCACTGGCTGTCAACCCCTGCCCCCCCCTCCCTGCCTCCCATAAACGAGCACAGAGCTATCCACATCTGCAACAGGCCTGTATTAAAAGACCGGCTCCTTAAAATATAATAAACAAACTCACGGTCCTGCAGCCCTCCCCCCTTTACACTAAAAATAGCTTATTTACTGTGGTGCCGTCTATGAACAGTCACGAGTTGTCTGTTGCTGTAAACTTGCCTCTTGTGTCAGGGGCAGTTCATTTAGCGTGCTAAGTTCTTTATAATTGACCCGGCCCACTGTGTTTTGAAGACTTGTTTTGCAGTAGCTACGCGAAGGCTTCGCAGGGCTCCTATTCCAGAATCACGATGCGGTGGTTTGAGCCTTGCTCACAAAGCAAACGTCGCGATTAAATTCTCGGATTCGCCTTCCTTCCGTGTAAAATTATTTCCCCTCTTCTGATTTTAAGAGAGTGTCAGCGCGCTTGCTCCTAGCCTACATCAAAACACGGGGCTGACACCTTTGCCATCGGCGGGGACGAAGGCTCGGCAGCGGAGCACAACGGCCCGTTTCAGCCGAGTTCGGTTGCGGCCAGCAGACAAGGGAAATCTTGGAGCTCATCTGCGAGAAGCCTCCCCCCACGCCCAGCCGCGGGCTCCATTACGCGCGCCCGATAACTTCTCCCCCGCTAACACGTTGCTATCGATCCACCTTATCGGCGAGCGGCCCGGCTTCCATATTGCCGTCCCTTCCCGAACCGCCCCGGCCCGCCGAGCGGAGCGGCACGGGGAGCACGACGCGGTCGGGCTCCGTTTTCGCCAGCCCTCGGTGCTGCCCCGGCACTCGCCTCCCCGGTCCGCAGAGGGCCCATCCCCTCCTTCCCCCGCCGCCACTTACTTGAGGCCCAGGCCGTGGAGGTGCTGCCCGATCAGCCGGATCACGTCCTCGTCGGACTGCGAGAGCCGCTTCTTCTTCTTCAGGGCGCTGCCGCCGCCGCCCCCCAGCTCCGCGGCGGCCGTGCCGGGGCCCCCGGCGGCGGGCACCCCGTTGTTGACGCTGAGGCCGCCGGGGCTGCCGCCGCCGCTGTTGGCCGAGGGCAGCAGCCCGTTGGCGTGGGCCAGCTGCTCGCCGGCGGCCGTGCCCGCCGAGGCCTCGCCGTTCTGGGCGCCCAGACAGCCCAGCTCCGGGCCCTGCGGCGGCTGCTGCTGCTGCTGCTGCTGGCCCCCTCCTGCCCCGTTGGCCTGCATGGCGCCGCTGCCGCCGCTGCTCGTGCTGCTGCCGCTGCCTCGGAGCGGGGCGGCGGCGGGGGCGAGCCCGGCGGGGAGCGAGGGGGACTGGGACGAGGTGAGGCCTGCTCTGCCTGCGGAAGCCCCGGGCTCTCCTGCTCCCTCCGCCGCCGCCGCCGGGGAGGCCCGGGCTTTCTTCCGCGGGGGCGGGGAGGCTCCGCCGGTGTCCGAGTCGGAGGAGGAGGAAGCGGAGGCCAGAGTTTCCTCGCCGAGAGCGGCCGTGGTGGGAAGCCGGGGGGGCGAGGAGGGGGGTGGGGGGGGGAGGAGGCGGGGGGCGGCGGGGGTGAGGGGAGGCGGAGCGGGGCCCTGCGCCCCCGGGGGTCCCGGAGGCAGCGCCGCCGCCCGCTCGGGGCTCCCTCTGGCGATGGCGGCCGCCGCTGCCTCGAGCCCCCGCCCGGCAGCCCCGGGCGCCCGGCCTGCTCCGCTCGCTGCCCGCTGGGTTTGTCTTCTCTCAGCCCAGCTGCAGCCTAATGGAGTCCGGGCCGGGACGTCACAGGAAATTCCTATACTGCCCCCTACACACACTTCCGCCGCCCGGGGCTGGGGGTGGGGGACGGGCCCTATGGGGGACGGGGTGCCGCCGGGGCAGACCTCGCCGCCGCGCTCAGGGCCTCTCGGGCGGCCGCTGAGGGGGCGTGGGCCGGGGTCCCTCGGCTCCTCTGTGAGGGCTGTAAGTGTCCGGGCGCTGTGTGTGCGCTGTGCCCGCTGCTGTCAGCCCTGCCGTGCGCGTCTGGAGCTGAGAGGTGTGAAGGTGTGGGTGCTTGGTGTGAGTGAGGCCTTGATCCCGTCACGGTGGGCCATCCTCGTCACACAGAGGGATGGAGAAGGACTGCTGGGATTTCCTGAAGAAAGCTGGGTTTTTCTTAGAATTATTAGGTCCCATCTTGAGGACTGCATCTAGATCCGGGACCCCCCAACTCAGAAAAGATGTGGAGCTGTTGGAGAGGGCCCAGAGGAGGCCACAAAGGTGATCAGAGGGCTGGAGCACCTCTCCTACAGACAGGCTGAGGGAGTTGGGATTGGGCAGTCTGGAGAAGAGTAGGCTGCAGAGAGATGTCATTACGGCCTTCCAGTATTTAAATAGAGGTTATAAACAGGAAGGAAATCAGCTTTTTACGTGAGAAGATGTGATAGGACAAGGGGGAATGGTTTAAAACTAAAGGAGAGAAGATTTAGATTATATATCAGGGAGAAGTTTTCACAGAGAGTGTGGTGAGGCACTGGCACAGCTGCCCAGATGAGTTATGGATGCTCCATCCCCAGAGGTGCCCAGGACCAGGTTGGATGGAACTCTGGGCAGCCTGAGCTGGTGAGGGGCAGCCCTGTCCACAGCTGGGAAGTTGGAAGTAGATGATCTTTGAGGTCCCTCCCAACACAAGTGGTTCTGTGATTCTTATTTTGGCTATTTGTTCTGTTTTTTAAAAAGGAGCATCCTGTTGTTGCCCAGCCCGGTCACTGGTAGCGTTCAAGTCTAGTCATAATATGCGTTAGCTCCAAAGAGGAAGAAAATGGCATTTCTACTTACCTCTAAGTGGTGCAGAAATGTTGAGGCATGGGCCGATCCGTCAGGATAACTTGTCAGAGGAAAATGGGTGCTTTGGTGTTGTCTCCTTCCATCCCTCTCCTGTGCAATGGAAACTAGAATCTGCAGCCAAGCCTCTGGGAAAAAATTATGAGACAAATAAAAGATCGGTGTTTGAAAATAGTCTCTTGAAATAATATCTTGTATGTTATTTGGTTTTAGAGTCTGGAATTTTCAACTTCCATATTTTCAAACTTTTCTCCAAAGCCCAAAGTAAAATAACTCTTTTTCATGAATAAAAGCTGAAGTGAACATCTAATCGTCATCTTTCAGAAGCCACGGTTTCAAGAACACTGAATATTTCCAATTAATTTTAAGAGTTGCTGAGACAACAGTGCTTTCTTTGGAGTGTAAATTTGAAGAAGTCTGACTGAGGGAAACAAGCCCAAGACCAGTATAGAAGTCTTCAAAGAGATAAAACCCTCAAAAAAAAGAAAAAAAAAAAAAATAGATAAGGTGAGGGTGGCAAGGCACTGGCACAGGCTGCCCAGGGAAGTTGTGGATGCCACATCCCTGGAGGCATTCAAGGCCAGGTTGGGTAGGCCTAGGGCAGCCCTGCCTGTGGCTGGTTTGGAACTGAGTGGGCTTTAAGGTCCCTTCCAACCCAAACCATTCTGATTCTGTAAGAAAAGACTGTGTGGTGGCATTTGAAGTAAATACTATAGCTAGGCCCTGTTTAGAGATCTCAAAAACTGTTTAATTGGTAACAGCTGGAGCACTCTTACACCAAAGGGAGAGGCTGGAAAAAGCTTTGTCACACAAAGTCCAGCCCAGGTGTGGCTGTAGGATTAAATTCAACACTGAGAGGAGTGTTCTGGCTTCGTATCCCATACCTCACCAGCCATTGCTGGAGAACACATTGCTTGAGTATTAACTACTTCAGCACTGCCATATCTCCTTTTGTCTCCATTCCTCTCTCTCTTCATCTTGCTTGAGGTGTTACTCCTTTATCACTCTCATTCTCCAGTTGTCACCATTGACTCTATAATTCAAAGATTTGGGCAAACATTACAGGAGCAGCATGCAGAGCAGCACAAAGCCCAGGGAGACACATTACAAAACAATGAGTGTTTTCAAGAGGGCAAGGTTGCCCATCGTTCCTTCCCATTCACTGTTGTGGTGGTAGAAGCCTCTTCCCACCACGTCAGTTTGTGCAATTGTTCCTCCAGCTGCTTAAATCTGCCATGCTGCTCTTATACTGCCTACAGAGCCTGGTCTTTCCTCATCAGTCCTTGCTTTGATCACCTGTGTGTAAGCGTGATGCTCCCACACACCAACTCCTGTACTATGGCAATCACATTGGAGGAGTTGGAGGGAGGAACGAAACTGATGAGGCTGAGAAGAGTACATCTGTGATGAAAGGAGTGAAGAATCCCTATACTGTAGCTGGGTGATGTATGCATAAGCAGCTCTATATGCCTATTTGTAATAGGAAAATGTCTCATGGAGTAGCAACATGCCTCACTCATTTCAATCAAGTATTCTCAGGGTGTAAGAGTAGTATTTGAAGTTGAACATAAAATAGCACTTTTATGATGTATGTGTTGCTGCACTGGTCACACCGAAAGTTCTTAACAGTCCCTACCTTGCCACGTTTCCTTCCTTGGGTGAGGAAATATTCCAGCCAAAACACAAAGAGCTGGAAGAAGAAGCTTGGTGTTGCTGGAATGGCACAGGCCTTCGGCTTTTCTGCCAGGGACGCAACATTTGAAATGTTCTTGGGGTTCCAGATGTCATAAACGTGTAGAAGGAGGATGATTCAGAGGCCCTGGTGTGGAGAACAGCTGAACCTTGATTTGAAACCTTCTATTCTTCATGCCTGTGAGACACAGCTGGAAATCCAAACAAGCCTGCATTTTTTTTTGAGTAATTATACAAATCAGTGGCTAAAAGTAACATCTCATTTGTAATAGAGGAGTTTGCCATAATATGAGGTACCCATCTGTCATACCCAGACCACTTCAGAATTTTCCAAAAGTAGGGAATAAATGCAAAAGTTCAGCACTAAAAATAGACAAATTTATAAACAACCAGAAAACAGATTATAAAGAAGATGTCAGTTTTAAAGGCAACTGTCAGATTATCAACCATGTTACTGAAGTACAGTATGTTTTGCTTTAGAGGATGGGACAGGAAGTCCAGATCTGAATAATAGGAAGGAACTCTTTCATTAAGGGGCAGTGGTTTTTTTTTGTTGTTGTTGTTGTTTTTTTTTTAAATGGTAGTCATGCAAAGCTGCTTAGGCAGAGCTGAAATACTACAGAATATTAAAGAAAACTATGGAGACATGGATTAATATTTAAAGCTGCATAATGAAGATAATGAACTGTTTGATTCCTCCTATCAGAAATATATGTGTATACTTAGAATCTTAAAATGATTTGGATTGGAAAGGACCTTAAAGATCATCTAGTTCCACTGCTGCCAGCTCCCTCATATTTAAGCTTCCTTTTCTTCTGCACTGAATTTGAGGTTACTGGAAGTAAACCCACTAAAAGCAAAGAAAAAAATGAAGAAAGAATTGTTTGGAACAATTGTATTTTCCATGGCACCAACTAAATAAATGCTTTAACAGCACCTACATGCTTGCAATTTTCGAAAGAAGAGTTACAATGATGAAAAACAGCCACTTGTCTTAAATGACATTCCTAGAAAGCCTTCAGAAAATAGAGGATTTGTAACTAAACCACACTGTGATGTGATTCCATCACATTATGTGGAGGGTGGTCAGTATTTTAGTGAAGGAGTGAAATCTGGAAAGCCAAAGCTGGTCTGGAGTAGAATCAGAAGTAAGACTGAGGCTAGGATCCACTTGAAGTCCACTGCATCACACACGCTTGAGCACTGAGGGAGCTGGCCTCTACTATTGTGTGCTCATTCCTTATATTTGTGGTATTTTTGGAGAATGCCACCAATGACTAAAAACAGGCAAATGTCGTGTTAAAGTTCAGTTATATCTGGCACAGCTTCACTGACTTCTGGTTTAATGAGTAGGGGAAGAACAGAAGCTGTCATTTAAGTTTGATTTTGTTAAGGTTTTTGATAGGATCTCCCTCAGTAATCTTATAACTGGGGAGATATGGATGGGGTGGGTAGACTACAGCTGGGAAAAACTTGCTATATCACCAGGCCTGAAGGGTATCTTCAGTTTGAAGCCTGAATGATGCCCTCTTAGGAAGAATTAGGGATCAACACTGGGGTAAGCCCTGTTTCACAAGTTCATCATTGACTTTGAGGGTGGGGCAGAATGCACCCGCAGTAAGTATGTGACAGATCTCAACATCAAACCATTGGAGATCAGTTGACATACTGCAGACTGCAGCTGCCATTCAGAGTGGCTTTGACAAGCTGGAAGAATGAGCCAGTAAGAGCCTCATGAGGGTCAAGAGAGACATGCTGGAGCATGTGGTGTATAAGGAGAAGCTGAGGAAGTGAGATGGACTGCAGCAGGACCTAATTACAGCATCCAGCTTCTCAGGGAAATTATAGAAAGGATAGCATCAGGCTTCTCTCTGAGGAGAGGAGAAGAGGCAAAAATCAGAAGTTGCACCCAGAGAAATTCCAGCTGCATATAAGAAAGAAAATTTTCAGTGTGTGACTGGTCGAGCACTAGTCTGGGCTCCCAGAAGGCTGTGGAATTTCCAGCTGTGGAATTTCCAGCTCAAAAAC